TTTTCCCTCATACCATACTGCATACTTGCCGAAGGAAAAGGTAAAGATTGTCGTTACATAATGACCGCTTCGTGCTTGATGCCCTAATGAACCAGGATTGTCAGAAGTCACGTCGGGCCACATGGGCATCCTAATTAGCCACATCGTCTAATATTCTTGTCGATATCCCCATTTACCTCCCTACCTACCTATGTGCCTACCTGTATACCTACCTATCTGCTTATGTGACATAACTTCCTCGGCCAGGACTGAGAGGATAACTACTTGGGCCCAGCTCGTGACACGGACCCTTAAGCCCTCTCGGTAGTCCCATACTATCGAAGCTCATCGACTTCTCTTCTAGACGTTAGGCACAGGCACGGGATACCAAAAACCCATAGTCGCTCCCCATTAGTAGTCGAAATTTTTATCCTAGGAACCTGATTCCCTCTCTTTAGTACCCCATAGTTTTCCAGCGTACGGGTCTATGGGTTTGTATTTGTATGCTATCCCTGCGTCCGATCTGTTTCCATCGTTGGATTGGACACTTGGGGAGGTAGATCCATCGAATTTCCCACAAGTATAATCATCCAATCACTACTTGTGGTGCCACTAGAAAGGTACGCGAGACCTCTATTCCATACCGATCTGCTACCTTGTCAAGAACCGCCCGGATCTTGGTCACGCCCCGGTCGACTACCGCTCAGCCTTTATTGATTTGCGCCACACCGCACAAGACTACCTATCACTTCTTTCCTTAGCCTCATCAAGATCCTTGGACTTCAAACAATTTAGGGTTTGCCGGACGCCATATTACACCTTGTCTGTCAAGGTAATATTAGAAGACTAAGTCTGCTCGAGTTGTTTACAGGTTCAAAGAAACGCTGCGAGCACTCGACGAACCAGATCTCCCTCGCCGGCAGCCAAAATCATACCTCGGCCTCTGGTGAGACCCAATGGAAGATGTCCCACCGCCTTCGGCGGCAAACAGCGAGTTTGCGACTGGAGAAGGTGTCGGTGCCCATCAAGGGCGCACCCAGAATGATGGGCGACCTCTATTATCGCATGGCCAAAGTCCCGCAAATGATCCAGCCTTTCAAGCCCAATATCAGCAACTCTACGGACCATCCCCCAATATGTACTCAGGCCAACTCGACATGTCTCACCCCCAAGGGCCTAACCGTCAGGGACCTTACAACATGACTGCGATGACCAACGCACTTCCCCAGCCTGGATACAGACCTGGCTATAATCCGGGACAGTTGCAGCAACGATTCAACACCGGTCCATCGTCTAATATGATTCAGTCCATGTCACAAGTAGCGCAGTTCGCTGGTCCTCCGAACATGGCCCAGCTAGGAGGTCAGCCCTACTATGTTGCCCAACATCCGCAGATGGCGCAGTACTACAATGCCCATTTATCGCCGTCGCAGCAACAACACCAGACATCCCAACAACCGAGCCTATCCCCACGACATAGCTTAAGCTACTATTCGAACCCGGTTATGATGAATCAGTCTCAACATGCTCTTCCCGCCGGCTATTATTATCCTACATCGAACCAATTTGCGTCTCCACAATCTGGTTTCCAAGGCCAGGTGGCACCAGGACAATATTTCTTAGCAGATGGCACGTCGAGTGATCCGCGGGGGCAGTCACCGTTGCGCGGGAACGATCAAGCAGGCGGGATTGCAAGTTTTGCTCGGGGAGATAGTACGACTGTCTAGCCTTAGATGAGGAGTGTTGAAGTCGCTAATAATATGTCTTCTTAGTGTCTCCAGAGGCGCGGTCCAACATCGTCCGAGGACCTCCAAGGAAGCCTCGACAAAGCGGTAAGTATTTTCGTTGCTGCTACTTGAAGATATTTATAATACTAACCCTTGCTAGGTCATGCCATCTGGATAGGGAATCTACCTCCACAGACCGATCTAATGAGCCTGGTATATCACGTTTGCAAAGAAGCGATAGGGTTGGAGTCACTTTTCCTTATTTCGAAGAGTAATTGTGCCTTTGCCAATTTTAAAGATGAGCAAAGCTGTGTTGCAGCTCAGCAAAAGCTTCACGATTCAAAATTCCAGTCAGTACGGCTAGTTAGCCGGCTACGAAAGAGTACAGTCGAAGGAGCTGGTGGGCAGACAGCTCCTACGGGACCAGCAGCAACTTCTCCAAGCGGAAAAATTACATCTACTGTGACTACGAAGAGCTTACATGACAATATTCCAGAGCCTACAGCTTCAGTAACCGATACGCAACCAGAGCAGAGAAACGCGCCTAATAGTGACGCTAGTGCACAAAGAGACAAGTTTTTTATACTTAAAAGTCTCACAGTGGAAGATTTGGAACTGAGTGTTAGGACTGGCTTGTGGGCAACCCAGTCCCATAATGAGGAAATATTAAATAATGCATTTAAAGTAAGTTTTATTCACAATTATCTTCAATTCGTTGTATCATATACTAATGACGGTTACAAACAGGCAGTTGATAATGTTTATTTGGTGTTCTCTGCAAACAAATCAGGGGAATATTTCGGCTATGCCAGGATGACCTCGCCCATCAATGATGACCCAGCGGCCGCTATTGAGTTTGCGCCTAAGGCACAGACTACGAACAATCTAGATCTTCCTAAAGCTATCCCAACCGAAGCTACAGACACTTGCCCGAAAGGACGGATTATCGACGACTCGGCTCGGGGGACAATATTTTGGGAAATAGAACGAGAAGATGTGGATGCAATCGTCGATGGGGAAGATTCTGAAGACTCGGCTAGTGTGAAGAGTGGCCAAGATGGCGAAGGGGGGCCTAGCAAGGCATGGGGCAAGCCCTTCAAGCTTGAATGGCTATCGACTACGAGATTACCGTTCTATCGAACACGCGGACTACGAAATCCCTGGAACTCTAACAGGGAGGTTAAAATCGCAAGAGATGGTACGGAGCTAGAGCCGACGGTTGGAAGGAGGCTGATTGGGTTGTTTAACCGTATCCAGAGCCCTGCATCTATACCCATGGGCGCACGACCGGGTATGCCGATGGTTGCAGGATATCCGCCGCCGACTATGCCTCCCCCTTACCGATGACGACAGCGAGTACCATTGCGATGGGCGCGCGTCACGAGATTTAAAGAGGTGGCAAAAGGTCGAGCTAGTCTCGGCTAGCTATGCTGAGCATAGCATAGCAAACGAAGCGGAAAAAAAAGAAGTGATGCTGGTCTACACCCACATCACGTTGTTGTATATACACGTCTTGACGAAAAAGTGGCACCTCATGGTATTGTACTATAGATAGCGCCCCACAGCAAGCCGACGATTGCAGTGCTCTAGTGTATGCTCTATAGTATTACGTATAATGAAGGAGAAACACGATGGAAACGCCATTTGCATAAGCATCGTCATTATCGAACCATGTGTACGTGATTAGGAGGATTGCCAAGCACTTTGGCCATATCTTTTTTGGAACGTCGTTGAGCATTTTTAGTATATGTTATTGATGTTCCGATGTTCCCCAGACCCTCATGACCATCATTAACCCGAAAGAGACTATAAGGAGACACAACCCATCCCTGTCAGTCTGTAGGATACATTAAGTACCTTTGTAGTGTAGATGTATGCCATATAGGTCAAATGGGTCAAATGGGTCAAAATAATCTACCAGGCGTCAACCAAGGAGAGCCACCGGCGTCATGTCCGCTAGAAAAGAACCATGGAATTGCAAAATATGGATTGCAGAGCAACGTCATCGCAAGTAAACAAGCATTCTGCATGGATAGCCAATCCCCATATTCACGTGCTCACTCGACTAATTACCAATTCGGTCGGTTCATGCGGGGGGCGACGGGGTAAGATCTACTTTCACTACGTAAGCTCGGTATGAGATGGGTAAATTTGGGTGATGGGGTTGCGATGGAGAATTCCAAAAAATTCAATAAAAAAGTAACCTAGGCATTTGCCCGGGCTTGCATTATGGCCGGAGGTGACGTCATGATTCGCACACGGGTGCCGGCCGGTCAAGATGGGACCCCTGCCAAGACTTTTAGTATTCTTTTTGATGATTAAGCACGCACCGCATTATGAACAAAGGACGAGTTAGGGCTGAATCATCAAGCTTACCTCCCACTAGGCATGTAGATCGCACCGCCACCCAGCCACCACAGCCATATTATGTAGGTATGAGGTAATGTAGGTATGAGGTAATGGTACCTAAAAGCTAAAAGTGATAATCCGAAGAAATTCCTTAATAAGGATGATCCCCAGCCACGAGATTTTAAGCCACAGATAAGCCACAGAAATCTATAGAAAGCTTTGGATTGGAATTGTCAATATTAAGTACCTAAGTACCTAAGTACCTATCACGCTTCGCTCACCTGTTTGTTAGTTGACAATTGTAAGTCAGTTCAAAGACTTTCTAAGACGATGCATAGAACAGTCGTGATAATTCCGAGCGAATAATTGAAGATTAATTTTAATAAAGTTCTTTCTCATTCGTAGAATAATAGGATTGGACAATGAATCGACTGATAAATGTCGGGGCTGGCGTGACTAAAAGCTGCAAAGTTGGTAAAGCAGCGAAAATTGTAGAAGTTTCCAGTCAATTCTCACAACTTCGCGCACCATCGTGAGACTTATCGTCCACCCCCAACAACGAGAAGTAAGCATCATACATCGAACTACAATACGTAATTGATTGTTTGTAGAAACATCTGTATTCTTCTAGATAATTTTAGATTATTCAAAAAATGATTCCATCGCATTTCTATAGGCCTTTCGTGAAGATGGTAGAACATACTCATCTCATGACTTGTAAATATTTAAGGAGCCTTAGACATCGTGAGATTTGCTTCTCTCATTCCTCAGATCAGACACAAATCAGAACAGCAAACACACACGCAAACAAATAAGCCTTTTATGAAATCTTTCGCTCGCACTCTTACAAGAGTAAAGCCGCAAAGAATCATCAAGTCTAAATACCTTAAACCAATTAACACTACAATTTCACCTGTCAGCAACTTCCACACTACTACATCCAAAATGTCGATGTTCGGACCTCGATTCTACTCTTCCGCCGAGCCCAACTTCACCGGCCTCTTCCGACTAATTGACGACTTTGATCGCTACGCCGGACAGAACGAGGGCGGCGCAGCTGCTCAACAAGCCGGTCGTCACCATGGTCGTCACCTACCGACCTTCACTCCCAAGTTCGACTTGAAGGAGACCGAGCACAACTACGAACTCCACGGAGAACTGCCAGGCATTGAGAAAGACCAAGTCCACATTGAGTTCACCGACCAGCAGACCATTGTCCTCCGCGGCCGTGTTGAACGCACTTACACCTCTGGCACTCCCCCGGCTGGTCTCCTTGAGAAGGGCCAGGATGAGTCGAAGGGCGCTATCGCCGACGCCCCTAAGGAGCACCACGAGAAGGCGCCAAAGCCTACCGTCGAGGATGCTCCTGAGGAGGGTAACGCTAACACCACCGTCGCCGAGACCAACAAGAACAAGGCGGCGGCCGAGCAGCCCAAGCAACCCCAGCACAAATTCTGGGTCTCGGAGCGTAGCGTCGGCGAGTTCTCGCGAACCTTCCAGTTCCCGACCCGCGTCGACACCGACAACGTCAGCGCCTCGCTTAACAACGGCATCCTGAGCGTCGTGGTCCCCAAGGCCAAGAAGCCCGAGGGCCGCCGCGTCTTCATCAACTAAGCGGATTTACCTATTTGATCCGTTCCTTTCCTTTCCTTGATATATCACTACCGGTTCACTCTCTTTTCTTGCTACACACTCCTTTCGTTAGTTCTTCATTAATACGACATCACGACATCACGTCTTTAGCACGGAGTTCTTGGACGGAGGTACAATGGATGAAAATCGATTGGGCCGGTCTGGCATCTGACGATCATTCTTAAGGGAATCGGGGGGGAAAGTGGTTCGCGGAGGATTTGTGATTTTAGTCGTTCCTATCAAGTTAATGATAAATTGTTTCTGCGGAGGAAGGCTTATGGGTTATAAATGAGGACATCATATCATTAATAAAAATATATTAAAAAATATCTTTATCTCAAGATGCTTAGTGAGATAGTAGTGTCTCGATGACTTTGGAGTGGAGTGAATTATGGATGATAGCACGGAGTTGTGTGTAAGCACTTTATTGATGGGTGGTTACACAGTATCCCGAGCTGATTCGTTACGGGTATAAGTTATACGTGAACGAGTTTTAGAATACTGAAGTATTATACTCTCTTGAGAGTTATTTATGAGTTCTTTCTTTATGTATTTCTTGTCCCTTTGTAAGAGATGCTGATGATTTAGTATACATGTCAGGATTTTCAGAATAAAGCCTCATAAATCTTAAGTTCACTCATCTCAACTCTTACAGGAGGATTAATATAAATATCACACCACGTGCGGGGATGACATGCATTAAGTGCTTTTCAGCTGAGGCCTTGGCTTGAACGAAAATGATGCATCGTTTATTCTCGTCTCCCAACAAAGTATCCCCCCTAGTACGTGCACAAAAGTCCGCCGCTATTCTGCTTTAAGATGTTCTATCGTCTCATAATACCGAGACATCGGTCATGAGGCGTTGGGGTTTCCCTTGCGTGGCGTAAACGTGAATTATCCCCTGTGCTTGGCTTTTACATAGGTCTTAAGTATAAGTAATAAAACTCCGGGAGGACCCCTCGGAGAAATGACTTTGACATTCGATTCCACCATGCAGTCAGGAAGTTCCGATATGGAGCACCGCGCAGTTGACTCTTTGTCGTTTGTCCATCCCTTTCGTCCCACGCCCAAGGATACCGAGGAGGTGCGCTCTATTCTGGAACATAAAGTGCCTCCGGAACTTGCCATCCAGATAGTCTCCCTTGGGTACAACCCGTGGCTTGTAAAACGGAAAGTCCACGAGCAGGAGTATTACGCCGACTACACGAAACCCAATGCGGAACACTGTGTTGCGGGCTTATATCTCACCACCGAGTGCATTCCCAACGATGGACGCCGAGCCATTCCACAACGCATCATCTTCCAGACGAGCGCTGCGTACCAAGGATATATAGCTCACGACGGAAAGGATGGCTTTCTTAACAGCCATACGCGGTTCGACGCTAGCATTCTACGCCCCCTATCTCCGAAAGCAGAGAGGAAGGGCCAGGATATTCCTCTTGAAGACGTCCTCCTGGATACCTGGTGGGATCCTATGTCTGCCGCGGACGTTCTGAGGGAGAAAGGATGGGACTTTGTGGCGGCAAAGGACGGGCGTATCGAATGGCGAGTGTGCAACAATAGCGAGGCATACAGCGAGTACCAGGACTATAGGGTTGAATGGGGAAGGGATGTTCAGACAGAGGCTGAGGACGATGGGCCGGTAGGGAAAGGTGAGGGGTTTTTGGAGCTGTTGGAGCCTGGGTTCATCGTTGTACTTTGGGTCAGAACAGGAGTATGTCTAAACCCGTGATATGATATTGTTACTGAGTTTGATCGCTGACTTGAATCACATATAGCTAAGATGTTGGTGTAATAAGGCCCGAGCAGCGACTATTGAGATCGAATATGAGCTACCGTAGGGAGCTTACAATAGTCTTACAACGTTGCTAATTTCGTTATTGTATATTGATCCGTGGATCCATAGTATTAGCACAGCCCGGAGGATACTTATTAACGTTAATGATGGCAGCTTAAATTTCGGTTTGCTTGTAGCCTATATCCATCTAAGGAAAACTGCAACTGAGTATAGTTCGACTAGACTTATTGCGGCTGAGCATTCGACGATAATAGTCGAAGTTCATACCACCTGTCTGATTAGAATCTGATTTATATGGTGTACTAGAAGCTTACCAAAACTAGGATTTTCCGAACTAGATATTAAGCAAGATCAAGATGAACATGGAGGCCACTTAAGTGACTACCGCCAACCCTCCCGTTGTACTTCCCACTCAACCGTCACTCTGATACCCCCGACTTCTCGCTCTAGTATACAACCTCCAACACGGTCTCTATCGTGCGCCTGTGGTGGAATAGATATTTCATTATCTATCGCTGTCCCTCGACGCGTACTTGGCTCGGTAGTTGAGATGGAAACCTCATGCAACGGTATGCATATGCGATTACCCCGGGCTTCGCCTCTTTCTAGTTGAGACCTGTTAAAGTCTGTCCCGGCGCTCTTTCTGCTGGAATAAGTCATATTAGAAAATTTACTCCACGTGAGCACACTTGGGAATCTGGTGCCAAGTGGTCTGAGAAGGGGGAGACAGGCGTTGATAATGCCAAGACAAGTCTCCAAGGTTGCCCAGATACTATCCCCTGACATTTCATATGGGATGTCTGGGATGTCGCTTAGTGACGACCGCGCATGGGACCAAATATGGATAGATGTTATGATACATATTCTGAATGAGGTAAGTTTTTGTTTCTATAGTCTAACGGTACGGCCAGTTGTCTTACAATAACCCCATAGCGAATATACCAATAAGCATCCACTTCTTTCTCACTTCCAAATGAGGTAGCTGCCAAATCTGTGGTAGCGGAAGGAAGAAGACGATAATGTCGAATACCATATTAATAATTGGGTCAGATATATACGCAGCGGTCAAGTTGACGCAATAGGCAGTCAGGTCTGTTGTGAGTTGTATATCAGGATTCCACGTCGCCTCGAAGGGCGTACAGAAAAAGAAGATCCTGACCAATACACATACTCCGTTGGCAGTTATGAGACCTATAACGATATAGCAACTTATATGGAAACGTTTATTAAGAAATATCGTAACGTAGAAATGAAGTATGCTAATTTTTATCAGGCTATTGGCCACGGCCCATAGGGGTTCTTCGGCCACGTAGGCTTTGTACAGGCGAGGAACAGTCGCAGGCCAATCCTTAATAAGATATCCTATATGGTATCCGCTTCCTCCGGCCACGGATAGGTATAAATTTAAAGCAGACTGACCGCAGTTGAAAATTGATGCGGCCACGATTGCCCAGTCGTGAAACGCAATATGTTGCCCCGTCATCTTCCGAGCCCACAGTCGAAGTGCAACGAACAATATCGAAATAGGGGTGAATACAGAAATTACAATGATTAGTCTAATGGCTCTTGGAGTTAACGGTGGGTTTCCTGAAGGATCCCGGGGTCTTGGGTTTGTAACGACGGTCATTTTCGCCGACAGAAGAGATATATAATAAACTATAAACAAGAGGAATTAACATAGCTTAGCTAGAGATAAGAAAAAGCTATAGATTATACATAATATGAAGTACGTAATAGAGTAACAAAGGGCAGATAGCACAACAAAGAAGATAGATACGATATCAGCATAACATTTCATTCGCGGATGAGATTGTGAGCATTCAAGAATCCTACCTTGTTTATAATAGAAGACAGTGGCGTTGTAGAACAATATAAACTTGCTATAATCGGTGATATTACTGCCTACTGTCCTCCTTGTAGTAACATGGCGGACTGGGAATCTAATTGGTCCATTCTTATGCTCAAGACTACCTAAGGGAGAACCCTGAAATCACTGTCATGCGGAGGGTCGTTCTGGGAATGGCTCTTTTATTGGAGTTTCATACAAGGTTATACGGATCTCATTGATTGTAATACGAAGGTTCTAGTAGTTTCATACTTGCGGTTTGATACTGTATAGTTAATAGCTAATCTATGGGTGATTTGAAAATTGCCAAACCCTCTTTACAAAGCGTAGCTTAGGTCATCTTGAAGTAATCCCAACTATCTCCTCAGTATCGATGGCTGAACCGATCAAGAGCCGTATCTATCTTGATATCCATTCTATGGCTGCCAGATAGCAGGGCCGGGCATGACGTATGAGTTGGCCTTGGGGCTGTTCCACTTGTCGAATTTGATACCGGGGTCGTCAGCCTTGTAGATACCAGGACTAAAGAAATTCGATCAGTTATCTTGGTTTCAAGTAGCAACAGAATACAACTTCAAGCGCAACTTACATCTTGGCTAAGGGGCTGGGGGTTCCAGTTCCGTCGCTGGCAATCTTGAGCTGAGCGCACTCCATGTAGAATTGGGCACGGTCCTTGAACGCCTCGTGAAGGCCAATGTGCTCGACACGGACGAGGTACTCGCCGGCGGGGATCTCCTTGGGGATCGTGAACTCGATACGGTCCTTCTGCCAACTGCACCAGGAACCATCGTTGCCCGGGGTGCTGGGGTTGCAGAGACCGATCTCGTACACCTTGAACCAGTCACCCGAGCCGTCGTACGAAGCGACACCAGACTCGGGAGCCTTCGACATGTAGACGAAACCCGGGCCGGGGTGTTCGATGAACTCGTTGTACGCAAGCTTGAATCCGATTTTGTCGCCAGCGTTGACGGAGTAGGTCTGGGTGCTGCCGGCCTGGGCACCCTTGTTGCACCTTAGGTCGGGAGAGTTGATAACCTCACTGGGGAAAGACGGCATGTAGGTGTTGCTGTTCTTTCGGATGTAGGTGTAGTCCTGACCGACGGCTTTGCCATTTACGATCAGTTGAGAGAAAATGTAATGGCCTTCTGCCAAAGTGGCAGCCAGTAAGGCTGTAAACGCAGCCGACTTCATTGTTGAGGCTTATGGGCGGATGCTGGGAGTTCGATCGGTTGGGGTCTTCACGTTCCACAACTGGTCTGAGGCGGTGGCTCTCGTGTATTTATAGACATCCAAGACCTGGGGAATGTAGTACTTCTTGATCTGTCATGGCCTCCTACCACATGCTGTGGTTGCCTATATTAGAACAGAGTCACACTTCGGTTATCGCGCTTGCTTAAGACTTTAATGGAGGCATTACTCGGCTAAGACAGCGGGCGGATTTTCTCACTAGATGCACCTATGAAATATCTTGCCGCAGATGAAAGTTGCCTTCTCCGTGCTGCCAAGATCTGGGGGGGCTGCAAGATACAGGGCATATTAACCGTCTTGGTATACTTATTTATACCTGTTCACCAACCGCAACTAATATCCCATCCAATAAGGCTGGATTTTGTAGCCTAAGCCGTAAATTTCAATTAGGGGTTTGAATCTCCTGACTCGTTTCCATTGGATAGCGACTTCTAACATATACTCTTCCTTGTATATTTAGCTTGGCGCAACTTGCTCATTGGGAGCCTTATATCAATTCTCGAATTAGCAAGGCCTTTTTGAGCGGCATTTGCCTCCATAGCCGAATACAGATACTGCAATTTGGCCATACACGACTTACCCAAGACTCTGGTAGAGAATTTGCAATTGATAGTTCGGCAATATCTCGTCAAGTAAGCGACGGCAGTTAGCAACGCGAGAGCTCAGTAGTAGCGGCCCAATCATATTTCAACTGACGAAAACTACAAAATCCCACTGTGAAGCTCAGTAAGTAATTAAAGCTGGACTCATTGTATAAGTTAGACATAAAAAACTTAATACTTTGCTCGCCTACCTAAAGATACCCAAGCAGTGAAACCCATACGTAGATAATCCTATAGTTATCACTATGATTGCATATTTAAATAATAAGACAATTTGACAAGTAGTTTAAACCTTAGGGGTTCATGAAACCCTATACATTATTCAAGAGGTCGGAGTAGTTCGTAGGAAGCCTATATTGCGGCAGGAGTACCCGAGCGTACCTGGATACGATAATTGTTACTCTATATTCTCCGAGTCGTCGTCAACTAGGGTGTCATCCTCGTCCCTTAAATTAGATTGAAGTAATCCTGTGATATATATTGTGTTAATACTTAATTACAAGGCATCTGAGAATAGAGTACTCGACGGAGGAGGTATTATTCTGGAAAGCGTGGGTCCATGCTACTTTACCTTGTCTTACTGAGTCCTGTAGGTCTTGGCTCTCTTTACTACCATCAATGCCGAAGAGCTCCGCCATGTCTTCAAGTGATCGACCTCTTGTTTCAACTCCAAGTAGTTAGAAGATGCGTTTGGTGTATCGTAATAGGGTCACATACCAAGAGCATATCGTACGAAGAAGAACGCAAAGACACATATAATCGCAAACAGTATATAAAGACCGTAACCTGTAGCGGTCTCGATAGGGGGAGACACCTGGGCTACTACAAAATTCGAGATCCAAAGTGAGGCTGTACAAAGTGCATTTCCTTTAGCCTGGAGATGTTGATTAGCGAGGTCCCTAAGAAAACTTGTCTATATTAACTGAGATGGTGGCTCACGCGTAGGGAGATCGGAAAAATTTCAGCTGCGTAAGTCCACGAACCAGAGCTCCAGCTCATATTGAAGAATGTAAAGAACATATAAGGAAATATTATAATAGCATTATTTGCCGGGCTGTGGGGGTAGTCTGCAGCATGTTGCTGTAGAACACAAATCCCAACAAGGGCAGATATCATGCCTATTAAGCCGAATTGCAACCAAGTTTTTCGTCCAAAGCGGTCGAAATAGAAAATGGGTATCCACGAGCTAAGGAATAGTACTACACCAATCCCTCCAGTCGCTAGATTGGCCATGGTAGGGTCTGTTATTCCACCCTTCTTGAAGAGCGACGGCGCGTAGTAGAAGATCCCATTAGTTCCTGTAGTTTGTTGGAACATTTGAATACTGGTTCCCAATAGAGTGACTCTTAGGACTGGCCCCTTAAACATGTCTGACCAAGATGCCTGCGTAGTGACCTGCTCTTCGGACACGGTCTTCCTGATCTCGCCGATTTCGAGTTCTGCCGCATCCGAGCCATGTAGCCTCGAAAGAACTTCGAGGGCACATTCATATCTCTCTTCAGCCACAAGCCAACGAGGGCTAGGAGGCACCCATGTCCAACACCCAATGGCAAGAATAATAGCGGGTATAACCTGGATAACTAAAGGGATTCGCCACCAATCGTCAGAGTTAAGGAAGTAGAATGCATAGACAATCCAGAACACGACCATTTCACCAAAACAGAGGATCATTAATTCGATCCCGACTATCCTCCCACGGAGCTCTGCAGGGGATATCTCCGAAATGTAGAGCGGAACACCTGCAGAATATGCGCCAACCCCCAGCCCGAGGATAAAACGTCCGATGCTCTAATATAATGTTAGTACAGAATTTGGAATAATGTATTGAATATAACATGTAAGCCTAGAGCGTACAATTTGTGTGATGGTGTAGGATGCGGCCTGAAGTAGCGCACCAATGATAAAGACCGTGCTCGCCAAGGATATGGTCCTCTCACGACCGCAGACATCTGCAAAAAAGCCAGTTGTCATGGCTCCAATGACACAGCCGATGTTATATATGCTAACAACGAAGCCTACACTCCAATCGCTTACAGGTTGCATCAGCTTCAACCATCTCTCGTCGGCAATGATCATAGCCATGACCCCCTGATCCCAACCAAAGAGGAAGCCTCCGAGGGACACAAAGGCAGTCAGCGTATACACATATTGGAGGTCTGCCAGCCGTCTCCGGCCCGGCGTTACATTGCCGGCCGGTCGGATCAGTGTCGTCTGTTTGACGAGATGAATCATCGTTCGGCGCCGGAATGTTGAACTTGAAACTTAAGTTCATCTACTGATATATCGTTAAAGAATGGTAAATAGATAAAATAGGTACCTAGGTAGTTAAGGTCTAGGTTAAAGACAAGGTAATGTTCTCAGGGGCACTGAGGAATGTGGGGACAATAGCGGATAAACAGGGGGCGTCTGCTTTAGTTCCACAGGCCACAGCGGTCACATGAGATACGCTACAGCCCCTGAGCTCTAAGCTCAACTGCCCGAGGTTACCTCTAGGTTCCTACGTGTCTTGTATATGCAATCAACAAAACAATTCTAGATTGGTATGTGATATATAATAGGATTAGTTTCGACAGCTAAATCCGATATAGATAGGTACGCTATTAATATTGTTATCTTCACCAATTCAGGCTTCTACCGTAGCCAAAATGATTTAACAGGAGCCTGGTTTATAACTATCTTTGGATAATAAAATAGAATGCTTAGCATAGCATTGCTATGAGAAGTCGTCGAGTCCTATTATTCAAAAGACTTATTCTAGGATGAGTGCCTAAATTAGGATAACGTTCCCGTTATAATATTTGTGCCGTTTATTATTTTAGTAAGATCCACGTTCCCGTCCCCGTCCACAATGGAATGGGATATCTATTTGATACAAACGGGACTATTAAAAAAATAGCAACGGTTAACCATATACTATACTTTACATTAGATAGGTAGTAGGTACCTAAGTTACCTACACCTTCAATCGATAGATTAATTTCGCATTTTACCGATAGGATACCCGGGAAGACGTTGCATTGGAAGATGATAGAAAGAAAGTCGGTGTGTTGATTATAGGGGAAAGTAATAAAAGTGGAATATATTCACAATAGTCGAACCCTTTCCGTAACCATATCCGGTAGTGCTTGTGCCGGGAGCATCGGAAGTATAGGGGTTTCCGGGAAGTGAAAATAGAGGTCGTATAGTCCCAATTTTACATGTCCGACTACTTTGTATCCACCTTCAGTCTCTTGTATCAATTTACCCTGTGTGCTACTGTCGTTACTATAAAGGACTAGAACCTTGAACCTTGTCATTTCCTGGTCTTTTAGATTTTCGAACGGATAGAGGGGTGCATATCCATGAAGACCGTCACCGAGGCTCCAGGAGACTGCAGGAAAATATTGTGAGTGCGTCTCCATTAGTTCCCCTTCAGATGTTAGCCTATACCAACAGAACCAAGAACTAGTGTAGTTAGTATAGTGAGGATAATTAACTGTAACAGCGAAAACCTGGGACTTGATGTGAATAACCCGACAGAGACTATACTTCCTAATTGAAGGATGTGGTTGTCTGCATAAATCATATAATAACCGAGCTTCTTGTGTGTCATCCTCGACCCAAACCTCGCTATCGACGTACGCACATATGGGCGAGTCAATCCGAGTAGGCCAGGAAACGGCACCTGACCATCCAACCCAAGACCAACTGGGAGAACTTGTGCTTCGTCGTCGCGTGGCTTCCCTTACAATCCAGCTCATTCCAAACAAGAAGTTGGTAGTGCAGTTTATGCTTGCAAGCGTGCGGTCGTGTACCATTTGACCAAATACTGGTACCCCGAACAAGTGAAATACGGGACATTTCCCCTCAGCAAGGCATCCCAAGGTGCCCAAAATCCCATTGAGATAATCATCTTCGTATGTCAGGTGCCGCCGTGAGTACTCAGCTATATATTTGAAGACCTCCTCCTCGGAGTCCCCAATTGGTCTGTTATTGAACAGACGCGGGATTGTTGCACCTATGTGTTCGTTATCCAACCACAGTTCTTCATGGCTACAGTTCTGACATTCGAAATACGTTTGTTGGTCTGTGAAATATAGGCGACGTCTAGATAATAGCGCCTCCTGGTAAGTCCAAGCCCTGGTCATCCAGACACTTTGGCGGATTGCTCCAAAGGGATAATCACGAATGCCAGTAATCATCCAGTTTGAGATGATTTTCTTTGGTATGATACTTGCCCGAGGAATGGAAACGCCGGGCAAACCGTAGCTGGGGTCTGATCCAACGGCAGCTATAATTGTCAAAGATGCCCCGTTATAAATACGGCCCATTTGCTGGATCTCAGCATGCTTCTCGGTCGAGTGGTGTTGATCGATACAATACCTATCCACCCAAAGATATCGATAATCAAGTTTAATCGTTACTTTAATCGCGTCCCGAATGGTGGTCGGGGAATCTCTAAGACTTTTAGATGGATCATGATGTTGCTGGCCCCAAACATAACTAAGCGCAACGTATGCGTATGTCGGCTGGGCTGTCACAATTGTCAAATTTTGACAATCAATCAACTTGCTTGGCCAATTCTGCTTGCGCTTCTGGGGAGTGCAATCATTAATATGACTTGGCATCGAGTTACAAGTTGACAGGTATCTTTTAATTGGTTCGTAATCAGTGAACTCGCGATTTATTGATATGCTTCTCGTGGGACAAATTGATTTATTAGGGAGTAATTGTGAGCTTGTAATTTCTGCCTTTCGCTGGTTTGTTTGGTTGATATCGTAAGAACCTGGACTGGGCTTGAGTCTTAGAAAGACAGCCATATGTGACGACATGACATGTCTGTGTAGAGGTAGCGTTATCCGTCTATCACGGTACATAATCAACTCGGGACAACTCCAGAATTCAGGAGACACAAATGTTTGAAGCATCCAGATAATAACGTCACAGAGTGGACACGATGATTTGTTATGTTGTAGGTGTACATGTCTTACATTGCAGACGTGTACGTAAGTATCGGTTTTGGTCGTTTCCGCGACAAGAGAAGTTATATCCAATGAAGCACACTCTTTACATAGAGTACTGTCGCTATAGAAGTTTAATTTGCTTTCACGTATGGCGATTTGGGGTTCTGTGTATAAAAAGTCTGCCCCACTATATTCATTGACAGAGCTCTCCTTATATCTGACTATGTAAGCCGAGATAATGTTAGTGACCTCGATTGTATTGCTTGGATCTTTAATACATACCATCATCTATAGATATGCGGCTAAAGCTAGATCGGTGTTCCATAGTTAAGATGATGTCCTGAAGATTATGTACCTCTTAGATGATTATTTGTATGTGTCCTTGTTAGTGATATAATTCTTATGGGCAACTAACTAAGATTAAGTGTGGGAGGTGAGGGAGTTGACTGCCGTGGTTAGATATATACTATTGCCTTGCGTTGATCTTTGCTATGTGTACGCTGTGATCTAAGTGGTCATACGAGTATAGCCACCCATGCAAAGCTACATAGTGTGTGAATAATACACTTGCTCCGATGGTAGGTAGTAAGTATATTATTATAAATACAGCCACAGCCTTAATTGAAGTAGGCTCTCGGTATTTATTACATGATACTAGTATCCTACCATCCTATATCGACTAATTAAATATCGTACTCATTAACTAATATAACACGACATCCTTCGAGGTCAATATCATTCTTCTATAAATTCTAGATAACATTTCTCATTTAAATTAACAGGTCAGATCAAATTTCGGTGTCGCATCACCAATAGGGGTAAGAGCAAATGAAATATCTGTCTGTGCTGTGTTGGCATCTACTAATGTGTACCAGAAGGTGGTGCGCTGTCCAAAAAGCGCACAGCCGACTTGCGAGTAATAGTTTTTGGCGTTCTCGACCGAAGCGATGGCGTCACGTTGCTGGGGGCCCGCTGCATTATGCACATATTAGTATTTATACTCGAATTGATTATGACTGATCAGATGCCAAGGCAGAAAGACGTGGCGCCTTTTTACCTCCAGGGGGGAGGGGGACTTACAACTCGGCCATCCAGTTTCGGTGATAAAAACGGGCTTTCCTCTTGCGACACCCTCTGTTTGCTGGACGGCAGACCAGAAGTTGTCTGCAGCCTGCCCGATGGCGTTCGGCTTAGTAGTTTCGAAATAGGGGAATGAGTTGTGCCCAAGGAAGTCAACAGAAGCAATTACCCCGGCGTTCTCAGGTAGAACCCAAGCCGTCCTAAAATTTCATGCCGTAGGTTAGTAACAGCTATTGTATCACTACTAAATGCTTGGGGAAATGCGGATTTAATCCCCGATGCATAAGAGAAAAGGGGAGCTAACCAGGTATCAACATGGCCGATCGGCTTGCCTTCTAAGGGGGTACCGCGTAGCCAGTCTCGCATCCAGCCGATATACCCTTCTATCTCTGCGCCGGTAGCACCGACGCCGGCATTATTGGCTTTGCCGTCGGGACTGCTCCGGTATAAGTCCTCGGAGCCGACGCTAATGCCGATGATGCGGTCGGTGAAGGCCGTGCCTAGCCGGTTAGCAGCGGCAATAAGGGCATTTAGTTCATTCTCATAAACATCGCGGCCGGCGCTAGCCCACAGACCGGCTAGTATATGTGTATCGGTGTCGATGGCAGCTTGAAATGCCGAGATGGGATCCGCGGCCGTACCGCACTGGATTGACGTGTAAAGGCGTGCTGCAGTAAACTTGCCCTCCGTGCCGGGCAAGCCCTTAGCACGCTCGAAGAAGCCCCTGAAATCATCGTATCCCCGACACGACCCGTCGTTATTGGTTGACCCGTAGTTGAAGCCCTGGTAGGCTTGTGCGGCAGCAGTGGCAGCAAAGCCAAGAGAGACGAGATGCTGTCGGAGCTGCATACTGATTTACCTTCGATTCTCTTATGAAATTTGTTTCACTTTAATCTAAGAAAGATGTGGTACGATGCAATCTATAGGGTGAAGATCTTAAGATTGTAGATTTTTCATGCCGTAGAGAAAGGGGATCGCAGATATTTAAACTGACGATATGTATAACATAAACACACATTCTACCCATATACGTAATACATAAAGAAATCCGACCATACAGTAATATCCCGAGTCTTCCAACTCAGAGATGACAATGAAGTGTTCCTATTTGCAATCAAGTTGGGGATGACGACGGGTGAGGCTCGTATTTAAAGGGCCAAGAGATGCCCAGGCGAGCTAGAGTGCGCCGGTAGAGACGGTCAAAAACTTCCAATTGGGCGACATCGCGAATAGTTCCCGATGTAGTAATTGATTGACTGTCGTCAGTTGGTGAGCTGGACACCGCCGCGGAACTAGCACAGCCCAAAGGCTTTGTCACCGGCTTTCCCCTTTTTATGAACGTCATGTAATGACCCTACTTTGTTAGTATCATTCCCGATGAGAAAGCGCCCAACTAGCAGCACATTTTAATTTGACACAGCTATGCGTTGTTCTCCTTAACGCCGCCTTTTCAATCGTACGCGGTGACGGGAATAAGATACCACATGTACGACCAAACTTTGCAGTATCCCAAGTTAAAGTTGAAATCATGTACATAGCCGTAAAAGCGCGTGCTTCAATAACCCGACGTTCTACAGCAGCTACCTGTGAACCCAGATGACACGCATTCAGATGTATGTATATAACGCATAGCTAAGAGATATATATCCCGAGATACACAGCATAGATGCTGCCTCACCTAAATGATCCGAGCCACTACAAAGTAGATGTATATAAACGAACTATACCAAGCAAAATTTATGGCACCACCAATTAATATCATATCCTCTAAGAATCCATACTCCCCCGCGGGCTCTCCAGCGGACTAACCGTTACTGGGCTTTCCGGCACCTCCGTATCGCTATCCACCTCATACACGCCTATAGGCGAAACCAGCTCATCACGCTCCAGTCCGCCTTCGTCAGCCGCGCTAGGAGCTGAGACGTAGCTTAGCCGTGGCAAATCATCTACCCCTTCTCCTTCCCCGTCGCTTCCGATCGGCGACACAGGCTCCGGGCCCACGGCACTAATAGGTCTTGTAGTTGAAGCCGAAGGGTTGTTTACGGCACGATGCGAATTAAGTCCATCGAAAACCCGACTCATGATCGGTGATACGGGAACGTGGCTTAGCCGCGGGCTTTGAAGCGCCGCCGTAGCACTGGTAGGCGTGGTACCTGTGCCCTCGAAGTCACGCGACGGTTTGAGCGGCGGGAGGGGTGTTACGGGTCTAGTGCCCGGGGGAGGCGGGGGAGGGAACGGGAGTACAGGTATACGTGGCAGGCTTTTCTGCCGCCTGTCGCTAATTTCTCCGCTTTCCAGGCCGCGGGTTCCAAGCCGACTATCGCTGAGGCGCTTCATCAAGTTTGCGTCGACCGGGTGCGAGCCCAGGGGATTGCCAGGCGGACTAAGCGGCCAATTCGGCCTGGGGCTCTGGCGCGCTGCTGCTGATTTATACCTTCTGATACCTGGTGCGAAGGAGCTGGCGGATATGGGTATGGGCTTAGAGATGGAGAGTGGGTGCTCTTGGATCATGGAAAGGGGTCGTAGAAAGCTTCTTCGGGTCGGCGGCCTCTCTGGTCTCACCGTTGCTGCTGATGTCGTCTGTTTTGGTTCCTTTTCTGGTGACGGCGAGATATCGATCGAACTATCTGTACTCTTCACGGGGACCGGTGGAGCGTTAGCAGCATTCTTTTTGGCCCGACGCCGGCGGAATATTAGAGCGGCGATTATGACGGATAGGATAACGAAGGCGACGGCGCCGACTACGGTACCTGCTATAGCACCCGCGGATATAGAACGAGACGACGAGTCGCTCTCGGACTCGATCGTGATCTGGATTAAATCAGAAGTGTCGGATGGGGAATCTGTTTCTGTTGTCGATGTATCCGATGTCATGGTTAGCTCTGGTGGAAAGGGGTATAGGATCCCGAATCCCTGTGTTGCTTGGCATTCGATGTGTCTAAATGTTTCCTGAGGGTCGTCATCATTATCGAGCCAATACGTATAGCAGGATGGATGTGTGCTAGGGCTATAATTGGAACGTTCAGTACAATTAATCTAATAATATTGCTCGCTTCAAACTAACCAGCATAGTGTCTGCGGTCCGCATTCAGCTGTGTGGAGGACTTTCCCATGGTCGATGCAGTCCGTGTAGATCGTGGAGGCACAGTCGTCGGCGCCTGGCAAGCAACAACCACGATATCCCTTTACATTAGTGCACTCATATCCGAATCCACAAGTGACTTTTAATCACTTAGGTCAGCTATAACCAGCCATCTCTTGGTGCTCGATGCTTAGATACTAATCAAGGAGATGAGAAACTCACTCGTGCTGGCAGTGGTGAAACCACAAGTGTCGACCCCTAACACGAAATCGGTCGTTCCTGGGACGTTCACGGCGGTGAGAGACGCTGGTTGCCCCCCAGGCCGTATCCCATAAGGCTTGAGGGTCTGGGTTGGGATGCTGATTAGCGGCATGTCGGGTCGCCAGGGTTGATGGGAGTCATCATCAGACTCATCACTCATATCTAATGAAATATTAGGAAACGAAGCAGTCCTAAGAATTAGAATATCCACAAGAATGTGGGATATGGCTCGGACTCGATAAGGGGTGACTTCCTTTCGAGCAAATCTCATTGTCCTTAAATCTAAGGGGCGAATGTCCCCGGTGTATCCCACGACCATCTGCTCTTTGTGTTTGCCTTTACGAAACATCAAATCACTTCGCAAAGACACGTGTGTAAAATAAAGAATCACGTGTATCATTAACAATGACTGAGGTGGTACGTTTCCGCTTTACCGATAGTCGAGAAATGTCCATAGGGCACCAGAACTACCTACCCCTTGACGAAATAAAATTTTATCTATATCGCCGAAAATACATCCAAACTACTCAACTCCTTCCCCGGCCACTATATAGAATATTAGAATCAATGTCATAGAGATATGAAAAGAATAGGAAAGGTGGAGACCGATGTTTTTCGCCTCAAGGCTTGAGAGAACATACCGAGAACATTGTGTTAGATTCGCATGAAGACCCGAGTCCTGCGTTATCCATCCAGGCTGGTTCCCAATAGAAGAGTCCGTTACCATTCTTTACTCCAGCTACTACCTCTGCGACTTTCTTCATGAAGGTAGTTTGGCCGTCTGCTGAAAACGGGATACTCTTAAGGTCGCTCGGGAACGAGTAGGCGGGAGACTTGCAAGATGTAGGCCAGTTGGTCTCGGCCACAACAATCTCCTTACCCCAAGTATTCGCCATGTTAGTAAGACTCGTCTTAAGGTTCGAAAGCGTTGCAGACGGGTTGCTATTTGGTTGGTTAGGAGCCATAACCCTACTATTTGCCTATGTCGCGGGGGACTTACTAGAACGGATAATAGGAAACGCCCATCATGTCAAAGTCCGAAGTCGTCAATGGCCCTGCCTTCAAGACAGATTCGTACCAATTCTTCTGGGTATTCCAATTCCACCCATTATCGAGATGGATCATAATACGGGGCTTAGGAGATAACTTGCTATCCTTGACTCCCCAAGCAGCTGAGTGTAGTAGCTGAGCAACGTTGTAAAAATTCTTTGTGGAGCCCGTTGGGAGCAAGAGACCTGACGTTATTTCATTACCGATCGAGATGATGGTAGGTGATGTGCCTGCTGCAGCAAATTGGTTCGACACATCCAACGTGTAGTTATACAGTTTCCAAGCAAGATCGTCAATGTTCGTGGGCCATCCTGAAGGAATTGCTTGATGCCCTGGATCGGCCCATCTACATTAAGGAGGATGTCAATAATCTGAGGACTTGATACTGGATTTGGGATGGATGCTTCAGGGATTTAGCATCCTTACTGAGGCTCAGCCCAATGAGTGCTCTGTTTGACTCACGTATCACTATAATGAAAATCCACGTAAACGCCAAGCCCAGCGGCTTTTGCCCGCTTTGCCAATTTTAAATTGTAGTCTACGTTGTAATTGCCATCACGAGGATTGACCCAGACTCTCTGCCGTACGGTGTTGACTCCGGATTCCTTAAAGATCTTTTCGAGGGGCTGGGCGCTTCCACTTGTAGTGGTATAAGATATTCCAGCTTTCTCCTCAACTATAACCGAAGACCAGTCGACGCCTTTATACTTGAGTGCAGCTTGCACCGAAGTGAGCGACGACAAAGCTAGGAAAAAAGAAGCCAGCATCCTGCCCATAAAATAGATAAAATAGCGGTGATAATTAGGATAATTATCTTCGCAGACGATTATGCATTTTTCATGGGAACAGCTCCCCTTAATATTTTTCAACAAGTGGCTTCAGTCAACTCGAAGTGATGTAGGCCCCTCTCTTAATGGGCGATCCAAGACGGAGACCCATAAGCAGGGTCCGGTGGAATCTAACCCGAATCAAGACCAATCCGAGATTGAGAAGCCGAACGCCTATAGGGCCGTTACTCTAGATGAAAGTGCCCTATAGATACCTACTTACTAACTAATGGATGTTGAAATACTTATACTTATACTATAGAAGCTGTCGAGTTTCACGATAGTATCCCACCGGGGGGTATTAAAGGACATGTCAGCCGAAACGTCCTGTTTTCATCCAAGTGGTGCACTAATTTTCCGGCATGATGCTGAGCTAGCCATGATAGGTGCGGAGGTAAGAACTAAACAAGCTAATCGGAACGAATCTTTTCCGAGGTCAACTCAACTGATTGGTTAGGTTCTAGTAATGGCTGATGTATGGTATTAGAAGTAAACAGTACAGAGATGCAGGTGTCAAATCTGGGGAAAGGTTCTAGAATGATAATTGCCAAGACATGATCGTACCTTACAGATTGCTGCTGCCAAGAATTTAGAAACTCTGAGTAAGAGGTAAGCCAATAGATCTAAATAAAACTTATAGGTGAGATGACAGCGGTGGTGTATCCAATAAATTCCAGATACTGAATACTTATCCGGGTCTTAGTTTGTAATATTTATGCGGTTAGATTTGCTGTAGATAAAATGAATAACTATAGTATTCAAAGTAGTTTCGAAGCGATACAAGATAGAAATATACTTCTCTTCAGTTAAAAGTCGTAGACAACACCAAACTGGTTTGCGCCAACTACAATGACGACTACTGAGCTACTCTGTTGTAGTATCCGGTTGTTTTGTTTGCTTTGTAAAGGTCGACGGATAGCGGATGTATCCGCTCTCACGGACCATATCGGCCCCATGTGGAGAATCCAAAGTAGGCATTCATCTGCACTTTCAGTTGATCGCTGATCATTGATCACTGATCACTGACCATTGATCGCTATGATTAGCGTTGGGTTCTACTCGCGTATCGAAGTTTCGGCGCTAAACCACTTGAGATCGACAAAGCACGGTGAGCTATCTGGCTAGGGATGACTAGGTGGCTGACGTAGCAGAAAGCTTAATCGGGCTATCGGCGTTTGTACCGTTGGTACTTCTCTAATAATTCGCTAGCATGCGTGCGCCGAAACCCGGCAAAGCTTACAGACAACAAATTCTTAACGCTCTGATCGGTTAACCAGGCAATTATGGAACCATCCAAGAGAATTGCCAATTCCACTTAATTTCGGATCTAAATCCCCTCAATTAGCAGGATAACAACAGTAGTATCTAGCGCCTTCGAGCACAGAGCATTGCAGATAACCGAGGGAAAAGGTCAACGAAGCGTTTCATATCTGTTCCAAGAGGTAGGATTAAAATACAAACTATTGGTCACGTATGGCCGTGATTGATTTGGAACGTATTCCCTTCTAGCGATGATAAAAACATGTAGCACTCGAGGGTGCGGCTTCTTTATAGTAGAAACTACCTCGAATTAATAAGTTAAAGAAGAAAGCTGAAGCTAATATGTTAGTTAAAGTATTTCGCGTCAAGATATTTACCTAAGAGATACGTACTATTAAGGATCAGTCAAAATAGGATGTTATCGGTGGATTAACGACGGATGAGCCGAGTGGCAACCAAGCATCGATACCCTTGCTGGCGGATAATATCAAGCTAATAAGGTACCTATTTAGGTCCTTGGGTTTCAATAATCCTCGGCTCGGCATTGGCATTGGCATTGGCATTGTTTTATTAAGCAAAGAAAAATGAGAGGCGGGAAAAAGAGAATGTCTCCCATCGAGTCGTACAAATACCTTTGTAGAAAAAATGGTATACCTACCTAGGTAGTTGTAAAAGTTGGAATAGACTATTTGCTTACGGTTCCTATCTCATTCTTATTTTGTACATGGGTTGTACGGGTTGTATGTACGATTAGCCTACGGTTGTACCTGACTAAATACCTTCGGAGTAACCTCCATTCCAAAGCACCTCCTTAGGAGGTACCTAAGGCGTACCTTACCTACTAGTTGGAGATCCTGTCCAATCCCGTCTGCATAAACCCCGCATGCTGTACATACTCCAAATATTTTAACACGGCGATACGAAGCAGACTCAGAAGAAGCTGCATTGCTGTCATGGACGCTTACCGCATAAGGATAGACCGATACCTTACTTTCTTCGTAATGGATCTGAATTAAACATAGCTTCGTACTCTGGATAGGAAATAAGATGGAGATTATGAAGTCAATTTCGGCAAGATGACGTGAATTATCTATCACACGTAATTCTTAATTGGAGACTGAGCCTGTCAGACAAATCTTCGCAGTTATGAAAAGTGATAGTATCGTAGCGATGATAGCAAGACACAATGCCGATGAATTAAAGTGGGCTAGCCGGATAGAGAAAGAGTTAAAAGGCTAGCGAACTGCTAATTGGCTTAATTCTTTTTTCAACCTTCCCTATCTAGGGTAGGCTTACCAGTAAAGCTTGATTCTTGGCGTTCCAAATTTCTGGCCTGATATGGCACTAGCGAAGACACTAAGAACTCTCGGCAAGCGGCACCAATGCTGCAGCAACGCCAGTCAGTTCCAAAGGAAAATATCCTTGTATGAATAATGAAAGATGATTGGATAAATTAGGGTCCGTTATCGTGAGCTTCATCGGTCAAATGCGTATTCCATTCGTCTCTATGGTCTTTTTTTTCTTTCCGGCCGGCCAGACTTTTTTTTTTCTTCATACCTACCCAGCTATCCGAAGAGGGACCTCATCAAACAAATACTAAAACATCCTAACACTCTACGGACAATACCTCCCTGTCCACCCCCCCGGCCAATAAATTCAGGTACATACAACCCATACATCCATACATCAACACACCATCTCCGTCTTATTACGTACTCCATCCCGACTTGTATCGCACTTCATCCTACAGCTTTCCAATTCTTCTTTCATCTTCTCCTTCAATCCATAGTTAAATCATCTTTCCAATCTATATTTCACAAAACTTTACTTTCAATAAGATATTTACTTATTTGTAGATTTTGGTTCGAATAACAATCAATTCGGCATCCATCAATTATAAACGCCGTCCAATCGCAAACATGATCAACACACGCGCCGCCGCTGTGGTGCTCTCCGCCCTCACCCTCGTCTCTGCCCAAGCAAATTCCAACTCAACCTTTAAGATCGATCCCACTGATGTCGACATCTCCGATCGCGGTAAGTTCTCGTAAAGTCGCGATGTTAGTGCCTGATACTGATCATTCTCCGAAGTCAACTGGTGTCAAGGACAGCAAGATAGTTGCGGCACGATTTGCGGATCAGTAGTACAGAACGGATGTTCGGTGGTGAGTTTCTAGCAACCAGTATTAGTATCCAGCTGAGCGCATAGCTAATAACGATGTAGGATACTCTGGATTTCCAGTGCGTTTGCCAGGGCGGCAATGAGCCGGATATGAACGAGTTCATGAACACGGTGCCTTGGGTAGGGGTTTTCCTCCATTTACTTGGGCAGTTTCTACTGCTGTTACCTAAGAAGGTATATACTGACTGTTCCTCTCCATAGTTCGTTTGCGAAAGACTTCAGAGTAACTGCATTACACAAAACGAGAACAACGCTGCCGGCCAAAAGAACTGCACATCGACATTTGGTGACAAATGTGGCACGGAAGATGTAGACAAGCACAAGGGAGAGGGTAGCGTGAGCACAACTAGCAGTTCTAGTGCAGCTCCTAGCGGAACCGCTACTCCCGCCGCTAGCTCTGCTCCGAGTTCATCTTCCTCCGAGGCTGCCGCCGTCCCAACCAATATTCAATATCTTGGAAATGGTGCCGCCGCTGTGGCTCTTGGCATGTTCGCCTACATGCTCTAGGAACGAATATAGGCGCGAGTTTCACGGTTGCCAAATTCGACAGCATGCATAGTTATTGATATGGAATAATTATTTTGGTGGCCGCCATTCCTTTCCCATACATTTTGATTTTAGCAGCACTCCCCCCTATACCCAAGTCATGTTGTACGTGACAACCCTAATTCACGAGGAGACGATTCGAGTATTGATGAGCAAGCATACGTCGATGGAAATTAATGTTTGAGGAAGCTGTTGAGAGTGTAGTACTGACATTAGCCACGCCGCGACTCTGGTTAGTAGGGCTAATAAGAACTATGAGCCGGTAGCTATAGCAGTGACAGAACAATAAAATCTATCAAATGGTGCCTTTGGCTCTTTGACAAACCGACCCGGCCTAATATGAAAATTTGACACTTGTCTAATGGATTGTTTCACACCCCCTTTGTTGTTGTGAAAAAGGTAAGGTACACCACACGCAATGGTATTGTTTTTTCTTTCATCGAAAAGGAGTATATTGACTCTTAACGTGGCTTGTATCCACGTAATTCCTCCGGAAGTGATTTGATGTAATGGTTAACTATTTAATACTGAGCGGCGAGCATAAATGATATCGAAGGTCCAACAAGAGCCTCGTTAGGTTACCTGAATATTTATAGGATAGGTCGCCTTGAGCGGTGTTACATTCGACATATCAAACCCAGAGATGGCGAGCTCCAATGAATTCACCGTACCAGTCGGCACTCGTCATTCATTTGGTATAGAATTGGAATTTCTGGTAGCTTATTTACCGAATAGTGAGCCCGATCCAAATGAAACCGAAGCTCACTTGCTCCCCCCTCTACTACGAGTCGATACTTCTAACTACAAAGCCACGATAGAAATCAGGGAAAGTATTCGTGCTACTCTTAAGGCAAATGGGGTTCCTGTTTCTGAAGCTAATAGTGGTTTCGCTACGTCGACAGATTTGACTAGGGACAAATTACCTTATCGACTTCGTGGAAAAAACAAATGGAACGTCGCTCTAGATGGTAGTCTCGGGGAAACGTTCATGGATAAATACAAGTGGCAACCTATCGAAATCCAAAGCCCAGCGTTATGGGCAACGGACGAGTCGTTCAAAGAGATTGAGCATGTTACCAACGTCCTCACTTATAACTACCGCCTCCGTGTCAATCCAACATGTGGTTTCCACGTTCATGTCGGGAACGGAACAGATTTCTTCACGGGTGAAGCAATCAGGAGATTAGGTATGTTCCTCTGGGCTGCCGATCCTACACTCTCACGTCTGCACCCCCCGTGGCGCAGAGTTCACTCATATTCAGCGAGCATTCGTTACCATAGCCAACTAGCCACTAAAGGAACTACTATAAAAGATGTCAAAAAAGAGTTTGAACAGTGGTTGTCGACTGATGACCCCATAGCAATAACTAAATTTTCAGATACCACCAGGGAGGAAGTAGCATTCGGCAGTGTGGAAAGGTGGGAGGCATACGCAAAGTGGCGTAATCGTGTAGGTCCGTTTATGACATTAAGAGACGATATTGGTAGTGCATCGACAGAAGACTCACCAGGTCAATCTCCCAGCGACCCAGAACCTTCCCTTTTACCCTCATGGGAGGCAGTGGAAGCTATAGGACGTCAATTACGCGAACAGGAAAAGCATAAAGATGTACCCCCTGAGGATCATACATTACATAGGCATATAGGTTGGGTTCGTTGGAATGCGTTGCAGGATCCTGAAGTCATCGAGCATGTTCATTCCCTTTGTAAAGATCATTTCGGAACCACAAACCCCACTGAGCTTGACATAATCGACCAGGTACAGCTTATGGTTCTCGCGCAATGTGCGTCTATGTATGATAGTGGTCTCAATGAGATAGATGATGAAAAATTTTACAAAGTTTTAGTAGCAAGCGCGCCGTATTTCGAAGCTGCGCGTTTCGGTTGGCAATACGATCCAGTTGCTAAAAACTTCTCCTTAGCATCATCTGTCGTTGGCCCCATACTCTCAAAGCCGAGACCAAAGAAGGAAGAGCGGATCGACTGGCCCTATACCATCAGAAAGTGGCAAAACGCAGTTGAGCTAATGGAACCAGATAAAGATGACGATCACCCAAGCTTCTCTGAATACAACAAAGCCATACAAACGAACGTGGGTATCTCGAATCTGTTCAAGAAATTCGGATCCCGCGCCGACTCACCAGATTCGCAGTATCAGCGCAACATACCATCGCCGCGTTCTGATATTAGCCTTACATCGTCTCCTATCACCATCCCTTTATCATCTTCCCCTGATGCTTCTAAACTGGGGTCCAGCCCCCTGGATCCCAACCCGGAGCCTCTACCCAAAAGTCCATCTTCCGATGAGTCATCTAACGATTCGCTACCTAAGCTACAAAGATGTTTTTCCAATCTATCCTATCACCATAATATAGATTTCAACGCACCATGTAGTCCTTTCCCCTCATACGTCGATTACGAGTCTGAGGAGGAGGAGTCCTGGCCACAGAAGATGCGCCCCCACGACGTAGGTGATATCACAGCCCTCTACCAGTCCGAAATCGCCAAGTACGCCTCGATCCCCGACGCAATGTGGGACCGCATCGGCTGGGTTCCGTCGATTTTAAACCCCCTCCCAGACCCAGCGGGCGAGAATGCAAAAAACGACCCTATTTTCTCCAACGCGTACACGAACGAAAGATCGACGGTACCAAAAGTGCACCCTATTACTTCGGGAATTGAAGGTATCGCCAAACTCGCGGCCTGCGATTCGGCCATGGCCGTCGCGACGCTCCTCGAGGGCCCGTTCGGCCGCCGCCTCAACTACAACTTCAAGCACTACTCGGCGTCGGCGTTGAGAGACGATAGGGAAGAAGGGATCATGTCGGTGAACCCGCGCACGATCGAGTTCCGCGAGGCGGCGGGGACGCTCGACGCGAAGTGGATTTCGATGTGGGTGCGCATCACGACGGGACTTGTGCGATTTGCACGACTCGCGAGTCCCGCCGATTACCTAGTCGTTTTAGATAGGCTTATGGAACAAGAGGATCGCGATGTCGCTATCAGGACGGCTAAGGCTAATGGGACTTACGACCCTGCATATCACAACGAAGACGATAGGTACGATGTTTGCGATTTGCTCGAGGATATCGGGTTATTCTCCGAAGCCGCTTTACTTCGGAGGCGGGAGCAGGAGCGTGGCCCGCCTAGGTGAGGTGGTATAGAAACTGGATATCATCCGAATCTCTGAGTAAGTAGCCTTTGCTTGATAAGTCATTGTCCCTGACTCGAGGCGAAATTGGTCCGAGGTATGTAGGTTAACGCTTTCATCATTTCTTACCTTGTCGAATTTTTTTAGTATGGATATAATAAATCTCGTATTGTACCTATGTTAGACTTGAATTGAATTTACACTTGTTACACATGAACTACCTATATAAAGTAGCCATTTATTCAAAATAGTGTGTCGCATAGTGAGCCGTAGATTGAAAAAGCCTTGAAAACTATCTTCAGTTCCTAAACTCCCTTAAGCTCGCTTTAGAACATCATCCTATAAACGGAATTAATAGGTCTATTTACATAAAATCTCATTCTGTCAAATAATTAATCCAAAGTCGGGGGTGGGAGGTCGTTTACTAGAACTTACCGAATTCATCCAACTACTGGCAAACTGGCCAATAGGGGTTGAGCTACTATTAAGGTCGCAAATGTACCAGTCATGTTACACGACCCGCCCCCTTTTTATCTATCCACTGCTATAAGTCTTACGCCACTATAATTCTAACATCGACGCCCCTTTAAATTGATATTTATTTGATCCGGCTAGTAGGTATATATAATACCATTTAAATCCCTCCACAATAATACAAAATTCCAGGAGGCTTCACAAGTCTACTATTCATCTTTGGGTAGGTGGAGAGGGGGGGGAAGGGGAGGGGGCTTGGTATTGAAGCGTATTGTATTCGTATTAACCGCGATAAGCGAAGTTTATAAAGAACTATAATAAGGTTCGGCAGTAGAAGACTATAGAATTTTGACTACTGTCCTAATACAAGTTGATTGTCGGCATACCTTATAATCATCTAGGGATTTTATTTAAACGAATATAAGCATCGTCGTAGGTAAGTGAAAGTACATAGCTTCCATATATGTAACCTAACATATGTCAAGTTTTTACAGAAGGCTACACACTATGCACAAAAGTTTATTAGACCACTTAGTTGGAGCCTTAGGTACCTAAGCCATCTGTGTACGTATTCCCGAGGCGTAAGAAGCACGTACCTTGGTTGTCAGGTAAACACTCAACCATATGACCAGCTGGCAATGTCACCCAGTTGCCCATAGCACAGCAACAATGCATTACCCACAGATTAGAAGCCTTATAATTCCTAAAAGCATATAGGTCTTTCACACCGGAGACCAGTTGGTCGAATTGGCTAGGCACCAAATCTGAGGGGGGTAAGTCCTAGAGGCCACAGTTCGATTCCTATGCGTGGGGTTTAGCGACCCTCAACTGAGTCCAGATACGGCCAGAAGACCCCTGCATACGGTAAAACTCTCATTACCTAGCGAGGTCCGGTACGGAAGCAAAGAAATACCCCTAGTGAAAGCCGGGCGCGCAGTAGCAACTGTCGGTGATAAAATAATAACAGTTGGCTGGGCGTTGAAGAGGTTTGTCCTCCTCTCTTTTTTTTTTTTTTTTTTTTTTTTTTTCTCCTCTCTCTCCTATCATCTCCTCCCCCCTCCCCCCTTTTTTTTTCATTCTTTAAATCTCGTCGATTTTAATTCTACCCTATATCTCAAATTTCCTCCCCAAGGGATGTACGTCGTCGTGATGTTAACTAGGACCCCGAAACCACCCTTTGGATTTTAGCTGTCTTTCCATCGTTCCTGATCATCCCCAATTGTCGAGGTTTTATTAAAATTATCATTTGCACTCCATATAGCGCTCCAAAAGCTCTACGGTCTCTTAACTGTCATCGTCTTCCCATAATAGCTACGAAAACTTTTTGGATTTGTTTAGGTACCTCTTAGCCATCTAACCATCTACAGGTATGTTCTAACCATTCCTTTGCGGTTTACCATGTTTGACTTTCCTAGTACTTCACTCAAAAGTTAGAAGGCATAGCATAGTACTAGATAGACTAAAACCATTACCATACGTAAGTAGTTAATTAATATGAGATGATCATTTATTATATTTATTGTTTATATCACGAGAAATTATAAACCTGTTTCAAATATGGTCATCAATGTGAGTGGAAGTTCTTCGTCCTAGATATCTTCGTGGTCTCAAGATTTCGCATTTATCTCCATAAACATAAATATATAATTAGAAGGTTTATCGTGCGAAAAAAAAGCCCCCTATTTCTTACATACCGTTGGGTTTGCTTCGTGGAAAGGAGTACAACTGGGTATTCGTCCTTAGCCATACTAAACTGTGATTGTCAGCGACCGCACAATTTGGATATACCAAGGTACCATCTACAAATTTCCCCTGCGTAACCACAGAGACGAGTTGCAACATACCACATATTTCTATTCGTGCTGATTGAACTCCCTACATACAAGTATGGTGCTCATTCGCCTTATATCCATGTTGTGCTATGCAACAACTGGGCCCTTTTCTATATCACCACTCAAGCAGCCTGCCAATACCACGTTACGAGTTATCAGATTTCTTTCTCAACCCCTTCCGCTTCAGATTTAGAAATTGGGCAATTTCTTTCTGTGCTTTGACCATTTTATCCCGCAATTCCTCATCCAAATCGTCTCGTACGAGCATGATCGGATACTCCATCTCTTGCAAAGTAGGGGGGTCGATTCTAGCGCCATAATCGGTGAGCACCTTTACTCGTCCGAAAGCCCCTATGCCGACAGAACGGTGCAACAGATCCGCGCCGTACTCCTCGTCACCGAGTTTAGCCTCCGCATCTGCGCCGTTCTTAAGTAGGATATCGATAAGTTCGAGCGTGAGCGCTTCGTCATTCTTACTGAGATAGAGGTTCGTAAAGTGTGTCGGATACGTACAGACAATATCGATGTGTTCGTGGCTCTCCCGTATCAACGTCTTGACTAAAGGCTGGACGCGCACCCAATCAAAGCCTCCCTCGGCCCGAAGACAGAGTCCTATAGACCGAAGGATATACTCGAGGTTTCCGTGCAGAAGCTCTACTGCGCCGTCCTTAGCGGTCAAGATGTTGTGTACCATATCCATAATATAACCAACGGTCTCCTTCTCCCAAGTTTCTGTAAAATCGGAGCTCTTCGGTAGACCACATTGAACGACCAGGGAATCCCAGAGGAGAGAACGCACTTCAAGTGGCATACCAGCACCTGTTGCTAAGACTAGCCACGTAATCTCGCTACGGTAGTCTAATTTTCCGGAGTTCACGTACACTTCGAGAAGTAATCGGATCAATTCTGTGGTGGTGGACGCATCGCTTGTTCCAAGAACAGCACGTTGAAGCGCGAGTGTTAGGCAGAGCTGCTCGCATACTCCTGGAATGCCGATTACCAAGTTTTCTTCAGGAACAGACTGGTCCTCAAAGCGGAATCCCCGGCTTAGTAGGAGACGTACCACGTCCAGTCTATGGTTCCCGCAAGCATGCAACATCGAAAGACCACAGCCTTCGTCGTCAACGGAGACGCCAATATCGAGAGCAGCCTCCATAGCGTCAGGTTCGGCACCTCTCTGAAGCATCCACCATAGCACAGATCTGTAAGTCACATTGAGATGATGAATTTCGGGAGTCCAGCCAGCAGCGTGTAATCGCCTGACCATCGAGATAGATGTTGCTAAATGCATAGCTGAATAATTGCCGTTGCGGGAAGCGATGGCAGTTACATCCGCTCCAGCCTCAATAAGATACTCGGCGAGATCTTCATGTCCATAGACGAGAGCAACTTGCAAAGGTGATAGAAATGATTGGTCTAATAATCCAGACTGGAGCTCGAAGAAATGGTTTAGATCTGCTCCTGATCTTCGTGCCATTTCTAAGGTGCCCCTTATTCCGTGTTGGCATGCCCATACTAGAGATCTGTAGCTCCCGTAAGGTTCCTCACGATCTTTCTTGTATGGGTCTATTCCTAGGTCTAACTTGTATAAGATTGGCAGGATCTTCTTTGAGAATTTGGTGCAGGTTAGGGACCAGTGGTATAAGTCTCTCTGGAATAACTCATAGACGATCTTGTCTAGAAGCTCAGCAGGGAATGAAAGGAATATATAGGCACTCTGGATTTGCGAGAGTTCAGCATATCGCGAGGATTCCATGGTTTAGATGGCGAAAGGAATGTCTAGAAATCAAACTTGAAAGGAAAATTGAATGTAGAAAAAGGCTAGAATCAAGCCAGAAGCAAATTAGGAAGAAAAGGCAGAAGGTGACTCGAGAAGGAGGTATATGAAAGCTTTTTTAGGAAGGCAGACGCGAGAGCAGAAGTTGGAATATTGAATCCAATGAGGTCCACAAGCTCATGGGCCAATCCAGTTCAAGACGACAAACTAAAGTAGCAGAATCTTGACGTCGATCCCCCCGACCCAGCGAGCTGCCCACGTGTGCTGAGTAGGCGGATACCAGTGAAATTAATGCACATATCATCACCCAAGTCTAAATACCAGGAGACGTTGGCAGTAAGACTTGCTGTCAGAAGAAGACGATTTGAAGCCCCTTTATTCACTCTGTGTCCCTTCCCTCACGGGAATGGGATGGCAGTAGACAAGCTTGTCTTAGATTGGACAACAATTGAGGCCTATGAATACAAAACTACCTCCAGATACCACGGAAACAGAGCTACAAAGTACAAAGCTACAAAGCTAGGTACATATGTTGGTCATTTGACAGCGTACTATCCTCCGTCGTATTTTAATACATATTTTAACTGAAGGTAGGTAAGCGTTTATTAAAACAAGCTAAGTAGAAGGTCATAGTTGTAAAGAGTCTCAATAGGCTCAACCTTAGGGTATGAGTATAAGTTGAACAGTTGGTCAAGACAGAGTAGTAAACTGAAAAGAAGACTTTCTGATGTTAAGTAAATAACGCATTAGTCCTCACTTGTCTCATTCATGTATAAAATTGGGAGAAGGATTTATATATAGTCCGTCGTGCTCAGAGCTATATAGCTAGAACAAACCTTACCTATAATGCAATATGACAAAGTAGCCTTCACGTAAAAGAACGGGGCTAACAGTTATTAAATGGGAAATCCAGTGATGCCTCCACAGCAGCAGTGTACTTACATCTGCTCCGTTTTACCCCTTACTACCTTAGGTTACCTGGGTACTTTAGAACAATGCCACGTGGAGCATGTGTCCCTAATTGCTTTTATTTCAAGTGGATCAGCTACAAAGGAGTTTCAATGATGAGATTTTTGCCGTGGTGAATATTGCAGAGCAGCCCTGGGTTCAATACCATGTAACTAGTAGATGTAAAATGAAATGTTTCACTGCGTGTTTCTCTGTCTAGGCCTTTTTGGAACTTATCTGTTTTCTGTCTCATACAGACATGTAAACTTGCTATATCGTAACATATACTTAAACGATTTACAAATTGGGCTGAGTGTGTAGCACATATGTTTGTATGAGTATAAAAATTTAACACCAGCAGCTATTTCAAGTTAGGGGGCCTGAATTTATGCTGAGGGTACGATCTGTTATGTAGTGGTGCTGTAGATCTAAATGTGAACAATAGTGTGCTAGTTAAGGTTGTAAGTTAGATCTAAAGTACACACAGTGAAGATATCCTATTAGATATACTATCATAGCATGCGTATTATTACGAAATTACTTTTTAATGTTGTAACATGTTCGACAGATCCCCTTATATAAACGCCCAGCTGATTAAGTAATACAAAGATCCCTAGCATAGGAATTATTCAAAGTCAATCATTTAAATATTATGTTCTTAATATGAACATTACATTTGACTCAGGGGAAGTCTGGACTTTATATAAAGTTTACCTTTAACAAAAATATTAAGTTATTTATTGGACAGTAAAAATAGCTTTAAGCTTTAAGAATACATTAGATTAAACCCTTTAGTTAAATAAAACTGCAATTTTCAAATATCAGTATATAAATTAGAACAAAGAGACTACGATCTTGGGTTAGTTATAGTAGTATAGTTAAGGAATGTATTGTTAAGAAAACCTAAATAAGCTCAAGTACAACTGCTGTGTAACTAGGTAGCAATGGACTCCTAGTTAAGATTGGTATGTACAAGTTGTTGAGCATGATAGGACTTCGTAGGATATTTACTGAGTAAAGACTAACAAGAGTATATAACCTACCCCGTAAAAGTTACAATTGGCAAGAAATATATTTTATAAGCAATTTCTTATAGTGATAGAATACAGTATATATTCGGCGTTTACCTAGAACTCACACTATCCCCGGTATATGACGACCCAACAGCATAGCGATCAACTAAATTAGGTTGCCGACATAGAAAGTAATTTACTTTTAGGAAGTTTAGTTTCCGCTTCAGGGATCAGGCATTGGGTGAATTTAGCACACTTGTCTTTAAATATCGTGTAGTTACTCGGAAATATATTAGTTACCTAAATTCACCTATTCAAGAGAGATCACAGTAGGTACCTATACAGTAACCTAGACATCTCTTTTAAAACTAATAAACAGTGTTATACACTTGAATCATGATTAAGCGTTCCTAAACGCGATACGTTTGCACGATCAGAAAGCAAGTAAGCGAACACGTAAACAGCATGCGAAGTGATTGTAAAACATCTTGGATTTGCCATGCTGACAAGATGCTATGGTATCACCGTTGGAAATCACTATGACCTTTTTCTTTTACCGAGCCTGAAATGAAACGAACCGAGCTATGCAAAAAATTTCCTTGTCAAAATTAGACACACTTCCCTAACCAAGACCATCCCCTAAAGTCTTCAGCTGCTCTGCTGTTCCATATGTGTAGGTAGATTGTAACTCGCGTAATCGGCATGGACGAACGCCCTATCCACAATTGGAACTGACTCTAGCACGTAGCCCAAACTCTCACTAAGATCATGGGAATCACGTAACGTGGTAGATGCATCCAAGATAATATCGACTTCGACGTTTAGTTTATCGCCAGAGTGGTAGGCATTCAGGCCCTGAATCTGTTTGATCGTCTTCGCGAAACGCATTGTGAGGTAAAGTACTATTAACAAGTTAGAATATCAGTTGAGAACAGGAAAAGGCAGAGACTTACAGATATTTCGTTGATCGGCGGTCGCGGAGAATCCGCTTAGATTCTTAATGTGTTGCAACGATGTTCTAGACCAATTGAAGATGACGACAAGTGACAGAACAAGACCACCTAGAGCGTCTAGCCACCATATTTTGGCGTAAAACCCAACTACTATCAGTTAGTAAAAATTAGTGGATAAATTAGCTTCACGAAACGTACCTATAGGGAAGAGGATAGACCCCGTATTGAAAATCACATCCGTCATTGCGTCGTCGGCTCTGAATATTATTAGCATATAAGTGCGATGATACCAGCCGTCGACAGTACTTACAAAGCCTGAACACTCGAGTTCTTGACCAACCGACACCATAACCAACACAATCCTTTGATGATGACCGTCCCAAGCATGATACTAAGGGCCGGTATACCACTTGAAATAGGGTTAGCTCAGTCGAATATGATCATATAAGGTTAGGTAATTACTTACACTTCAACCAACTCGTGATTGGGCGAAGCTAGTCGTTGTATGGACTCCAGCGCGACCTGAACGAAAGAAGTGATCATGATGACTGAGAAGACTAGAACACCTAAAGGTTCCAATCTGCGTCTGCCAACCGGGTATTTGTACTGGTCTTGTCTGGAAATCAACCAAGTAGTCGTCCATACTATGACCGTTGATAAGAAATCCAGCACCGCATCAACCAAACTGGCTAATACTGACATCGACGACACTGAGATGACGACAGCAATCTTGCCCGCTAACAAGAGCACGTTTGCGGTAAAGTTAACATAGATGGCTGTCGCTACAATCTTGTCGCCGCTGTCCAATTCCTCGTCTTCTTCTAGCCATGGAATCTCGGGTTTGGGACCATCCCACTGGCCCTCTTCCTCGTCATTAAGAAACAGGGGCGTGGTCTCAGTGGGACGGTAGATGTCCTTCGGGGTACGCTTGACCTTCTTCGTTACGACTACACCTGGGGCCACCACATCCGTATCGTCACCAGCCTCGCCATCCGCAAAAGTAACATTTTGAGGGCTTGAGAAATTCGTAAGGGGAGTTATAGGGCCAAGTAGGTCCTCGCTACCCTGACCACCTTCGTTATTGCTTTTGGTGAGGCTGGCGCCGCTTGATTGCTCCTCCGAAATAGTAGCCGGGATATCTACATCCTTAAACGAATGATGGGGTAGATCATTATACTCGTTGAGTAAATCATGGGGTAGACTACTGTCGAGCAAACGGTCAATGTAGAGATACTGCTGTACCAAATAATTGGTGCGCTCGTAATATTCGCGTAATGGCTTCCTCATAGCGCTCAACTGTTCTTCCGTCTTCCAGTAGCGCTCCCAGTTATATCGAGGGTTCGACTTGCCGATAAGTAGCATAGAGCGCATAGTTGAACTATGGAGTAGTTGGTTGAGTCGACGCTCTTCGCTTTGTGACCGGCGGTGGGCTTCATCATCGGGTTCGGATGGCGGACGAGAGAACATGGACGGTAGCAGACCACCGGATTCCTCATCATCTAGAACGTTAGGCACAGTACCTCGCCAGGTGCTGCCATAGTTGTGTAATGAGCTATGTGAACGACTCTTGAGCAGATGAGTAAGCGCGCCAGGGCCGCGTGGTGACATTGGCGGGGGATTCTCATCCTGTAAAAGTAGAAAAGAACCCCGGTTGTAAGGAACAAATCCTCGACGCGGGTCCGAGGTCGAGTTATCCAAAGAAGACATGTTTGGTGACCTCACAGGAGATATTTGGTATAGAGTCGAAATATGAGGTAATATGAGTAAAGGAAGAATAAAATAGAAATGTTGGTAGGTCACCAGCTACCGTGTGGGTTAGTGTAGAAGAGTGTAGAATTGAACGGCACTGCCTCGATTTAGACTTTCTCGACTTAGACTAGCAAAATCGGATGAATCTGGGTTAATATATTTGATTGACTGTTTGTTAATTGACTTTAGAAAATAAAAATTTACCAAAGTAAACAACAGCAACGAAAAAAAAAGAAGGAGAAGAAAAAAAAAGGAACTTCAAAAATTAGGAAACATATACTACCAAGTACATATTTAAGAAACGCTCACGGGAACACGAATTGAATCCTACATTTACCAAAACATTAACATGTATGTATTAGAATTTATTTCGCTCGTTATTCTGGGGCCTGTTTGAGAGTTGCAGCGCTGCGTAGCATCTAAGAACCCTGTAAACGCTTGGAAGTCGTTAATTTTGAGGCTAAGAGCTAAGTACAGTAACGTACAGTGACGTATACTGTACGATACTAGTACAGTACTAGACAGTAGTAGAGCAGATCTTACTGTAAATAGCATAATTTGCCAAGATATTTCGTCTAGCATTTGCATCATTCGCCTTGGTGCTGCAAGTGCTGAGGCCTCTGGTCCTGCAGGCTTTACAGGCTTAGAGATAACTTTAACGTCGCAATCCCCTATTTTGAACCCTTATCTGACTGTACATATTATTAAAAAAACGACTCTGATCGGCGGTCCCCTTATTTCTTGTTTATCTCCGAATACCTTGTAGTTATCTGGTTGGTTGAAAAGGGTTCCATCCTCCGCAGAAAGCTCCAAATATGTTTTACGATTGAAACAATTCGTAGTTACATCCCGGATAACTTCACTCGCATCCCAGAATCTTACCTGCATACATGTACATAACACCGATCTCGCAATTACGAGCGACAGGAATTTCAATAGACTCACTCCACTGAGCCGAAGCAGCTTCTATATACCGACAGGTCCTGCGTTTTCATTCTGGTCTCATAAGCCAACATCATCGTTGGTTTCTTAATAAGAGTTCCGAAGCCATCCTCACCTATGTCTTAGATGCCTTTGTAGTAGATATTTTTTCCGCTAATAGCGCAGTTGCTTTCACGATTAATTCGTGCTCATATCCGTGGATCTTCTGCTCGAGATCGTGCAGACTCTCTCCCTCTTCAATCTTGATCTTCTGAACCAAAATAGGTTCGCCGCGGTCGACTTCAGCAATAACATAATGAATCATTATGCCAGTTGTATTATCCTCGAGCTTTCCAGCCTTGAAGTCGTCGTATGCCCTATCAATTGCACCCGCACCGTCATATTTTCCTATAAAAATCATCGTTAGAATAAGCCAAGGCCTATTTGGAGTAAACCTCAATGCACACCTGGTAAAGCGGGATGGAGATTGATAATCGGCACACCAGCAGCGCTGATCGGACGTAAGAAATTTGTCGTCAAGACGTGCATCCAACCTGCCAGAACAATAAGGTCTGGCTTGTCCTGCAGTATTCTCTCTGCCAAATCGGCGTCATATTTTAGCCTTGCTTCCTTGAGCACAGCTGCGTCTTTTTCGCCGAGTTTGTGATATCCATCCTTGACTAGATTAAAGTAATCCGTAGGGATGCCAGCTTTTTCAGCCCGCGTCACCGCATATGCTCCTTTCCTATTCACCGTGACCTTCACGATTTTGCCTCGAATGCTATCAGACGCATCGGAGGCGCATGAATCAATGAGCGCCTGTAGATTCGACCCATTCCCGCTGCAGAGTACCGAGATTCGCGCCTCGGCCATGACTAGATAGATTTGGTGTGTCTTTTATATTATGCCAGGGAACAATGAACTGGAACTGAGTATATTGTAAAAGAAAAGTATGGACCTAGCTCCTTCGTGTTGCCGAATTTCTCTCTGCAAGAGGCTTAAAGCAAACGCGCTCCAAATAAAAAAGATTGCGTCGCGGGGTACAAACTCGTTAAAGGAATAATAAGCACCAAGTAGATTCTAATTAGATTCGTATAAAGTTCCAATTATATATCGGGTATATCTTTATAGAAGGATATATAATAGGGCTTTCTTGCATGTCGGTCTCAAACTAACGGCCCGGTCCCGCTGACGAACTTCCGGGGCGGGCTACCGGGTCTTGAAACTCCCCGGGTAGCTACGGAAAGGCAGCCAGCGCAGACTTCGGTCGATGCTAGCGCCGATTATAAACCATAAATTCCGCTTCAATATCAAGTTCACTAGTTAGTCGTATGCTCTAATAGTAAGTCATAATTTCAATATACAGTATAAGGCGTACATACATATTAGTACTTACGAAGAAATAAGCCTCATGCATTGGTATTACTAGGTAGTTCTTTCAACTTGTTGCATATTCTGTAACTATTCTTAGGACCCAGAAGTCTCTATCTCAAGTTATCTCAGATATTAGCACTAACTATACCTATCGTTCTCCTGCTTGGTAATCTAGCCCGTATCCACGTTCCTTGTTTTATTTTTACACTATACTAATTACTTAGTTATTTGTTGTTTATAGGCCACCAGGTATACCGTGTTAGCTATTATTAATATTATATTAAAAACATCAGTATAATATAAGTTTCTATGCTATGCTATATAAGTAGATCGAGTTTTACAAAGCACCCACGTAGCTGCATGATTCATTAATCGAAACCATAATTGTATCGCTGTAGATAGATGGCCCACGTCTGGCAACATCCATGGATGAAGCTTTGTCTGAAGAGGAGGAAACGGGACAGAACTCCCGGGATGTAACCTCCCAAGATTCCACTTCCCTGTACAATGTGGTCACAGATCATACCTAGTTCACATAAAAGAAGCTAGTAGAAGATATTGATTAGTCACGATGTTTAGTAGAGCCTCCCAGCCTACCTTTGCTACCTATACGATATTAGCTAGGTATGTAGGTACGGTAGCAACCTCTACTCATGCAAGTTGAGTTATATTTTATGTTACCCCTATAATGAATACCAACTTCGAGCCAATAGGTCCTACCTCCAGAAGGAGATGTGACGCGCGTAATGCATCCTCCTCCACCCTATCAACTATCAGTTTCACGGGTTTTCGATACTTATTCGTTTAAACCTATTACTATTTCTTGTCTATTGTCACCTTCGAAACGGATACCGACAATAAGAATATGGGCCCTTCAATTTTATGGTTCATCCATATATCCGCATCAATAACCAAGATTAGTCACAGAATGATCCACGCAATATTGACCTGTCTGTGATCCGACGTATAGTCTTAGTCCATTCCGAGGATTGTCCAATAAGTGGAAACGGCGACGGTGTCTAGTCGGAGGCCGATGCCAGCGCGAACGATGCCCATGACATCTGCCCCTATTTCTCAGTGTATCAAACTATCCACTCTGTGAAAGTTGATACGCGTAGGCTATGTGCAGTGACGATCTCCATACCCGGGCATGGTGTCATCTATTATTGATTGAGGCCTTGAAATTCCTACGTGCCTTATGACACGAAGTTTATGTATAAATGTTGGCTGTCCATCCTGCCACAAGAACACTATTCTTACCATCGAGATCACCATACACAACTTACCGTCTTAAGTCTATCAAGAAAAGAGTTCAACGTTGCCAGAATGTCTTCTAATGGCGCATCAAAATTCACCCCTGGAATTCCAGCAAAGGAGAATATTATTGTTGATGGCGTATTGCGCTATCCAGCTATAGGCTCAAAAGCCTTGATTGTTGGAGCTGGTATAGCTGGTATGATGGCAGCTCTAGAATGCTGGAGGAAGGGTATCGAAGTCGAGATTATTGAGAAAGCGGCGACTAACGCACCCTTTGGTATATTACCTATCTTATAATACTATTATTAATTTCAAGTTAACTAATATCGGGAAAATAGGTGATGGTGTCCTTATTGGGCCATCGGCTTTTACAACATTCCATCACTACCCCAGCATGATAAAGGAGTACGAGGAAATCTCTCATGATGTCCAACTTTCCTTTGCTGGCCGTGATGGTACGCCAATGGTATCACTACAAGAGTTTGAATGGAATCGAGAAGGCGTGGCTTTAACCAGCGCCTATCCACTCCGAATTAAGTCACTCTTAGGTCGTCGAAGCTTTACCGAAATGCTCCTCAGTCAGTGCAAGAGGCTCGGTATTCCTATCACCTATGGGGTTACTATTGAGAACTACGAAGAAGATATCAGCAAGAAGAACGCTACCGCTGTTGCTCTCGATGGCCAACGATACACGGCCGATATTGTTGTAGCTTCAGATGGTCTCGGGACCAAATCTCAGTGAGTAAAGCCTAAGAGTCATGTACCGCTTGTTTTGATTGCTCTTTTCCTGTTTGTTTTGGACATTCAAACATCTTCTAGGCTATTATAACTTATACCGCAAATCCATCTTAATTTCTTCTTCCTTCTTGAACGACACTTCTAACTTATCATAGTGCTCTTACACTAGGACGTCCAGTTAGAGCCTTCAAAACCGGCCTCGTAGTTTATCGTGGAATGTATTCGACAGATCGCCTCAAGGACGCACCAGTGGCAGGGGATTTTATTCGGAACTTACAAAGACCCGTATTGCTTGCCCTGGTAGCTAATAATATCCATTGCATTCTCGCCTTCACCAAAACTGACGTGATCCTTGGTATAACAACAGAAGTAAGTATACAGCGTCTGCTTTCTATCATATCATTTGGTGGTGAAGGTGCTAATAAATATTTTAGGAAGAAGACGATATTAACACGACAGATTCTTGGTCATCTACTGTGTCCAACGCAACTTTATTGTCGCTTTTACCGGAGCCAGAGACTTGGAGCCCTTTACTCCGAGAAGCTATCCATCACGCACCAGATCAGAGCATAGTTCGATGGTCACTATGTTTCCGTAATCCTCAACCCTGCTGGACCTCTACCGGTGGCCACGTCATTCAGTTAGGTGATAGTGCCCACAGCTTTCTACCGACATCAGCAAACGGTGCCACTCAAGCCCTTGAAGATGCCTTGTCTCTTCCTGAATGTCTTCGTCTAGGGGGTAAGGAAGGCCTAGGGGTCGCTACCAAGGTCCATGAGTTATTACGGTAAGTTTCTTTATCATATTCCCTAATTTTATCATTAAGCAATCACAGCTTTGAAAGGTGGCTAATTACCAAAACTTTGCAAGGTATCAACGCGTTTCGCTCATCCAACACTTTGGCTTCGTCAACATACAAGACTTCCATCGTGAATTCGACCAGAAAGCCTTGCAGAAGTACCCACTATTGCTTATGGGGAAATGGTTATGGGCACATAACGCAGAGAAGTACGCAACTGATAACTTCTACAAGGCGTGTGCACACCTTGAAACAGGAAGTCCATTCGAGAACACCAATCTACCACCCGGTCATAAGTGGAGTGACTGGACGGTAGAGGACGAACTTGCTAAGCAAAAGGCTGGCGTTCTAACCATGTTGGAACTCAAGAGCAATGGTGACTGGAGCATAGTATAAAGTAACACCACACAACACAACATGAACAAGGATAATAGACAGGACTCCTAACCGGAAATCTAAAGCAGTGTTTTATCATGCTTTAAACCTATGACACGTTAAGTTCTCTCATAGTAGGATGTACAGCTACTTGCTCTTATTCTCACTTCAACTATGGATTATATATACATTAGACTAAATTGCGTAATACCAAAATTCTCTCCTCACTCAGCTCTATGAATAAAGTCGGTCTTGAATTTCGAGGCTCAAAGGATTATATCCAAACCGATTCACTTACAGACCTCAACGTTATATATTTTACCTTTTAATAACCGAGCGTATACTTGAATAAGTAGAAGCAGAATAAAAACGCTTGGTTCGGTGAATTTCGTACACAAGTAATAACTTGAAAGTATCAACAAACGTGACGCCGTCTATAAGGGACATAAAGCAAGACTAACGAAACCCTGACCTGTATCGTCTATCTTCCCCTATAGCCCATATTTAGATATGTTCAAGCTTGTACGATTCACCTCTCTTGTACAAAGCCTGAACCGTACAAGTTGGGTCATCTGAGACGGAATTACTCTGGGCTTCAAGACCTTCTTACGCAACAACAACAACTAGTATACGCCGTCACTTATACGACTATACCTTTTGATGACCACAACGTTCTTTTCTGGATTCTATGAGAACTTAGTGCAGCTAATATTCGATATTCTTTTATGATATGGTGCTAGCCTGGAGTATCGTCACAGTTACTGTCCTGGCATCTCCTGGTCGCCCCATCGTCATCCTCGTCGTCGCCTCCTTCCTCCTTCCTCTTACCCCTCGCCCCTCGCCCTGTCACCCAGCTGTCCAAGACTGAACACATGGGCCCCTCCCTGGCGACATAAGCAGGTTCCATGAAAGATTCTAAAGAGTTCCGCTTTTAGGTACTGCCTTCCAAAATTTCTAACCTGGCTAATTCACCCACCACTCTTCCTTAAAATTTCTGCACAGACTACAGGTTTAGGCTTAGGGTTTTCTTCCTTCTTTCCCAAGCAGAATTCAAGATCATCACACTCGCCTTCTACTGTCATTTCTGCACTTCACCAATCTGCAGCCTTTCAATACTCACAGGCTTCGTTATTGTCCATACATCTATCACTTCAAGAATTTAGTTATCATGCTGCATCACGCCTAAGTATCCTATTGTTTACTTCATCTCCATCCACAACCACTGGATTCTCCTCGCCAGACCTTCTTCGACAAGATGGCACCAGTATGATCCCTTTATTTATTGATTATGCGTGATGCGTAAACTAATACTGTATCTTTTAGCCACCCAGCAACATGGATATCCAGATACAGGAGAGAGATGGCGAAACCTATCTCATAGGTCCCAGCGGAGAAGAAATGCCTTTTGAGGTAAGTTTTGGTCTCTTCTAATTCGAGTTGCAATATCTATACCTTAGTTTAAGAGATCTAAAATCTAACTGCTGCTCTTCAGTATGATGTCAACCAAATCCCCGAGAATTTCCAAGAGTATTACCGCGCTCGAGCGGTTCTTCGATCTGCAGTAAGTCTTGATATTATTGATTCACTGCTTAAATTATAAAACTTGAGGCTTATTATAGCTATCTAGGAACCCGTGGCTCGACTTATGGTCAGTCGCGGGATGGTGACTGATATCCAAGGGGTAACTGGTAACCCTCCGGTTGACGAAGATACCGATAGCGACAGCTCACTTGAGAGCGACGAAGATCTCGAAAGTGACGACATTCTTGATAATGGTAACGATCTTGATGATGACGACGATATTCTTGATAATGGCAACGATCTTGATGATGATGACGACGGTCTTGATAATGGCAACGATCTTGATGATGATGACGACGGTCTTGATGTTAACGGCGACCCTAATGGCCACGCCTACGCAGCATCTGCTGCTGCCGCCGCTGCTGCTGCCGCCGCTGCTGCTGCCAATATTGCAGCTTTTGCAGCCCCGATAGCTCCCATGGGCCCACCACTTCTAGTAGCTCCAGCAGCTCCAGCAGCTCCAGCAGCTCCAGCAGTCCCAGCAGTCCCAGCAGTCCCAGCAGTCCCAGCAGTCCCAGCGGTTCCAGCGGTTCCTGTGCCCCCGGTGGTTGCCCCTGCCCCCGTCGCTCCTGCCCCCGTCGCTCCTGCCCCCGTCGCCCCTGCCCCCGTCGCCGCCGCCGCCGCCGCCCTGGCACCGCCCATCGGCAACCTGGCCCAGCTACGGGCCCACCCCCCTGGAATAAGGGTAAGTACATTATAATTATAAATTATATATAAAAAGTAAGAGACTAATTTGAATAACTGTTTTTAGGGGCAACAATGGACCTGCCAGGTGTGCGGGTCCCACGCGATCAATTGGTTGCGCCATTTGGCCATCCACCTCACGGAGTGTGGATGGACCGGGTGCAACCAAACCGGGTTCCCTCGATTGAGGGCGGTGGCGGAGCATATCAATAATGCTCATGCCACGGTGAACGGGCAGTGCCCGGTACGTAAAATTTCACTCTCCGTCTTGTCTTTCGTTTCTCGTTCAGTTAGAGAGGTTATGCTGACTCTTGCCGTTCTAGTTCCGGGGGTGCAACAGGAACGAGTTTTCGAGACCTAGCGGCTACTACTATCACGTCGCTAGCCATTTTATCAGAAATGATCCGATGTAATAGTGTGGAATTGGTCGGTGGGCGCGTTCGTGTGGATGAGTTAGCAATGGTTAGGTTAGATTAGGCCTTTATCATATTCGAACTACGGATACCTAGCCTTTCGTGAAATATAAGCTTCTTCGGCCGAGAATTTTGTTCCATTACTGACTTCTAGATACGTAACATACAGAGCTCGAGAACAAAGCACGTAGTGGACGTCAGTGGCATGTAGGGGGGAGCTCGCAAGGCTTTGTTGCTATAGTAGCGCATCTACTAAATTGTAGGTTTGATTTCGCTTGTGTAGATCCTCCCGAAGATCAATTACTCTACACGAAAGAGGATCGAGAGGCTTAATGACGAATACTACCTACATATGTCGGCGGCGAGATAGGGGTCAGTCAATAATCTCTCCGATTGCTCAATTTTTAAGCCTGGTTATGCACTTGCGCCTCTGGCTGTCTGGGCGGGCTTGTTGTTGCATATTAAAAATCCGTCCCCGGGAATTGTTGTTTATGCCCGATCCAGGTTTTCATAAGCCTCTGCCATTATTGTCGTATTTGTCTTTTTTTAAGCTGGGGTTCGCCTAGCGTTAAAAACTAGAGCCTCCCCCATAGCAGGGCTCAAGTTCTCGCTGGTCCGAGCGGGAAGAATGCTTCTCCTGGAGCATAGGAGCTAATAGGTAGGTACATTAGTAGCCTATGTATGTTAGGAGGTAAGCATATATGTATGATATAGGGGATGGTAGTATCCGGTCTCCCACGTCAGATCTGATCAGTGATCTCCGGGCTACCGGTTGCTTTGAAGTTTTCGAGCTCTGAACCCCTGAAAGCATGGTCCACTGACGACGCTAAGGATTATTGGATGGAATATGGGGCAGATTGCAAGGCTAGCTAAATAAACCCCTGAGCCGGCATAAGATTCATCAGTTCGAAAAGTTCGGGGTACGTTCTTTCCAAGGCAACATCTCGTTTTAATAAGTTAAGATCTACGATGCAGAACATGGCTGGCGGTGGATAGTTATGGAGTAATCCGTATAGCCCATAAATAGTTGTTAAAAATCTGGGCAGCCTTATTCCGGGCACGGCGGACTTGACGTTGTGGTTCGGGACAAGACACGGCCTTGATCAAAAATCGTACAAAGGCGGTTCCGGACTAGACAAGTACCTATATATAATATGTATGATAAGGGGATTCTCTTGAACAGCCGAAGCTGTTGAGTGTGGATATAAATCCACAAGTACGTACTGATACATGGTTCCCCCGACTCTCAGACCACATACCACACATACTAGGTATGTACTATGTAGGTAGGTATGTAGGTATGTAGAGATGGTCTATGTACTATACTTGTACAATAAAGACTATTATTCACATGTAGTAGTCTTAACACGTGGACTAGTAGCTTAATAGCACTACGTAAGGTCTGAGCGATGATCCGAGATAAAATAAAGCTAACCATAAGTTAATAATTATCCTATGTGGACGGGTACACTCTACAGACTTTGTTACGCGCGGCCAAGCTTCATGGTATATGCGGGCAATGGAGGCTTACCGCAAGTTCGGACGAAAATTGAGACATGTTGGCAGTTTATAATGAATAAAAATTATAAAATAAAGCTGATCTGATATTCGGGTTGCTCTGCTCTGGGTAGTAGCAAGACTTTGCGTGTGGCTGCAAGCTGCGGCGTGCGTAAAAGGTTCAAAAAGAGAGAATATTTGGAATGTCTTAATATCTAAACGCCTTTTGCATGGGACCGAGGTAAGAAAGAAACTTTTACATGTTAACTAACAGGTAACAACCGTACTTACATACTTGTATTTACATATCAACCTCTCTTATAAGGTATAGTGCGCGTATTCGCGCCTAAGTATTACTAGGCGGATTAATTAGAGGCTATTATTACATGTCGATATTTATTAGTTATATGTATTAGTTAGTTATATGTAGTGATACATTACGGTATTCTCGAAACCAGCGCGGTTTAGAGAAGACGCCGTCTCCGTGTATATTATGATAATACGATGAGCGAATGGCTCGTACCTTGAACGGCGTTACTAATTAGATGGGTAATCCCGGGAGGCTAAAAAGTTAGAACGGTAAGCCGAATAACTATTGGCACAGCGGATTATGATACTCAAAACCAACATCGTCCGGAAACCTTACGTATTAATCAGTTTGTGAACTTTGCGAACTTTGAAAAATGTAAAAGGTCCGACCTTCTGTACGGGTCTTTTACTTAGTTTACTTAATTGAAGAGTAATATAGTTGATAATAATAGAACAAATATAGAAAATTTATAGTAGTTCTTTATCATTTATTGTTCCAATATGCGCTGATTTCCCACTCAGCTCGGTCGGCCTTTGTTAATCACTTCCTATTGACGCCGAACCTCGTGTTAGTGGATCGGCTTACAATTGGTTCGTTTTTAACAACTCCCTTAAATCATCATATTAATACATTTAAGCAAGTTTTGTGATGATTGAAATACGACCTTTTTTCCTGCTTGCTTGCCGACTTTCTTTTCTTTTATAGAAATCTCGACGGCTTAAGGACTACTTTGGTATTAGTTACAAATCTGTATTCTTGTTGGACTAGGCAAGTTTAAATGGAAAAAAAAAAAAAAAGAGAGAATCAACTATTGAATGCATAGGTATGTAGGTACCCAAGTACCAGGTATGCGTGCAAACGATAGATACATTCCTCGTGGCACCTACGCGCGCAAATCCTCAAAGACTATGCAAAGCTAGAGGAGGTTGGCAGGTGAACTTGAACTACTGTCCTGCAGATACAATCGCATACTAATTGCATACCAACCACATCAATAGGTTAGGAGGTAGGTACCTAACCTAACTAACCTAACATACATACAAACCTCAGCGTCTGTTTCCTGTCTCCACTCTTTAGACCGGCCTGTTGGCTCGCCGATTCTAGTGCCTTTTTCTTTCCAATTTGCCTCTCGGTTTACTACGTATAGAAGGTAACCTACTTTACCTAATGTAAGTAAGATACATAAAAAATACATGTGCAACCTACACAACCTTAGTCTGTTCATCAACATGAAGCACTTGTAAATATTTCCGGAGGTTATATATTTGATTTGAGACAAATGGCATCCCATTTCTAAACCCTAGCTTACATGAACGTTAAAGATAAATAGAAAGATGGAAGCCAAGTCTTTTCTTATGTTTTGTCGAGGAGTATTTTCCCCCCTTGCTCGTTTTCCTTCTAGAGTGCAAGTTACCGCGTAGTTAGTGGGCTGCGAGCCTAGAACGTCGGCCAATGCAGGGCCTGTTCCTTGAAGCGGACGAGTTGATCGTGCAATGCATGATCGGATATAGCTAGCGCGAACAAGGTGCTCCACCCCCTACCCCCAGTTGCTCACCCGCCGGGTACCTTAGCACATGTAGACCAGGTAGCTAGGTACATTTTTGTATTGGATTTGCGCCAGAAGAGGTAGGTACTACGCTAAAAGTCACAATAGAACTGGAACTCGCCAGCCAACAATGAATGAAAGTTCCATACCACTTGACCTCATAAAAATAGAGTCTAGCATGTATGTATGTATGTATGTACCATCTAATCCGTACATGGAAATAAGTACATGTAAATCACGTACGGATTACACGACACCTTTAGGTACCTAACCTACGTAAGTAAGCCAAGGTCATTTCCAGGTCCAGGTTTTTCTGCCCGTGATTGGAAGAAACATGTAACTAAGCATTGGCGAAAACGAAGGAAAAATAACGTCTCGCTGCCTCCTCGCCTGACACCATACATCCTCGTCATTGAACACACTAACACACGCCTTTCTACTTTTTTTTTTCTTCCTCCTTACGTCTCTATACTTTCATCTCTCCACCGTTCGTTCGCTCGTCCCAGCCACTTTTTGAATATTCTCTCCTGCTCCGAAGCTGTCGTGCTACTAAGCATTAGCTTACGAGTTAGGGAATTAATATATCGCTTGATTGTAGGATTTCTCTCGTTGAGTATTCTCGATAACACGGTGCCCCTCGATCTTTTTATTTTATTTTTATTTTTATTTTCCTTCGCTCGGTCGCTTCACATCAGCGTCATATCGTGGTTCGGAAAGCCAAAAGTATATTCCGACCGTGATCAATAACTTGCCTGTTCACGTTATCGTCCGTCCCATCGTTCTGTTCGATTTTATTATTTCTGTTCGAATTCGACCAGTCCTTCGATCCGCATTTCTCCATCGAATCGCATCTCCTGCAGCTTTACGTACTCTATTAATAAATAAGGTTAATACCTGTGCTCTCGACCCGGCAAGCGACCGTTACTAGCAAGCCGTGCTTCTCTACCCTGGTTTAATTGTCACCTCCGTGTAAGTGACAAACTACCTGTTTGCTTAGTTGGATATATATTAGGGAAGCAAGAAAATCAAAATCAAAAGATATCTGTCCGAAAGCGGGAGAGCGGGAGAACTTGTACGAGTGGTTCGATATATCAATCTCGCCACGGAGGCTGCTTGAAGTTTTGAAATTGGCTTAAGGCGGCCGAGCAACAAACCATCTCTCTCTTTTTTTTTTTGCCATAAGCTTCAGCTTGTCATCCCATTCTTCCCGGCTTTCCACAAGTGTCCACCCATTACACGTTTCGGGCTTTAAGACTAGTGTTTCCCGATTGTTCCATTGCGGCAAGACCCAAGATATCGGTCGGTTACATCTGCACAAGAACACAGCTGACTTGAACTTTTTTATCGTCATGCAGTTTTCCGCCGGTTCGCGTCATATTCAGACATTCAACAGGGCGTAAGCTACGACTTAATCGTCGAGACGACAACTCGATTCGCTATTGTAATATTCCCCTATATCGTAACGTAACACATCAACAGAGATCTCGCACCAGCTAGCCGATACTTGCAACTATTAGATCATTGTTCTTTTATGGGTTCTTGGTAACCCGAAGAATTTGAGGCGAGTCAATCTATATGCCTAGATTTCCGGTCACCTTTCGGCGGAAATCTACCGCGGCAGAAGATCCAAATGGACCGGTAGCAGAGCATTCTTTCCGAGTCCTAGAACGGGCTGAAGTAAGCAGTGGAAAATCCTTTGATGGTGGTGTCAGGTTGGCCCGGATGACGGGGTCTGCACCTAGATCAAACGCTCCAGATCTTGCAGCGGAGGATAATCTGTTTGCGGGCTTGAAAAATAATCGGTACGTCCAAGTTAGGTAATATTTCCAACATCTCTTTTTTTTTTTTTTCCTATTTCTATTTCTATTTCTATTTTTGCCGCGGGCCTCATCGCCAAGAGTTGGTCCGAGCAGTACGCAGTGGACTGCTGTTACGAATTACTCAGATTTTAGCACGCTATTGTCTCAGACCTTCGTACACTTATATTACTAGACTGGCCCTAGCGTTATGCAATTTTACTGATCCTCCCTAGTGGTAGTGGAAGTTCCAACACTACTAAGACAGCCTCCGATAATTCTTCTCGTCACAGCAACGCCTCTACGGCTCCTTCATCAACCGACTTACCACCGCAGGACGACTGGCGCGGTGCTAGCAGAAAATCTGTGTCGATGGCTGATGTTCCTGCTCCACTAGCACCTAAGAACCACGGCGGCTTCCTTAAACAAGCAGGCCGAACTTTCTCTTTCGGTAACAGAAAGAGTACATTGCCAACTATAGTGGCAGAAGACACTGTTCCTGCCGTCCCCGCGATGCCTGACGAGTATGGTCCAGGTACGCCCCGTCGTCGCTCACGGGCTGAGACTGTTTCGACAGTCAGCACAGCGACACCTCCCAAGGTTGAAGACAGGGACTTCATGTTAGATCTAGGCGGTGATCTTAGCAGCATGCTCAAGTTCGACAAGCGTGCTAGTGTTGCTACTATAAAAGAGCGTGGCTTGATGACAAATCGTGCCAGCCAGCTTACGCCTCTTCATCTTGACAATTCCGTTCCTGTTGAACCTCCACAGCATTCGTGGAATAGCCATCATTCGACTGATGGATTGTTGGCGTCTGGGCGAACATTGACGTCCCCTACTATTCATGAAACGCGGCCACCACCCGTTCCAAAGCATGATGACAGTCCTAGAGAGCGCCGACGATCAGACGACGATGATGAAGATACAACACTACTAAGGGATTCTCTTGCTGCTACCCAATATTTGGCTAGCGAAGCACCAGTCCTCAGCGGAAATTCTAGCCGGTATAGAAGAGACGAAGATAGCACTTTAAGCTTCAGGTCTGGCGCCACCGAGTCTTACTCTAGGACGACTAGATTCGATCATAAGACCGACGATGATAATCTCTTCGATAGACCCGCCAGCCGTCCTAAGTTGGCATCAAGAACGGGTCCTCGCTCTCACACCATGCCACAGAATAAGGTTATGACTCCTGCGGAATTTGAGAAATACCGCCAAGATAAAGCTCGAGATGAGATTATGGGAATAGCCGACGAGGAGGAATCGGATAAGGAGGAAGAGGATAATTACGATGACGACGAGGATGATCGAGAGAAGACAAAGCAGCTGGCTAAGCAGAGACGAAAGCAAGAAGCCCATATGACTGTTTACCGACAACAAATGATGAAGGTAACAGGCGAATCATCTACTAACACTCACGCCTCTCGCCCTAGCATCTCGATGTCAATGAGCACTCCGAACTTGGTATTAAACGACGGATCCGGCAAAGGCGTTTCCCCGATTCCCCCTTCGGATGGCTCCGATTCCGACGAAGAGGTGCCTTTAGCGATTCTTGCAGCTCACGGGTTCCCTAACAGGAACAGGCCGCCAACGCGTCTCAACAACATGTCGTCTAACCCTAACCTGCGGGCCTCCGTCGTACAGCCTTCCTATGTCAGTGGACCGGGATCTACCGTGGGCGAAAATAACGGCCAGGGAGTTGGTAGCGGTGGCAATCTACCACCGTTTGCTAGAAAATTGCCCCAGGACCCGTACCTTGGCGCGGGTTTAATTAACCAGCCCCCAAGAGAATCATTTGCCTTGGGCGGAGGATCTGCTGCTTCGAATAGAGGGGTGCCTACTGGAGGTCTGGTTGGTGTGATTGCCAACGAAGAACGATCGAGGGCGTTACGACGCGGTAGTCCGGTAGTTGATGGCGGGAGGAATTCCTTTCCCCTTCCCCCGAATCTACAGACGAACGGGATGCCGATGAATGGGGGGTTTGACCCTATGAGTGGCATTCCTCCTCAGACGATGTACCCAATGGGCATGCCGCAGATGTCTAACCCGATGATGACCCCCGGCGACCAAGCACAGATCCAAATGACGCAGCAGATGCAACAGTTTATGCAAATGCAAATGCAATTTATGCAAATGATGGCTACCCGTGGTCCGGGACAAGAACAGATGCAAGCGCCGTTTCGACCCCAGGGACATATGCCAACACACTCTATGGGATCTTTGGCAGAGGGTCCACGCAATTCATTCATGGGCGATCTAATGGTGAATCACATGGGTCAGGGAATGAACTTGGATCTACCAAGGGGCGACGCGCAAATGCGGACAATGAGTATGGTTCAGCCAAGCTCAGCATCGTGGCTTCAACCACCTCAAGCCGGCTATGCGCCCTCGATACGCGCTCAGGGCACGGGTTATACTCCTTCAATTGCTCCCTCAGAGCGCAGTAATATTGGGTTACCTGGACGCTACCGACCAGTCTCCAGCGTTGCAATGGTCGATCACAGCAGAACCGCTACCATGTCCGGCGCTATGCCAGTCATTCACTCAAAGCTTCAAGCCGAAGCGAAAGTGACACCCATGAATAAGGAAGAAGACGATGACGATGAACAAGGATGGGAAGCCATGAAAGCGAAGCGGGAGAAGAAGAAGAGCCTCTGGCGAACCAAGAAGAGTTTTGGGGACGATATCGGAGCACTCATCAGTTAAAGGACGTATATGCATTCCAATGGTTTATATCATGGTCCTGGGCTACATAAAATAGGGGCATGTGCGAAGAGCACACAACTATACTTATCGGTCGAACTCTTAGCAACGCTTCCTTCCCGTTATTTTTCCGTCTACTGGAAGGCCCTCTGGAACAGAGGATGGGTTGGATCCTTGTATATTTCAAGATCACAAGTGAAAACATGTCCTACGAGGTAGGACGAGGCGTATATGGCTTCGTAAGGAAGATTTGGCTTTTTTTTTTTGGACAAGAGAAAGACCTGCCATTTAGAACAAGAGATCTGTGGGATGGATTAAGGGTATGTCTGAAGCTCGTGGTGGGACGATTCATGATAGAACACCCTATATATCGGTAATCTAATACTTTATCCACCCAGCCATATACCTCGCCGATAATCTTTAATTGTGGATATACCTAGTCAGAAGTGATATTTGGAGTGGTGAGAAGAGGATGGAAGGTAGGGAGGGGTATCGTTTATCATTTGATTCATTTATGTTGGTAGCCAGCGTTATAGCATTCATTTAGACATTTTGGAATTTATCCTATGAGCCAAGGTAGTTTGCTAAAGCCTATCATAATTGGTCCATGGTTGTCTTATGACATTGTCCCATCCCTTCGACAGTGATCGAGGCTTATGCATTTTTGTCGGGCTGGTCCCTACCAATTCATTGTCCTTTTTTTATATTTCCTTTTGGATTTTTTCTACTCAAGCTTACCCCTAGCCCAAGCGCTGCGCTTGACGCCGAGCTCAACAGCAGCGAGGCCCCAGTCCTCGCCGTGGTTGTGGCTGCCGGAGGTAAGGCCCGCGCGGGCCTGGGCCTGGGCGTCGTCGAGGACGGTTAGAACACCAAAGATGACGGGGATGCCCAGATCCAAGCCGACGCGCATTAGGCCGTGCGATACCGAGTCAGCAATATACTCGAAGTGCATGGTCTCGCCCTTGATCAGCACGCCGATGGCGATGATAGCGTCAAAAGGCTGCGTCGCAGTTGCCGTCGCTGCTGTCGAGGCTAGGTCTGTTGTCGAGCCGCCGAGCAGGTCGCCGGCTGAGGCGCTACCGCTGCTGGATTGCTGGATTTGAGAGGCAGCGTACATGCTGTGAAGGAGATGTTAGTTTGGTGTTGCGTTGGTATGAAATCATATAGCAATTGCAATAGCGCGAGGGAAATGGCAGTAGGCGAGCATATTCGGAGGAGAGGGGATTCCTAACCGCTGGACGGCGATGGGCAGCTCCCACGACCCCGGTACCGACTGCACGACGATATTGGATTCTTTGACGCCGCAGCCCAGGAGCTTCTCCTTGGTGCCCTTGACTAGTGGCTCGATGATGGTGGTGTTCCAGCGCGCGTGCACGATGCCGATGCGCAGGCTGCTGCCATCGTGTTCCTGGGGGGAGGGGCCTTTGAGGGAGTGCGCCATATTTTCTCTCTCGGTAGACGGTAGAGCTTAGTTGGTTCCTGTTTAATGCGGTAGACGAATGTCAGGGCATAGGTGGTCTGTTAATATAAAGCAATTGAGTACCTAATCTAACGTAGGGAATTGTAAATATGAGGAGGAGTAATGGATGAATAAATGGTGTGAGAATGGGAAGCTCCTCATGTATGTACCTAAGGTTACCTAGGTACCTAATCCGTACATCGGTGGTATTCGAGGTACACAAAGGTGGGTTGTACATAACGAACACCATTCAGAGGGGCAGAGTATGACGCACTTCTGAACAGGGATATACCCTACCCTACCTTACCTTAACCTTTTGCGGCACCTACCTAGGTATCTGTCTTCGTCACCTGATGTACCTATAGATCGTACTATTGTTACATGTATTTAACTGTATTTTTACATACATGTAGGACTGGAGTATTTCGATTACATACATATTGCAGCAAAATAGAAGGAGTTACACAGAATCTAAGTCGTAACTTCTCTTACTAACTAATTTTAAGGGCTAGTAGGTTCGACTAACAAGTTGTGGACGAGCAGGTACGATGAATGGAAGTTGGGATGTTTTAGTTTCAACTTGGCTCAATAGATTTTCTACTCTATTTTCAAGTTTAAAACACGGGTATTTATACACTATTTTATACTCTCAAGTAGAGATGAAGAATAGACTTCATTCAGTTACATCTAGTTAGTGTTGATAGAGTATGGTCCAGTTGTTTCATATTTCAACTAATGTGGTTTGATCTTCATTATGTCTACAATTTCTCGTTTACCTGAATCTACTACTCGACTCCTATGTTCGCCTTTAGCTATTACAACCCCAGTCGCTTTAGTGAAAGAGCTCCTGGAAAATTCAATCGATGCTAAAGCTACGTCGATTGAGGTCATCGTCTCCGCAGATACGGTGAAGAAGATCGAAGTCCGGGATAATGGAGTCGGCATCCACCCAAACGACTATGATGCTCTTGGAAGACGTGGTCATACAAGCAAACTCAGGAGCTTTGAGGAACTAAGGACACGTTTTGGCAAAACACTCGGCTTTCGTGGAGAAGCACTAGCCAGTGCAAATTCCTTAGCCCAAGTCACTGTCACTACTAAAATTGCTTCGGAGCCTGTGGCAGCTATCCTTCACATTCAGCCAGGTACGGGAGGCATACTGAAGCAACAGCCAACATCAGCACCAGTTGGAACTACTGTAAGTATTTCCGGGCTTTTTCACCAGCTGCCGGTTCGAGAACGGATGGCTATCAAGGACTCAGTAAAAGCGATAAGCAAGATCCGCGAACTGTTATGTTCTTATGCCATGGCAAGACCGCAACTAAGATATTCACTTAGGGTCTTGCAACTCCCTAAACAGAATTGGAACTACTCGCCAAAATTGCGCTGCAGTGTGAAAGAAGCGGCTGTCCAGCTGTTTGGTCCAGATATTACGACATATTGCTTCGAGAAGATATTTGAGATAAGTGATCTAACTAGCAGCAACGACCCTTCTATCAAGCATCAAGAAACCCTGCCAGATTTTAAATATGTGTTCGAAGCCTTCATTCTAAAGCCAGATTCATGCCCTCCCAAAGTTTCGAAGCAACGCTATTTCTCTGTCGATAATCGCCCTGTTAGGGTAAAAGGGGGCACCATGAAGAAATTGCTAGACACATATGTTGAGTATATCAGTATCTCCCGACAGGGCACTTCAATCGCAAGACCCAAAGACTACTTCATTCGGCTAAATATCAAATGTCCTCCTGGAAGTTATGATGCTAATATAGAAGCGTCTAAAGATGATGTAGTATTCTCAGACGAGAATATAGTACTTGGCGGATTTAAGGAATTGTGTAAGGAGGTGTACAAAGCATCCCCGCCCATCAATCTGCATTCACAGTCATCAGCTAAAAGGGATTCCATTTCAAACAACAGGAATGATCTGGGGGCTCGAAAGCCACTACCCACAGGGACCCAAGTTAAGTCCATATCCAACGGAGTTGAATGCATTAGTCCGTCGGTACAAACACCAAGCCAACTCATAATACAACCAATACTACAAGGTCAACAGGCCTTTATTACCTCTCAGTCATCACCTGTTCTGTTGCAAGATACAGGGGAGCATACGCATAGCCTTGTATCTGTCGGGCTTACGCCGAACAATACTCAAATATCACCCACTCAAGCAGGATCTAAAGACACTCAAAGTCTCGAGGACAAACTATCAAATACCGGATTTACTCGATGCAGAGTTGACATGTCTACAGATTTCAATGAGTACAGCTACAATAATCCCCGGACCAAGCTTCCCCGTCCTACCCAGGCACTGTCCACTCTCCAGGAGAAACTAGATGCAGCCAAAAATTCGGCCCCGGAAGATGTAAATCCGTGGGTTATCGCAAAGATGAATGCGCCTATTCCTAGTCAGATAAGGAACGAACCAGCTGAAAAGAGCAGCTCGCCACTGCCGATATTCGAATTTTCAACGGCACCAGATCCTCCTATCCTTCGTCACATAGGAGCAGCACCACGAGACCTTGATGTCCCCCCAAGCCAACAACACTTGGAATCACAAGGTCCTTTACGTCAATTACGGTCTAGAGTACCAGGTGGCCCATACCGTAGCCCAATGTCAAGCCCATCTAGGATATCTTCACAGGATGACATGGATGGTATTACAATGCCTATCGCTCTGAAGCCGCGACGACACCGCAATCCCCTCCCCTGGTCACCACCCTCATCCATCGAGGCGTCTAAAGTAAGCAAAGATCGATTAAAAAATTCAAGGGACGAGTTCATGGTAGATGGTATGAAACAGACAACGATATCCTTCCAAGGTACCGGAGGGGGCCGCAAATGTCGATTACAAGAGGATAATAGTATTATCAATCATCAAGATTCGCAAGGTCAGGAAAATCAGGGGGAGAATTGGTTTCAGTACGTACCAATACCGGCGAAGGGCGACTTCGGCCATAAGCTTTCACTACAAAAGGCGCCTTACGCCTCAGAGAAGAAGCAAGATCAGATTTATATCAACCCAAAGGTAGCCCAGGACCAACCGTATGTTCAGTCACGCAAGCATCACCCCCAAGACGAAGTCAATTCCTCCAGAATAAACGAGCCTACAAATACAACTTTAGCTAGCGGTGACCCTCGGGCATATCTCTTACGCCGTCAAAAATCGATGGCTGCAGAAGAGAGGGGTATAAAGCCAAAGAAAATCCGAAGATTAAAGAGTTCTCTCCTACCCCTAGAAAATGTCCCCTCGTATGACCAGACTCATTCTCTAGTCATTATAGAGGCGTGGAATGCTGAAACCTTGCGCATCTTTGTCAAGAAGTACGCGACTTACGATAGATACGTCACAAAGGGGGTTGTAGAAAATGGTCTTGAGATGAGTCTGGAAGAAGGCCGCAATGTTGAGAAGCGACTAAAGTTAATCCTCCTCAAACAGATAGGCGCAGTCAATGGCGAAGAGTCCGTTCCTGAAGTCAATATCTGCTCTTTGCTAAAAGGTAAAGGAGCGAAGGTTAGTCTGTAAACCGAGTAAAGTGGTGTACTATCTTTGGTATCTGAGACGTTACTCAGGAGATCTAACTTGCTTAAGTACCTACCTAGTTACTTTCACTATGAGTACATGTAGTTACTACTAAAGAGGGAGAGTTGAAGCTACTAGAACAACAAGACAATGGCGATGTACGATGCTATCTGGCTATGGGTTATAGGCTACACTCTAGGGTGCTTACATGGTTGCTTCATAGGAGAGAAAAGACTATCAATTAATAGTATTAATTATAACTGGCTCGAATCTTTAATAATCCAAGTCTTAGTTGTTAATGAATCTAAGAGAACCTTTGAATAGAAGGGCCTCATATCTTTGAGAACGGTGCCCCTGAACCACTACGTTTGCTGTTCTGTCTAGTGGGTACCTATCCCTATCCCTCCCTCTTTAGGACTGCATCTATGTATTGTTCAATGAGTATTGACTACCAATAGGTTTATATAGAAACATTCTTCATAATCTCGACGCTTCTATAGCATTCCGCCAACTATAAGAAGAATACCTGCAGATTATTATAGAATTAGTAGAGATGAGTAAATCATAGGCTTTCTCAACTGTCTATAGGTAGTCGACCGTAGTCATTAAAAGCTACTTAGCCCTCAATATAGGGTAACCTGAGACTAACGTGACGAAAATGCCTTATCGCTACTGTAGCTGTTTCATCGTCCCGAACAATCGATGGTCTCCAGCACAGCTACGCCTAGCTCCACACGGCTAGCATATACCCGGTTACATTAGCTCTTATTTGACGTCTTAAGCCTTTGTAGATTTAACATTTGATATAGTTGAAGATAGGTTGGAGACTCCCTGGTCATAAGTGGTCTTTGGTGGTCCAAATATTGAAAGAAGATAAGGAGGGAAAATATTACCCATTGGCCCTGGAGTATCCGTGAGCGGGCGCAATGGCGTCGTACTCGGCTTACTTCCACAAGAACTGCAATTATATATATGTACCTAATATATAGGGTTCGGGCTCCTAGGGCGATATGTAAGAGGGCGGGGAAACCGGTCGGGCACGTCATCTTAAGGGTGGAGAGCTTTAGGGTTCAACACGGAAGGGAAGCATGGTTTAGGGTGGGATAAGGACGAGGTGTGGGTTGTTGATTATTTGCTGTCGTGTACGCTTCTACTTGGTGGTATTTCGAGGGATAGTTTTCTATAGAAGGCCGATAAGGGGGAAAGGGGGAGGTGGAGGGTCGATATCCGATTAGGAGTTGCTTTTTTTCGCGGTGGCGATTCACTAGATTATATAACTAGCAGAAATGTAGTTAGTTTACGGTTCATGTTCAAAAGTAGCCTTCGTGCCTAACTTATGAAGGGGAAATATGCGCAACTGAGCTTATTAGGTACTGTTAAGTAGTCTCAAGCCATTGTAGGAATGCATCTTTGTATAACAGTAGTAGTAGCAACAATAACATCGAAACCTTGCTGATTCTATACCAATAGGCCTTTTGTATAGGCTTAAGCTTATAATCTATTTAGGTACCTAAGGGTTGGTGACGAACATTAGGAACTGCCAACTTGCATCTACTGATATGTATGTCCAACCTCTTCTACACTAGCTTAACCCGTATAGCTTACAAACTGCAACAACTTACATAACCCATCTTACTCCCCGAGGAGAAGTCTAACGGTTATGCATGGCTCTTCTAGCAAGCGAATACGAAGTCAACTCCAGTAATTGGCTGATAAGACCCAACTAGATAGTGAGGAGGCGTGCCCAATAATGGGATACCGTAGGAGTTTGAACTCGGGATAAAGTTACTCGATCTCTACCGCCACGTAAGATATCAAGGAGTCTTCAGCGCTATACCAAACCCTATTGGTATATTGACACAGGTAGTCGTGGCATGTGGTGAGGGTCAAACTTGCGAGTTGACGGATTCGGAGTCAGCTTTTCTCTTTCTTTTACCCGAGGAAGATGACATGAATGTCTCCTAGAGGATATTATTCATATAGAATTAGAAGAACGTGGAAGATGTCCGGATTTCTGATTAGGGCAACAAACTGTGTATATAGGGTTGATAATTGCTTCAGTATGCATTTTATCTCTATCATGGTGGTGTTATGACGACCCTATCGTGATGAAGAAGCCCATAGTACATAGTAGTACATAGTAATCGGTTACGACGAAATGAAGTCGGGACACAGTGGGAAGAACCTGCTTTTTCCACGGCGCTAACGCTGTGCCACGTTAAAGACCCCAGTCGTCGATCTCGATTTTCTAAAGCCTCTGGCAACCCTCCGGCTCGTATTTGCATAAAGAACTGACATGCAATGACGCGTTTCGGATTATATAGCCAGCGCGCAGCTCTTAAGATCGGCGGCTCCGCCGTCACAAAAATAACAAACGGTTAAAAAGATGTCGGAGTGATATTGGAGTAGTGAGGTAAATGAATTAATGAACAAACCAGTGAATCTATCTTCTCGACGCCTTCTGGATATGCGAGGCATTAGATGCAAGAGTACATGTAGTTAGCAGTGCGAACGAATGCGAACATCGCGTCTAGGGTTCATCTTACCACATGGCATAAAAGCCAAGGACCAAAACGGGCCACCGACTGAGTCGCCGACTGGATGGCACTGTTCAGCCACTCCTGTATGTATGGCGCTCCCCACCGTCAGACCCGTATTAGCTTGGACCCAACGAGAGGCTCCCCTTTGGCTTCTTTCGGAGTATTATTTTTCGACGGCTGATGGCAGCGCATCTAAACTAGATGCCTAGCTTCATGACGGAGGTGGTTGATACGAGCGCACCACATCTCGCTAACTGCTAATGCGGAGTCGATACTAGAAATAGATTTTTTATAAATCGGCACAATGGATGTTTCGAAACTGGCCGTCCGTAATAGAAACGGAGACGGAATGCTCGTGTTGCGGGAGATTGGACCTTTCGGATGCGTAGAAGCTCGGGACGGGTGGAAAGGGACGAACTGGGTTAGAAACGGGCAAACGGGAAAGTTGCTTAGGACATTGTCACACCCTTCATTTTATTATTGGTAGAACTCGTTACCTAATTAATACTATCACGTAGTACCCGACATTTTAGAGTGAAGATGAATGAAAATACTGGGGTCTAGATCGAGTTTAGAATTATTTAGAGTTGGACAAAACATTCTAAAACCCCATCTTGATTCTAAACTATTACCAAGTGCCGCCTTCTGCATTTCGGTATCACGGCTTCTCTATAAGGTAAGCAAATTAGGTACAGTAGGTATCTCCATATCTTATATAATGTACCGGAGCTTATTTTCTTTACATGATTGTACCACACATGGGTAGCTCCGTCGCAGGCAGACATCTATAGTAGGAAAGAACGGAAAATAAGGTTCAACTAGTAGACGAGCTCTCCATATCATTGGGATGCCATCGTCGGTTATACTTACCTTTGTATTATTCTAGTTGATATCTAATAAGGTAGTACTGGCTCGTTCATGATGACTTCATCATTATTGTCGTTACTTTTAATTGGCTAGGAATATAAAAATCGTCGGGTATAGTATACATATCCCATCATTCGATTCTATGACTAGAACTATTGCCATTATGCTGCCTGATAGTCTTGGAAATATTTTACGACATAGCTATTGCTTATAATTATAATTTAAAAAAAAACTACTGAAGCATAGGGGAACTCTCAGTCTCAGCTTTCACAAGTTGGGTAATGATAGGTAGCCTTGTACGATGTACGAGGTACGTACCCTTTTAGTCTTAGGCGCTAATGTATCAAAATGCGTTGGCTTCAAGACGGGCTTCAAGGGTCCCTGGAATATCTCTCTGCCTTAACGATTTTTTTCTCTTTATTCTTGCTTCCCGTCTCAATTCACGTTAATCAGTTCCTAACATAATAATAGTTTTGTTAATAGTGTACACATCGCTACCACTGTCGTTACTCCCGTTTTTTAACTCTTTACAACTCTCATTCTTAAGAGTGTATTTCTATTTTATTTCATCAACTAGCATAACCAGAAACATCCTCCAGCAAATCATAGTTCGCAGCAGTAAGCAAGCAAGCAAGCTAGGGAAACAAGGATTTTTGTTTTTAGGTCGTTAGATAGGCACGGACGATACAACTTTAGCTGTAGACTGCTCTGCTGCAGAGGCCGGTAAGCTGGTAGGCTGGTAGGCTAGATTCGGTAACATCATAATTCACTTACAAACCGAACGACGCACTGCCACAACAACGCCCCAAAGTAACCCGATATCCGATCTCCTTTCCTAAATCCTCCCTCGTTTTTTCATAATCATTTTCTCGTATCTATATTTTATCTTTACAAAATAGTATTCCCATACCTTTCAAGTCCATTTGAAACATTTTACCGTCGCGCGCGTCCAATCAATTGCAAGGTCCAGCGAGACAGCGAGACAGCTCTTCCCAGCAACGATGTGGCCCTAGTGGTCCTGGATCCTTCAGCGTTAAGCCTTGGGCGACACTATCTTGGTACCACTCTCCCGACGACGAACGATGCGAAATCATATTTTAAGGCCTCTTAGTACGCCTACGTTCTATTCAAGATTCGCCGACGTCGACACCGACTACGACGCCGAGTTTGACGCCGAGTTTGACGAGAATCAAGATGTATATGCGGCAGATGATACTTCGCCCATCAAGATGATAGGCACCTATGAATCTGAGCAAGATAAATGCTTGCCATTATTGCCATTATTGTCTTCGCCAACTTCTGCCCCAACAATCCGAAATTTCGGAATCCCGTCCTTATCCAGGATTGTAGTGGGTTCTTTGGTAGCATGTACTTGGATTCGTACCGCATCCGCTGTAAAAGTCGCGTTCGACAATTGTCTAGATAGCAACTACATCTACTCCAACCAACTGCCAGAGCAAGTTCAGCTTCAATGGGTTCCTCTGTATGTCGACGCTAAGTTCGACACCGAGAATCCAAATCACAACCTGATCGTAACAGTTTGGGGGAATGTGACGGGGCGCGTTGGCACCGATACGCTACCACCATGGAATTCGTCGGTTTGGGATGACCCGAGTCAAGTACTGAATGGGAAGATACAAAACGAGCCCGAACCGAATCTGCCGGCGAATCAACGCAAAGTTACAACTTTATACTACAAAGTTGACGTCTCGACGTACGAGCCTTATCATAATACCGTGAACTTCTGCGGCAATATTTTGAACGGATCGTGTCCGCTCGGCCCCGTGTTCAAGGATCAAATATCCCAGTAGGTTGCTCCCGCAGAAACCAAGAAAATGACGGCAGAGGATGTTTAAAATAGGCTATTATAATCAACTAACATTTAAATCTATGTAGAGACTCACCACCCTACGACTTCCCCTCGTTTAACCTTACGAACGACTTATCTTCAACCTATGCATTTACATCGCTCGCTCCTACTTTCATTATTTGGTATGGCGATTCTGGGAAGACTACGATTGGATGTGTTTCTACTATTCTCACGCCGGACCTTGGTGGAATCGCTTGGTCTCTGAAGTTTGTCCCGCTATTTGTACTGATCTTGGTGGGGTTTGCGACAGCTTTCGCAGGAATCTTTAGTCCATGGGGCACGAGTGATGTCTTCCATTGGACATCGAATTATGGTAGAGACCCTGATCTTTTACGTCTAGTTACTCCTGGGTTCGGTGACTGTCTCCAGTACATCCAGTACGTCCTTCTCACCGGTAGTCTTACCTTGGAATACCCCGGGTTCTATCAGCCAGTTACGAGTCAGGTCTCTTGGTCTGCGTTGATGTTTAACCAAAGTTTCGTCTCCAAGGCGGAACCCTGGCAGAGTCTGGTCGACGGACTCTATAAGACCAATGGCACGTACGGTCTTGAGAATACTGCGCAATTAGAGGGCATGGCTCGGGTCGAAGATATTTGGGCCGGTATGATGGTATGGTTACTGGCTATCATTGGGTCCGTACTCTTCTTATTACAAGTCTGGTTCTTTGTACGATGGCTATTACGATATATCAACCACGTCCCCGAGGAAGATCTTCGATCCAAGAATATACCTTTCTCAATCGGTAATATTATTCGCCTCGTCTTCAGCTATTTTTTACTTCCCGTTGTCGCCCTGACTGCTTTCCAACTAGTGGTTGCGGATCGTTCCACGGGTTATCTTGTAGGGTTGGCCGTTCTTACTTTGGTCTTGATCATTGGATTTGCGATATGGCTCATATACCTCATTATAAGTACCAAGCCTAGGGCACATCTGTTTGACGACCTGCCGACCGTGCTCCTTTACGGGCCCCTTTACAATACATACTCTGACCAAGCAGCTGCTTTCGCGATAATTCCAATTATACTAACACTATTGCGAGGCATCGCTATTGGCGCTGTGCAGCCATCGGGTACCGCACAGGTAGTAATATTGGCCGTATGCGAAGTGATTCAAATACTAACACTTCACGCGTTTCGGCCTTTCCATTCGCCTACTTCGATGAATGCCTATCATACGGGATTTTCGGTGGTTCGCTTTGTCACCGTGATACTCATGGTTGCGTTTACGCCAAGTTTAGGGGTTTCGGAGGGTCAGAAGAGCTGGATCGGTTACGTGATCTTACTGATACACGCATGTGTACTGATTTTTGGCTTCCTACTAAATGCACTACAGACAATCATCGAGGTCATCGCACGGCTATTAGGTGCCGGGGGCGATAACATTGACGGGCAGAGAAGGGGTGGGCTTTCCAAGATCTTCGGTGCTCGCCAACTATCGAGACGCGTAGACCGACGCGGCGGTCCATCCCGTCAAAGTCAACTTAGTAGCACAGCGATGTTAACCTCTGAAACTGTAACGAAGCGCGGGTACGGACGCGTAAGAAGCGAATCAGCTGGTAGCATCGGGATGCTCGCCAGTCCCAATATGAGAAGCTCAAGTGCTCTAGATGCTCGAAGTCTGGATGCGTACTCGATTCCACTTGGCAGTGGCGGTGCTTTCACCCCAACGACGACAACCCCTGGAGACGCTAGTACATTCTCCTTCCTGCCGTCTCCAGGGCAAGCTACTCGTCCTCAGCCCACGGCTGATCCCTATTACCGTCCCCCACGTGCTCGCCGAGCTACTATCGATGAGATGGGCTCTTCGTCACCACATCGGGCGCGTAGCTCCCTAGCTAGCATTGACCTATCCAATCATCGGTTAAGCGAGCCTATGGGAGCAACGACAGGCGGAGATGACGATGCACCCCCTGTGGCGAAGATAAATCCAGCTCCGGCACCTGCACCATATATACCGGTTTTTGCGCCAAGAGCAGACTATTCGACCCGTGAAGTCGACTTCTATTACGGGGTGCGTGGCCCCGCATTAAACTCGGAGGGGCCGGGTCGCAAGTTAGGCACAGGTCCAGCAGACCCTACTAGCCCAGTCGCGACCGCTACTGGATGGCTTAAACGCCTTTTCGGTGGTAAGACTAAAGAGAAGGGCAAGGGCTTCGAGGTGGTCAGGAGTGCCCGAATGCCCCCTGCGATGAGGGCCAGAAATGGCGAACTTACCGAGGAACCGCCAGAGGGCATACCCGTAGCGATGGGTGTACTTCGAAATGGCCCAATAGAGAGCGACGATGAGGAGGATACGCCAAAATCGAAGAAGACCAAGCGCGTCGTCGAAGATAGTGCCCAAGGCGAATTGCTTAACGAAGACGGTGAGCCTCAATCAGACAACGAGCCTCGATCGGATGACGAGATGGACATAGAAATATCCAGAGTCGCCGAAGAGCCACCCCTCTTACCCGATCTCGACGCAGGCGAAAGCTTTAGGATCCCCAGTAGAATGCATTCCAAGGCGAGCAGACATCCGTCGCAGAGAACGGTAAAAGCTCCATCAGAAGTTGAGGGAGTGCCAGCAGTGCCCGAGGTGCCTAGGAAGAGCTCGAAACGGAATTCCAGCATAAACCCGTTAGAGAATAGGCAACTTATTGATATCGCGCCGCCCTTAGGGGTACCAATGGTACAAACTCAGTCTAACAATACGGGACCTGCCGGAAGCATGTCTGCAAGATTGCCATTTGATCGGACTAATTCGCAAAAGCGCCTTTCGGTGTCATCGGTAGCAGGAACAGAAGCCTCCAGCCACGTACCCTCGGCCGACGGCACAGAAGACAGACCTACAAGCTACGGTTACGTTCATCAACATAACATCAGCAGAGTCGAACCCGAGCAGGGAATGGATCTACTTGGAAGCTCGGCAGAGGTAGTAGACATGTCGAGGAAGCCAAGCCCCGGCTCGTCGGTATCTAGACGATCTAATCACTAAACATGACACACACATATCTACACTTACACCTACACCTACACCTACACCTACACCTACACTTTAGTATTACATATTTACGTGTAACGAATTTCCTTGAATCGCTGTATAGGACGGAATGTATAGAGTCGAGCAGCCCTTTGGCAAGGGCTATAATAGGAATTTCAGCGAGGCGGTTTGAAATTTTGCGGTTGGGACTAGCAAGGCGCTTTAGGATCTGATCACTCGCATCTTAGGGTAACGATGTTTCGATGCCTTTCACCAATCCTTGTTTGTACTCGTAAGTGACGAGTGGCCTTGTGTTGAGCGATGGCGTACAAAAAAATGGCGATGATATAGTATAGGAGGTTGGAGATAGGTACATGTCAGAGGAAGGGCGTAGCATATATACCTAGGTATATATATAATTGCATGCGGAAGGGAGGGGAAAGGGGGGGAAGAAGAGGAGGGGAAGAGTTGAGAATGGAAGATTTAATAATATATATATATATATAAATCAAAGTAGCGTACCTATGCTAGAACTTCCTATTCGGCATTTCGGTGACTTTAGTACCTATTTAGTTAGGTAGGTTTAGAAATGTCGGTATTCCGGGTTGTAAAAAAGGTATAATAAACGATACGGAGTCCCGATAACGGAGCGGAAATCAACATCGGGCGCCATTAGCCATTATTCTCCATTAAAAAGCCCCCATGCGACCTTTGAACCCGCTCGCACCCGCTGCATCTAACAATGGCGTAACGTTGGCGTTGGCGATAAGTTGCAATAGTGGAGAAATATATTTCTAATATTCGTCTCGGGTAGTAATTGTACGACCGATTTTCTAAACCGACACTATCCTCTTGACCCTACTAATATAATAAATATTTAAGTGTCGTCTATATATATTTAATATAGAGCTAGAGCTAGAGCTAGAGGTTTCTTTGAGCAAACCAGACAAACAGAAACTAAACTAGAATAATCGGAAGAAGACATAGTTAATCATGGCGGCAGAGGAGAGTACCGCAAACGGGGTAACCGTGCAAGATGCGGCTAAGCCGGAGCTCGTCGAGGGCATTGCCCATGAGAAACCCGTCGTTGGTATAGATGAGACAGAAGCACCAGTAACAGCAACGACATTGGCTTCTAGGTTCCAACACCTCTCTCTGTCGGCGCAAACCATCCACGCCGATGATTTCCTCAACTCGCACCAATCCGTCGCTCCGCCTATGCACGTCTCAACTACGTTCCGGTATAACGACGACCCGGACGAGCTTAAGCCTTGGACTAATATCAATGTACGCTCTCTTATTATAATTACCCTTTTAACTATATCAACATACCTGCTCCTTAAGAACTAACAGACAAACCAGCCCAACAACCCCTACGACTCGCACGTCTACTCGCGCGACACCGCCCCCAACACCACCCGCCTCGAAGCCGTCCTAACATCTATCCTCCACGGCCCCACACTAACCTACTCTTCCGGCCTCTCCGCCTTCCACGCACTTCTAGTCTTCCTCAACCCGCGCCGCGTCGCCATCACAGACGGCTACCACGGCTGCCACGGCGTCATCAAAGTCCTGTCCAAGCTCACCGGGCTCACCACCATCTCCCTCGACGCCGACTTCGCCGACCTGCAGCCGGGCGACGTAGTCCACGTCGAGACGCCGTTGAACCCAACCGGCGAGGCCAGGGACCTGAGGTACTACGCCGACAAGGCGCACGAGAGGGGCTGTCTGCTCTCCGTCGACGCGACGCTAGCCCCGCCCCCGCTGCAGGACCCCTTCGCCCTCGGCGCCGACGTCGTCATGCACAGCGGGACCAAGTACTTCGGCGGCCACAGCGACATGCTCTGCGGCGTGCTGGCGGTGCACCCGCGGCACGCCGGATCCTGGATCCCGCAGCTGCGCGAGGAGCGCCTGGTGCTCGGGTCCGTGATGGGCAGTTTCGAGGGGTGGCTCGGCGTGCGCAGCCTGCGGACCCTGGAGCTGCGCGTGCGCAAGCAGAGCGCCGACGCGGAGAAGCTAGTCTCGTGGCTGGCCGGCGAAGTATCGAAGGGAGAAAAGGACAGCGTGGTGGGCGCGCTAGTCGCGCAGGTCAAGCATGCTAGCCTGCAGAAAGCAGAGTGGGAAAAGGGCTGGCTGAAAGAGCAGATGCCGGGCGGCTTCGGGCCCGTGTTCGCGGTGTACCTGCGCGACGCGGACGACGCGCGACGGCTGCCGAGCAAGCTGGCGCTGTTCCACCACGCGACTAGCCTCGGCGGCGTCGAGTCGCTGATCGAGTGGCGAGCTATGACGGATGCGGGGGTCGATAAGAGGCTTTTGCGGTTTAGTATTGGGTTGGAGGGGTTTGAGGATCTGAGAGATGATTTGGTGCAAGGGTTTGAGGCGCTGAGGGCGGAGAGGGCGAAGAGGGATGTTGGTGCTAAGGTTGCTGCTTCTGGTGGTGCGAATTTGATTGGAGGGGTGTGATTGATGTTCATCGGGTTGTGGGAATAGGGGGGTTGGGATTGATACGGAAGGTAGATTGGATTGGATAGATGAGATGTATGGATAGGTATTGGGAATATAGGAGCTTCGTAAGCTCTTAGGGATATGTTGAAGTAGCTATCCTAATTAGAAGGAAGGATAGATTATTTATGTATTGCTTCGAACTCTACAATAAGGGCTAGAACTAGATTGTTTTAGAAGAATAAGAAAGATATAAACAACACCGTGTTGAAATGCGTAAGCACATTCTCTCGTACACTTGATTGACGCTGAAAAGGGGTGACCCCTTGATATTGAGAAGACTACTTCACAAGAATAGTGTAAAGTTACGCGGGTTTATTAAGTAGGCTTCGAGTAGAACACATGGAATAAGTTAGGGCTAATAGTAGTTTTATACAGTTGCGGTCAACTCACGATACCGTATACTCTTAAAGGCACCTATGCCCCAGAATCTGATATGGTAGGGGTAATATATCTCAAAGCTCATTATAATAACAACTTAACTCTTCGTTATTCATACCCTATTCCTTATTCTACAAGCTCCGAGTAATACCCTATCCCTTCTAAACCAAACCAATGAGCCTTAATCCTGGCACCAGCTCTTCCTCAGAGCGTCTAGTTCGTAAATAATAATTAGGTATGGGTTTATATACGACGCCTCCTACGGGTACATACACTTGGTTCGACCTTTCTTCCTGTATGTAGTTCGGTATGTGATGTAGACCTGTCCTGTACGCCCACTCGTACACCATTACAATTAATGTATAGAAAATGTTGGGGTGGTCCTGTCTGCCCTAACCTCGGTAGCTTCTATTTTAATACATGGCGCCGGGTAGCGTAGCGAAGTGGTAGAGTGCCACTTGTTGAGATGAGGCAAGCTCTGTTGTATGTAGACGGGGCGTAATCATAGGATCTTGTCCTTTCTCCTACGTCTATAATGGTATACATTCGCCGCCAACGATCCACTAGTTGTGCTATTGGTATCGTTGCCACTGCGAGAAGCTCAGCGCTGCCCCGTTATCTCGAGCATCTCCGTCAGGCTAACAACGCGGTACCCGTCTTTCTTCAGCTTCTTCAACACCTTCCGCAGCATCGGTGCCGTCCAGCCACGGCGGTCATGACACACTATCACAGCACCGGGGCGTACCATGCTTAGGATATGGCGCGCGTTGAGCCAGGACCAACTGATCTGCGCATCGTGCGGATACACGCTGCCAAGCACGATGCGATATCCGAGCTTGTCGACCAGTGCGCGCATGCGGTCGCTGAAGAAACCCGATCCGGGCCGGAAGTACTGAGGCGGCATCTCGGGGTGCTCGACGCTATTAGCTGTCGCATACGCAGCCCGGATACGCTCGCGCACCGTCTCGATTTGTGTCGTCAACTCCTCGTCCGATAGCGCGCGCGACGGCTCGTCATGCATAGCGTGGTTGCCTAGCTCGCTGCCGCTGCGCACGATGTCTGCTAACGTCTCCTCGCGGCCGGGCACCTGACCGCCGATAACGAAAAAGGTAGCCGTGGCCTCGTGGCCGTTGAGCACGGCGAGGATCTCCTGTGTGTGCTCCGATGGGGCGTCATCGATGGTCAGAGCCACAACTTTCTGGTCCGTAGGAACCTCCCACAGCACGTCGGGCCATCGCCGCGCAAAGTACTGGATTAGGGACTGCGGAGGCTTATAGACGACATAGAAAGGCAGTAGAAACAGGCTTAGGATGACAATCAGGGAGACTAGGGTAGTCATCCTCCGGCGCCGGGCCCGCCGCCGTAGCTTGGAGGGCAGGCGGAAGAGCGCGGGCAGGCGCAGCATTTGCTTTAGGGGTGGATCAAGGAGGGTAGCATTCGATGATTGGACGGGATTGATATATTCAAGATGAGCGGCTCGAGCATCGATTGGCGATTGGCGAGGACCTCGGCACGCAAAACGTCGTGCAACTACAACTACAAAAATCAAGTACGACGGGATTCGGGCTTTGGCTCGGACTCGGGCTCGGACTTGTTCGTCATGCGTGTATTGTTAGACGAAGGGAGCATTTCTCGAAGGGGACGAAAATGGTTGTTGTTTGTGCGAGACGAGGCAAGACAAGACAAGGTAGAGCCAAGAAAGGAAGGGGGATGAGAAAAAAACAAAAAAAAAGGATGGAAATACGTCAACTACCTCTGCGTCGTACACTATCCACGTTGCTTTAGGGGCTTCAGGGGCAGATTTTAGTGGATTGATCAATCAATTAGCATCCCGGTGTGCTAATTTTAGTGGTTGCATTGCGCTCAGTAATGCCGTTCTCCACCGTGAATACGTCAGTACCTACGTAGATACTTGTTATACAAATGAGATTAATTGTTCCATGTTTCAATGTTAGATCATTCTTGTCCATATAAAAATATACGTAACAGAATTTAGTATACATTAGGTATTTAAATGTGAATGTAAATGTGAATGTATTAACTACATAAAGTCCAAGTTCAAGTTTTACGTGACATAATTATTATGACGTAGGTAAATCGCCTAGTTGGTATAAATACCTAAATAGGTGACATGGGATTTCAATCATCTTTAATTCTTTGGTACGTATGAAACCGAGGAATGAACCTGCTCCATTCTACGAGCCGCATAGATTCCCACCGGAGCCATTTCCGCAACTTCACCGCCCCAAGTCTTCAAACGCGATGCGGAGATATCGTGACTGGGATACGCATAAACCTATTTAGAGATACCTAGGTTAGGTATGCACGCATGTGTTGCTTTACCCGTGACGAAGCCCACAGTCGCGACCATGGTTGTGACTTAATTTACCTATTGTTATAGCATCTGGTTTTTATACATAGTTATCCATAAATTGTATACATATGTGTATGTAGCTATTTTCGGAACCGAAGATGACAATACTCATAACTCTCTTGGGTTAAGATAAACCAAGACTCTAGATTACTAACAACATGGGTCTTTTGATCGATAGCTGGGGGCCGATCTGCTGAGATAAGGTTCTGATGTCTAATGTCTTAGACTATCCATCATGTTATCCTTTACCTGACTTAGTGAGCGCTTATACACATTTGTTTACCTACCTACCTACCTACCTAGGTATTCTGCTAGTCTAGATCACCCGACACAGCTGTGGGTTGTCTGGTCGTCACCTCTCTAGTCATGCGGGTCATGTTCGCACGTGTGCATACACATATCTATCACCACATCTCGGCCATATTCCTCTGAGACCTGCTTGAATAATATAAACGCCGATACTATACCACAAGAAGGAGGAGATTCCTATCGTGAACTAGTCCAAAGGGTGATATCCAATGAGGGGGCTGTTCTCAATGGTGTGTCGAGAGAGCTATTGTGCGGGGAATGCATCATGCCATTGTATAGAAGGTCACCTCTACCTTATGTAACATACCGTGCAGAGATAGCTCGAAGAATGATGCGTGTGATAGATAGTGTTATGAGAATATTTGATAGTACCCGTAGACCTCATAATACAATCAAGTATTAATTAGCCTAATCATTAATAGACTGTTCTGGAACATGCCGTGTTATTATATTAATATAGAAGATTTGGAAGTCCCCAACACTCTAATTATAACTTCAACCGCGTAGCTATTACCCATTCATCACTGACGAGTAGGGTCAATCTACTTCTTAGGCCCATATGGTACAAACCAAGTCGGTCTATAGCTTACAAATGGCTAGGTTAGTGATATCTAGGTATAGAATCTTTCGAATAAAATGGTCACAAATCTATGCGCATATAATGTTCAGTTCATCGTTTGACCCTGCGTAAATGTAATTCATAAATAAACGGGCGTATGTCCACATCAATTCTTAACACTGCTTAAAAGCCTTGATAAGAGGCGCTTCATAAACAATAATTTCCACCTCCATCCATCAAGCTCGACGAATAACAGAAGAAATGACCGGTATAGGTCTAGTGCTAAGTGTCTGGGTATTAAAACCACAAATTTCAACCTTGTCTCAAACGCCTTGGTCCCTTCTTTGAACCTTACCCCAGAGCGCGATATCAGCCCAAACTCCACAACTTAACCCGTAAATCTGATCGCTAGGTCCCCTTATGCCGACACCTTTTTAAGTAGGTTTGTGCGCAGACTCGTAGTCGACTGTCCAAATATATACATTGAAATGCCGCATATAAAGCTATCCCCGAATCTCCGGCAATGAGATCCGGGTAGAACGTAAATTGTACCAGTTTAAATCCATGCCTGCTCTATTTCGGCCGGTTCGGGTTTAAAGAAGGTCGCAAAGAGCCCTTGGACCTCAGCTAAGTAATCCTCGGGTCGGAAACTGCAAAGGCCTCGGGCAAGAAGCTCCTGTTCCTCCTCGTCGATAACTTGCATCTTGTCCTTAACACCTAGCTCCTCTGCGAGTTCCGATACCTGCGCCAGCTCGTTACCAAAAGGATGCTGGGCCTCGGAATAGTCTCGGCGGAAAGTCGGACGAGCCGGAGGTGGTGATGTGACTACGGGAGGCATAGGGGGCACCGTAGCTAAAGCCACAGATGCTTTGCGCGAGAAAGAACCGGATGAAACAGAAGTAGCTGTCGTCGAGGTTGATGACGAGCGAGAAAGCGAAAAGCTAGCTTTCGTGGAGACGGACTTGCCGGATTGGTTGGAAAGGCGCGCAAATTTGTTTGCTAAGTTATCGATTGATGCCTTTTTAGTGTGTGATGGCGATCGCTTTGGAATACTTGGCGCCTCGTTGGTGTTCGAAGGCGTCTTGGGCTGGCCTGGAGCGACGAAATAGCACGAAAGATGATTGTGCTCTGGCGTGACAGATCGATCTGCTGTTGGGATGTCAGGACTTGTCGGCGGCGATGATGAGCTAGTACGAGGACTATCAGTAGAAGAGTCGTCGGATTTGCTGGATTCAGTTGGTGAGGCTTCTGATCGAGGATATAAATCCGGTGCGTTGTATGCGAGCATATTAGTTGTGTGGGTAAGGGCCATAGGACCAGATATCTTATTGCGAATTGCCGCAGAGTTATTCTTAGCGGTAGTATTGCTCCGTTGAGGCAATATTCCCAGATCCTGCGAGGACTGCTTTCGCCTCGTCGTAAAGGCGCGCGCAAGAGACATATTGGCTGACGGTTTCAAAAACCTCTTAGTGATAAAAAAGAATTTAAGGACTAGTTGGTCTACCCTGGAAGACTTCCAGAATATTAGTCGAAACACAGGAGGATGCTAGGTATGGCGTTGGATTTATGTTGTGCCACCTAGACGAGGGAATCTAGTTTGAAAGATACCCTTAACGTAAGCTGGTAATCGGACCTGTAAAAGTCGCGCCCTATAAGCTTTCTCCGGCCTGCGCCAATCCACTTCGAAGGCCAAGTTTTTTTTTCTTCACAGAAAGACAATAGGTTATGTGTGACACCTAAAGCCTAGAGTTGATATTGGTAAAAGTCGGGTAATGTGACAACCCTAAGTTGAGTGAAAAGGATATAGTGACAGTAAGTACACTACGACCTGTTTCCGGCCGGTGATGGATACCACTTCTGGACGCGCTTAACAGACGCTTGTGCAGGAGACGATGTTACCCTAATTAGGCAGGTGGACAATGTGGTTGGGTCCTGGCGAAACAACCTGATGTGATCCTATGAGATCGCGGGGTCTACCCTCTGAGACTAGGTGTATCGTTACGTTGAATGACCAACGAGAGTCTAAGTCTCCAAGATGACCAAATCGAGCAGTTGCAAATGTAAGGTTGCCGTTGCGGAACACTTAGCCGTTGAGTTCGCAGAAGTGCAAAATGCGCTAATCGCGGGGGAAGACACTGAGGCGTAGAGAGATTCTCGGAGTTCCTAGCTGACGCCTCTTCGGAATCCCTAAATCCCTATATGAAAGCCGAGGCGAATATAACGGTCACCTAAATTTGCTGTAATCACCACACAAAAGTGAAATGTGAGTGTAACAATCGTAGTCGAACCTGTCCAAGGTTTATCGAAGTATGATATCAAACTCTCACGAGTTCCCTTATATTGGTAGCATGTGGATCTCTTGTCTTGGTGTTTGTGTATATTCACACAAGATTTGTCGCCAACTCCGAAATAGCTGACTGACAATTTGAAAAGGAGAGAGAGGGTTAGGTAGTTTTCAAATGATGGTCCAACAACCTTTTGGGAGGGTTGGTCAAAAATGGGTTTGTATGTACTAGAACGAAACAGTGAAACAACCAGGTTCCTGATAAGATCAAGGATATAGGACAATAGTTGTCGTAATACCTTGATAGTGTAAAAGGAAGGACAATATTTTCGAAGCCTCAAGAGACTTGTTAATTCGTGACCGGCGACGAGTCTTGGATGAGGATCCGTAGAGAAGAGGAATGAATGAATAGGAAGAATAATGCCAACAAGACGGGCAAGTGGTTAGAATGAGTGGAAAGTGAAGGAGTGCATGCACTTGGGATGAAAAGGAACCGCGACAATAATACTAATAAAGCGCACCCAGGGGGGTTCGTGGTCCGGACTGGGGGATAAGAGAAGGAAAAAAAAAGAAAGACATGGGGAAAAGAAGCCCTAGACAAGCCATCTTAAGTCTCCACCTGCAGGGAATCTGGGAACTTAGGGCGAAAGTATTAGTGAAGTTTCAGGTACTAACAGAGTCTTTGTATTTCAATACAAATTCTTATACACTTTACTTATAATTGGTTGTATTAGTTACCAACTTAAAATACCTTCGCAAGTTCTTTCTTCTTATGCTCGTTAAGGCATTGACAACCCACATGGGCTTAATATACATAGTGCACTTACACGCACCAGCTTGACTTCTTTTCTCAGTAAGCATCTTCAACTTCTTTGATCCTCAACTATTTCTATGTCTACTTCTAACTAAGTCATAAATCATAACCCCTTTCTTTGTTTGCTTCAGTTGCGCATCCTCCCTAACTGTTTTCCTAGTATACTCTCTCTCTCTCTCTCTAACACACTTAAGCTAAAGAAAGACTTGATCGATCGACAGTGGGCACTAAAAGATTTAGAGACGGCGACCCAGAATCTAAAAATCCCTGCGACGTCCTCTAATGATTTTTCGTGCTTCTACTTGTAAGTTAGCGCAGGACGGGAACCCCAGTTAGGCGAATCTCATGACAGGGACTGCGGATTGGCTGACTCAATCGTTGCCCCTGGTCCCTAAAAAGCTCGGCAGGCGGCGTGTTAGCGAATCAATTCCACCAACTCTCTAAAGGTTCTCTTTAGCGGTTCATTTCTTGATTCTCATTAGTTAGGCATCCCGGCCAATGTCTCCCGACTACCACCACCCAACGCCACGTCGAGCAAAGATTATCAGCCACTAAATGCAGGTACCAGTTCGAGACCAACCAGTAGGATGAAGGCAAACATGAATGTTCAAAGAACCCTCGAATCATCCTTTGAGCCCTTACCCTCCGTCGTCAATGCTACACAATGACATACATTATCTTATTCTTTTTTACTGCACAACTCATCCCGTTCCTGCAGCATAAGATTGCATCGTTACGTGGCCGGTCTTTTGACGATGTCTATGCTCTTAGATCACATATATCACAAAGTCAGACATTACAAAGCTGGCCGCATCTCTTCGGGATATACTATTAGAATCGCGCATACACATACACTACAAAGGGCCTCATTTTCATTGTTCGTTGTTCAATGCGATTTCACAAAACGTCTAACCGTGTAATTTACCGTGCCCATGTCCCAGGACTTCCACCCCTCCCGTGGTGGACATGGATCCGATCAATCATCGTTGATCCACCGATGGGAGTAAACATCCCCTGACTATCCTTCAAATTGATTGCATGGCTTAACTGGGTCTCCGAAAAAGACTTACCCCCTTCGGGAAGAGGATAAGAAAAGAAAAAGAGGAAACAAACTTGATCGGGTGAGAGCAGGGGTTTCTGCAGTTTGAAACTGACGAAGCCATGCAAGGCGTTAATTGCGGAGAAACTCTTATTGGATGCTTGTTCCCATCCATCAATTGGCTATGGCTATTCGAGTGTTTCATCTTCACGCGCTCTCCTCCAAACCTCTTCTGATCTCATCTGATTTTGTCGCCGAGAGAGCGGTTCTAAGAGACGAACGTCGTCGTCATCTAAGCGCGAGTTAGTCAGGTGCGAAAGCTGAATCGGACTCAGCCTCAGACGAGTCAAGCGCCTCTTTTATTTGAGATGTTGGTTAGTAGGGCCGGCCGTAGCGGGATCCCCGTGCGAAATGGCTCAATATTTATCCCTGCATAGTGAAAAGTTGAGGGAGCCCGAGCCCTACGTCTCTTCCCGAGTCTCCGATCTACCTAACAGCAAACATTACTTGCATAGGTACATAACCTATCTAGGTACCATATCTACCTATGTATGTACACTGTCCCTCTGTTTCGCATTGCTTTTCGCATCTCGCTTTTAATAAGTAAATAGGGGCCAGTCACACATATCACATTTTAAGCCATCCACTACTAGAGTGTTAACCGCCTTCAATAATTATCTGGTTGAAGCTATTCAGGTTACAGTTTTATATATAAGTTGATTGCCTAGGTAGGTTCATGATCTACAAGTTTGATCTTTATGTAAATTTATTTATATACCATAAAGATGGATATGAAGGATCCAGATATTTGGATTCTGATCATAACGCACAGACACTTACACTAACTTGAGTTGATACAGATTGACAAGATCTCAAAACAACAGCGATCAATTAACATCTGGTCCAGCTTTTCAATGTCATTGGAACTGCGTGTGATCAATACACAGATCTTATGATCTCACAATACAAATGTGCGGATTAATGTCTTCAATGACTACCTATGTAGTCACATATGTAAATACAACAGGAAGCATATGGAGTAACCCAAGTGGCTGTCAAGATCTAGCCCAGACCAGATTTTCACCCATTCCTTCTCGTTTCAACCGTCGGCGGACACAAATATAAATAAATCACCCTGCCTTATTCATGCGAACTCTTGAAACCATAAACGAATTTTGGGTCGTGCGACGACGGAATTAGCCTAACTACATTGTTCATTGTTGTACCCTAAATGCATCTACCCGTGAAACATCACGGTCCAGACTCGACGGGCCGTATCTAATCCTCATCCATGGATTCGGGGTCACCATTTTCGTCCTCACCTTCCTCGCTATCTGAAGAGCTCTCGTCCTCCTCGACGCCGATGAGCCTTTCCCTGATTTCCCCATCTGACTTGTTTGAGATCTTGTGTGCGAATGCCTGTCGTACAGCTCCGTTTGTGCTAGTGTCCCACACGTGCATCGTTCCTTTGCTTCCTGCCACGGCAAGACGGAAAGCCACCTCGGCATCGGGGGCAAAGTTTGTCGAAAATACCCTACCGACGTCCAGGTTACGGGCTACGACCATGGCAGGCCCTGTTGGCTGAATGTTCCACAGTTTAACAGTCTTGTCGGTCGAGCCAGTAGCCATAAATCCCGGTATATGCGCGTTGATGTCGAAAGACGACAAGGACTCGTCATGGGCATGTAACGTCCACACCGGCTTGCTAGCGGAAGGATTTGGCGGCGCGTTCCGGATGTCGTGGTAATGTACAATTCCGTTCTCGGTAGAAACGAAGAAGAAGTTAGGGTCGTGGGGATCCCACCTAACGTTCTCAACGTCACTCTCTACGCCCCATCGCGGAGCCTTCGCCTCGGGGGCTCGCATATCTGCCGCAACAATAGTTCGGTCGTAGCTTCCACTCAATAGCACCGTAGATTCGACAGAATGCCATGCCAGCGAGCAAACTTTGTCTGTGTGATATGAGTAAGACTTGGCGCACTTTGCCGTGTACAAATCCCATAGTTTTACGGTCTTGTCTGCAGAAGCAGAAGCTAAAAGATTTCGATGTTTCCTGTTGGCGGCAAGAGACAAAACTGCGTCGACATGGTACTCGTCGTTGGCCTTCTTCGATTTCTTCTTCTTCTTTTTCTTCTTTTCCTCTTCTTGCGGATTGCTTCCCTGGCCTAAGATCGCATTGGGGTACATGCAATCTATGGTATCTAGATCCCATACTTCGATATCGGGATCCATCGTCCCTATGGCGACAAAGTTGGCTACCGAATCTTTATCTACGCTGTTTTTTGACACGGGAATGTCTAACCACTCCACGCAGAGAGGTATCGCAGGAAGCATGATGTCGTGGTGTACGTAGAGGTTGTCGGCTTCGTCTTCGTATACGTAGACCTCGAGATGCGCAAGCTCATCTTCAACCTTCGCGGCTAATAGTAGGTTATCTGTGGCTAGAATTTGTAGCTCTTCCCTATCTTCGTCATCCTCGTCCTGGCCGTCGGGTATTGTGATATAGGGATCGTCTTTATTGGAGTCGTAGTATGCTAGAGACTTGATGTTTCCAAACATATCCATTCGCTGGCCTTCAGCCTCATCCTCATCATCGTCATAATGTTCTAAGTCGTACTCCTTAAGGTCCGCGTCGTCTATGTCAATGCTTGGGCAGAATTAGTAGCTAGTTATACGTAATAGAAGAGTAGACCTACTCCTCTGCATCTGCCTCTTCATTTTGCGCTGAAGATTTGTGATCTGGCTCGTTCGCCTTTTTTTCTTCATCGTCGTCGTCACCACTCACTCCATTTTCCTCTCCTTCTTGCGCTTCCTCTAGGTCTTCCTTCGCATCGTCTAATTGTAACTTAGCTAGGTTGGCTATCCTGTCGAATTCGGCCTCGTCGAAGTCGTACTTGGCAGGGAATGGCGCTGCAAAGCCTCGCCGTACCCAAGTGGATGTCGTAATCATAGACGACATGATTGATTGTTGGCGACTTGATCTGCCTAAGAAAATATTCCTAATAGATAGGTCAATACGGCGCAAGAATTCTAAAAAGAGCCCCGCGAACTTTTGATTTTACAAAAATTCGAGATAAAATTTTAGCGGGGCAGCTACTGATAAAAGATCGATAAGGAAATTTAGCGTAGCTTAGGTAGCTTAACGGTTAACGCCAAGAATGCCGAGCCCCATCTTTACCTTTTGTTTTCCTTCCGCGACTCAATTAACCTAACCTAACGATTTACTTACACCGCTCGAGACTATCTCTACCTACCAACTTATTCTATAGAAATATCCTCGGGATGGATAGGGAGGACGGGAATTTTAGCCCCAAGAGGCGCAAAATAGATTTCAATCCCCTACGCTCCGATGATCGCTATACATCTCTTCCAAATCGGAGCCATTCATCTCGACCACACGGCCGCTTCCAACATGGTCCCAACTCGCGCGCTTCCACACCTCGCGCGCAATCCAACTATGCCTCAACCCCAAAACAGCAAGAGTTCGACGGTCCAGAACCTCTAGTGAGCGCAGATGAGCAGAATGCCCTTGATCGCGACTGGTATACCGGTGACGAGACTGGTGGACATACCTTTGGCGATGACTCCCATAATCCGTTTGGGTCGTACGATACTTCATGGGTCGAGCAGCAACAGCGGGAGGCTGAGTTAGTCGAGAAGAAATCCGGACGACATATGAATGCGCGCCAACTGCAGAGGCAAAAGGACAACGATGCCTGGGAGACTAATCGTATGCTTACTTCTGGTGTCGCTCAACGACGTGCATTAGGGGATGACTTCGAAGACGATGACGAGGGAACTCGCGTTCACTTACTAATTCACGACCTTAAACCGCCATTTTTAGATGGACGGACTGTGTTTACCAAGCAGTTGGAGCCAGTTCCAGCTGTTAGGGACTATCAGAGCGACATGGCTGTATTCAGTCGCAAAGGGAGCCGCGTGGTGAGGGAAAGGAGGCAGCAGAGGGAACGTCAGCGCCATGCCAAAGAGGCTACCAACATGGCCGGTACCGCTCTTGGAAATGTCTTGGGCGTGAAAGAAGATGAGGGGGATAGCGCCTTGCCGATAGCAACAGAAGAAGATGCACCAAAGTCCGGAGAGAACAAGTTCAGCGAGCACATGAAAAAGAACGACGGCGCAAGTGCATTCAGTCAGAGTAAAACCTTGAGAGAGCAGAGAGAATTCCTACCCGCCTTTGCAGTCCGGGAAGATTTATTGAGGGTGATTCGAGACAACCAAGTTGTTATAGTAGTTGGCGAGACAGGTTCAGGAAAAACGACACAGCTTACACAGTTTTTATACGAAGACGGGTACGGGAAATCAGGCATGATAGGGTGCACTCAACCTCGACGAGTAGCGGCAATGAGTGTAGCGAAGCGTGTGGCCGAGGAGATGGAGGTCAAGTTGGGTAGTACGGTTGGTTATGCTATTCGATTCGAAGACTGTACTAGTAAAGACACCGTCATCAAGTACATGACCGATGGTGTTTTACTACGAGAATCGCTTAACGAGAGAGACCTGGACCGTTATTCATGCGTAATTATGGACGAAGCTCACGAGCGAGCGCTTAATACGGATGTGTTAATGGGACTTTTCAATAAGATCTTACAACGCCGAAGAGATCTCAAGTTAATCGTTACGTCTGCCACCATGAATTCGAAGCGGTTTTCGGATTTTTTCGGTGGTGCCCCTGAGTTCACCATTCCAGGTCGAACCTTTCCAGTCGATATTATGTTCCATCGATCGCCGGTCGAAGACTACGTCGATCAAGCTGTTCAGCAAGTACTCGCCATACACGTATCGATGGGCGCTGGCGATATTCTAGTATTTATGACGGGACAGGAAGACATCGAATGTACTTGTGAATTAGTACGAGAACGCCTAGACGCCCTTAATGATCCACCAGAGCTCAGTATCCTTCCGATTTACAGTCAAATGCCAGCAGACCTACAAGCCAAAATTTTCGACCGGGCACCTCCTGGAGTACGGAAATGTATTGTGGCTACTAATATCGCAGAGACTAGTTTGACGGTCGATGGTATTATGTACGTGGTGGACGCGGGATATTCTAAGCTAAAGGTGTACAACCCTCGGATGGGTATGGACACGCTCCAGATTACACCAATATCGCAAGCGAATGGAGGCCAACGTGCTGGTCGTGCTGGTCGAACAGGTCCTGGTAAAGCGTTCCGCTTGTATACCGAGAAAGCATTCAAGGATGAACTTTATATTCAAACGATACCCGAAATTCAACGGACGAATCTCAGCAATACGGTGCTTCTACTAAAGTCACTGGGCGTTCGGGACTTGCTCGACTTCGATTTTATGGATCCGCCACCGCAGGACACTATTACTACCTCCCTTTTCGACCTCTGGGCTTTGGGTGCGTTGGATAACCTCGGAGAGCTGACGGATCTCGGTTCTAAGATGAACGCTTTTCCTATGGACCCGTCTCTGGCAAAGCTCCTCATCATGTCCGAAGAGTATGGGTGTAGCGAGGAAATGGTTACTATCGTCTCTATGCTCTCCGTCCCTAACGTTTTCTACCGTCCCAAGGAACGACAAGAAGAGTCTGATGCAGCGCGCGAGAAATTCTTCGTTCCCGAGTCCGATCATCTAACCTACCTCCATGTGTATTCACAATGGAAGACCAATGGCTATTCGGATGGTTGGTGTACGCGCCACTTTCTGCACCCGAAATCACTACGGAGAGCAAAGGAGATCAGAGACCAGCTTCTTGACATCATGAAAATGCAAAAGATGCAGATGGTCAGCTGCGGTACGGATTGGGATATCATTCGCAAGTGTATCTGCTCTGGTTACTACCATCAGGCAGCCAAAGTCAAGGGTATAGGAGAGTATATCAACCTACGTACATCAGTTACGGTACAGCTCCATCCCACAAGCGCCCTATATGGTCTCGGCTTTCTCCCCGACTACGTGATCTACCACGAACTTATCCTCACGTCGAAAGAGTACATGTCAACAGTAACATCCGTCGATCCCCATTGGCTTGCGGAGTTGGGTGGTGTTTTCTACTCGGTAAAAGAGAAGGGGTACTCAGCCCGAGAAAAGCGTATTACAGAGACCGAGTTCAACCGCAAGATGGAAATCGAGGCGAAGATGGCAGAAGATAAGCAAAGATACGAAGAACAGAAGAAATTGGAAGAGGAAAGGGCGGCTAAGAAGCCCGCAGCCAACAAGGAAGCTAAGAAGATTATTACTTCTGGCGCAGTGAAGAAACCTGTAGCCAAAAGGAAGGGCAGGGGTTTCTAGAAGTTTGTTGACGATGTTTGGAATATTACGATATCTACATAAATGGTAGTAGGCTATTCAGCTTTACGAACTATTTGAATATAATTTATTACTTATTATTGGCTCTCAGCCCCTATCTTCGTACTTCGAAATGTGCCTCTCCTTCCTGTACATCTCGAGTTTCCTTGTCTAACTTGACAACATGGGCATGTTTTGGGCCTTTATCGAGTTCCTTTAAGAATGATGTGATAGAATCTTCGTGTCCTTGAGCCTCGCCCTCAACCTGGAAGGGATGAGTGGTTTGCCATTTCGACCTAATTCATAATAGTAAAAGTAGTTGCTCACCTTCCCATGCTCTGTATTTCGACACCATCCAGTAATACTGTGTTCTGCCGCTTTCTTCTGCGCGAAATAGCGGTAGCTCACGCCTATCGCACTGTGACGTCAGTTTTCTAATCTATTGATACGGTAGCTTACACGTTATCGTGGTGGAGTTCGTACCTTGAACTCGGCCGTGGGCGAGAAAGTAGACCTGAGATACTGATTAGTTACTGACTTAATATTAGCTATATCCGAAGTAATATATCACCTACTCTTTGTGTCATTTTGAAGCTTCAATTGCAGTGTAGTAGATCGTATGCACGGTGGTAGATAACAGTTCATATGCAGGGTAGCTTTAACAAGTCCATGTACAATGACGACTAAGAAGCTTTATCGACACAAGCATTGGTGGAGAAGCGATAAGCGGTAGATTATCGGGTAATCTTTATCCGATGCTGGCCTTAGGTTATGTCCATACGCCTTTGACTTTCAATGCGGTGTACGTACCTGAGTCTACTTCGTATCACCACCAAACATACAAACAGCCAATTTCGGACCAAGCGCATCTCCAGTAATCCGTCGTAAACTATCATCATGGATAGTACGGCTTCGGAGTCGACACCCGTACCTCAAGTAATATTTCGTGGGAAAAAAAGGAAGACTTACAGACAACGAGCAGAACCCACCGACGATGACAACGACGAACGATCCAGATCCGTAGAGACACCACGACTAGAAGGAACACCGATCGCATCAGACACTCCCGGAAAATCTGAAGTCGCCACCCCGATTCAATGCGAGGGCGCAGAGGATGAAGAAAAAGGTCTCTCAGTAGCCGAAGTTCTACGTCTACGCAATGCGCGAAAGGCTCGATTAGGCGGCGTCAAGTTCGGCGCAGGAAGCAGCTACAACTCCAACGATGCAGCAGCTGCCGCCAATGGCTTAGGAGACGGTCTCGATGACCTTAGTCTAATGATCCGCGAGGAAGAGAACAAGGTGTTAGACATCGCAGCAGGCGTAAAAAAGCGTTTTGCGCCGCAGACCGGTATGGCGGCAGAACTAGTGAACAAGCACATGTGAGTCCCATCCTTCCCCATGGCGCGCACCCCCCGCGACCGCTGCACAGCTGCTGATGGAGCAAGGGAGGAGTATATAGAATCCGAATTAGCCAGGCGACACAACGCTGTGGCACTGTCTTCCCACTCAGCCGCGCGCTCGTCTAATCGGGGGCAACAGCAGCAGCAGCAGCAGCAGCAGCAGCAACAACCGGCGACAGCGGCGGTGACGACGGTGCCCAGACCCGAGCAGCAGAATAGAGCGCTACAAGGCCAGCTTATGGAGATCGACCTTGGCGACGAGGCCCGCAGCCGCAATGAGGCGCTGACGGAGCGCGCTCGGCGGAAGTTACACGGCGAAGCTATTGAAGATGACGACGAGCAGCAGCAGCAGCAGAGCGGTCGGCCGAAGAAGGTCCGGCTCGGACGGGATGGCAAACCCTGGAGGTCGAGGAATAGGCGGAATAGCGACGATATCAAGAGGGACCAATTGGTCGAGGAGATTCTCCGGGAAAGCAGACGTAAGCTTTTCATTTTCTTCCCTAACCCAACCTATTCCATAACCCACACACTCTCTCTTTCTCTCCCACCCCCTGTGCATCAAATCCACTAATACACCCACCAGTCGACGTATACGAAGCGCCCACCCCGCCCCCCGCCGCATCCGGCAGCGGCGCTGAAGACGACGGCGCAGCCGACGACCGGATCGCCGAGGAGTTCCGGCGCGAATTCATGGATGCCATGGCCCAGCGCCAGCAGAAGCGCAAGAAGCCGACGAACGCGCCGCCCGGTTCCGGGCCCGGGGGCGCCGGCAAGGGCGGCGCTGCCGCCGACGAAGACGTTCTTAAGGGCCCCAAGCTCGGCGGGAGTCGCAACGTGCGCGCCGCCATGCGCAATCTACTACTGGAGAAGGCGAAGGAAGCGAAGGGGAAGACTCGGTGAAGGGGAGGTAGATTGTCTTTATATTGTTTGTGATACGGGGGGCTTCGGTAACGGAGCCCTTGCAGCAAGGTGACAGGGCGGTTTCCGTGTATGTTTGGGTACGTACATATAAATACTGCGGCGTTAGGGTATTTATGCGTACATACGTATTAAGGGAGGGCACATTCGGAGTATATTGAATACATGCATGCCCAATACCTTGTTTTTTTTTTCTATTTTTACATTGGTCCTGTAACACAGAAAGAGAACTGCAAAGCAACATACATGATTTCCTCGTTAGCCAGTCAACGTTTATTATAATATAGCATCAAAACTAGTCTATATATGAACATAGTATAGCTAAAGTAATACTCTCCTGTCTTTTAATACTTATAATTAAGATCCATAGTCAGCAACCTGGTTGGTTTCAATTGCGTACTATAACGTATTTTGCCAAATTGAGCATTATATGAAATGATCTATCCAAGTATAGAAACAGGGAAGTGTAGTTACAAACATACATCAAAGATAAATAAGCAGCAAGATGGTAACTGATGAATTAGAGCTCTACTCTTCATTCGTATATATATATATATAACTGGGCTATTTAAGCGGATATAACGTAATGTTCATGATCACATTGCTAGTTGTAACGTTGGCCTCAACCGTAAAACGCCTCCCTTAGATCGTTCGTGTCGTCTCTTTCCTAGATAAAACAAAGAGCCGGCCAGCTTGCGTTTCGGTGCGAGTCTTGCCGCCGCTGAAACAAGAGTATCCCAGATAAACCCATCCGCACAGCGATTCCCTTCAAACAGAAGGGGTCCAAATCGACTATAAATATCATAAATAACCAAATATCCCATGTGGAACGCCGGGGGAATCAATCCTCTCCCTATAACTTAAGAAAATTCCAATATGTAAAGTTGCTAGCAACATATATCACGTCCCCTAATGAAGATGATAAAAACGAATTAGGTCATTCGGGATGCCCGTCGCTAAATATAAACGCTATCTATGCCCACTCCTGGGTACATCAGTCCTATACGTCATAGGAAATCGTAACGGCTTACGCGGGCCGCCCAAATTCCTCGGGCGGGGCGTTACTCGGTTCGGTGTAAACACTTATCGTGGATCGTGGCCTTTGGCCCAGAATATGCCTCGGATTATCCACTTGGTGATCTGGCCTTTTGTCAAGTCCACGGCCTGTCCTTTAATGGGTTCTATAGTAAGATGATAGGTGCCATAAGCTGCTTTAGCAGTAGGCCGTTTGTATAGCTGTTGGTGAGTGACAGTCATCGGCGATGGTATGCTTTTCCGGAAGGGGAAGACACCAGATTGCTGGGCTAGATCCTTGGAACTGAGTATAATGGTGGCGAGATGCTTCATCGGATATCCAACTGAAAGGGCTTAAACCTGCCACCAATAGTGGCACAGCGCGGGCATTTTCTTCGGGCTCCTTGCTCCTCCATCAAGATATTAACACAATCTCGACATAGGCCGCAAATGCATTCCGTACATGCATAAGATTCCCGGAGCTTTGACGTTCTCTGACACGCAGCACAATAGATATGCACGTCCTGAGATGAAAAGCCAGGCGACGAATCTGAAAGTCCAGAAGCTCCTATATGGAAATTTTCTCCGCTCTCGCCACTCTCGACGGATGGGAAAGGTTCTGGAATCTCTTGGGCAAAGGATGGTGGAGTAAGAGCTTGTTGTAGAGGAGAAGCTTGATAGCCTTGAAAGTGTTGATGAGGAAATGGGGGCAAGGAAGCTCGGTGTATTGATATAGGAGATTGGGGGACCTGGGATGTTAGAGAAGGAAAATAAATGTGCCGGGCACGACTTACAGGAGTCCTGTCTTCATCAATATCTTCTGTAGCCGAGGCTGCAGCATCAATGAGGTCTTCCCACCTTTTGCCGTAGTCGGCCGTGGGCTCGACGGAATGAGCCTTACGGTCAGTGCTGCCCGGCTTAAGGCGCTCATCGTTTTGAATTCTCCGGAGCCAGTCATTTGCGGTACCTCGAGATTTCTGCTTTTTGTGGCCACGCTTAGTGATAGATTGCTTTCTAGGTCGGTTAGGACCAAGCGATCGTTGAAGAGGAGGAAGAGTCGACGAACGACCTGGCGGGGAATTTGAAAGAATTGAAGGGAGCAAGTCCCTACGCGGTGCAGAGTTAATTGAAGGGAATGGTTCGCTAGTTGGCTCCATCCCAAAATGTATGGGAGGTAGTTCAATTGTACTCCTCGGTATTCTCCGGACGTCGTTATCAGACTGCCAGCCCTTCAAAATCAGAATCAGCATTGATATTATCAATGATTAGCGACGTTAGGTGAGTATTTACTGCTTCATTATCCCAATCCGTCTCGAACTTGTGCTGGCCACCTAACTGGGCCAAAGCAGCAGCGGCACTCGCGGCTGGTAAAAGCGAACCCCCGGAATATTCATCATGATTCCTAGGGGTCCCAGGAGCGCTAGATGCGTCTCGGGAGTATGCATGACGCTCGTGCGGATAGCCTTTGGTCGGATCGAGGCTTCCTGGTGGTGGGCCGGCAGAGTTCGGAACTTGAGATCGATCTGACGGAGGTGTATTAATCATAAGTAAGAAGCTTTCCTCGGTCGCAGGGAGCTTCGAAATATAATGCTCTGGATGCGCTCGTCGAATATGCTCTTGCATTGAGCGATATCTCTTTTCCTATTTGTTCCAAAATGGAGAGTTAGACATTGAATTTCCTAGGCTTTGCGACATAGCTTCTGGATTGAGACCCGATACAGCTTCGTAATCCAATCCTTCGGGAGGCGAGTCAGTGAAGATGTTGCAACTTACGCCAATACAGCGCTTGCGACAGCTCGAGCCATCTTGGTTTCGCAGAGGACATACGACTTCATTGTTCGAGTCGGTAATAGAGAATGAAGACGTTAAGGAAGATCGAGGCGGCATCTTGACCCAATCAACCCCGCCATTTACTGGTCGGAAATTGAAGGCGGGGGGGAAGTTCGCAAGATCGATAGTCGGATACGTATGTCGACGATAAGAAGCACCACTAATAGTAACCAATTGATGATAGTCCAAGTCTATGAAGCTTAGAGATTAGGTATGTAATAGTTAAATTCGATATAGAAATGATAATGACAGCTCTGCCGAGGTAGCTCTAAGCTCCTATACAGGTGTTACATGAGGTGTTTCGAAGACCTCTCTTTCTCTCTCTCGTGGGCGTGGGTGTTGGCAGAGGAAAGAGGAAAGACTGGAAGGGTGACCTTATTGGGAGGGAGGGGGGAAGGGTAGCTGAAAGCAGCGGTACTGGAATTTCCCAGCTTAGATAGGTCGGTAGGTAAGAAGACAAGGAACATTGAACACACAAGGAACACAGAAGGAACACTGTAATAGTACTAATACATAGTACTAATAGTACATGTAGGGTGGCCAGTGGCCACAAGTCAAGGTCAGAAGGTATAATAAGTACCTACCTGTACTCCACACACCAAAAGCTGGATCAACGGCCTTGAGATACCCTGATACCCTGATACCCTTACCTTAAGGTAGATGGGACCTAGGATGTAAATGGTAGATGCGCGTATATGTATGTAAGTGGTCTGGTGGTGTAGGTATCCTAGATAGGTACCATACCTAGTAAGGTATTAATGCGGGAACATTAAGTAGCTGTTAACAAAGAGAGCAAAGCCTCCTCCCCCGGACAGGGTAAACTGAGCTTGTCATCCAAAGCAGCCCAAAGATAGATGATCCAACCAAAGTGGGTGGAAAACGGGCATCCCGTCGCAGACAAGCAGGCATTGTATCGTACATACATACATACACACATGAGTACAAAAAAAAAAATATCCCCAAGCTTGTGCGGCAAGTTCAAATCGGAGTGGACAAAGAGAGAGGGAGCCGTTTTATTGGCTCCGTCCCACTCCGTCTCTTTCTTAACTCGATTTAAACAGGCCGGACAGCTTCCCTTCTGACTCGATCGAGGATCGGCTGGGACGGATGGTTATTTGAATATTGGGAGTGGGGTCTCTTCTATGATGGGCGGGGGGAAAAGAGAACAATGATGCAAATAAATGATGTAAATAATAAAATGAGAAAAGCCGACGACGCAAGCACTTCCGGTAGCAATATAACCCCAGAAAGGTCAATGATTACTTTTGAGTTGAGAGCGTCGTCAGAGCTTCAGGTCTAGCTGTTCGGAATTTGGCGATGCAAAGCTTCTTAGCTTCAGATAGAGCAAGCTAAGTAAAAAGAGGCCAAGGTTTTCCGTTCCTTGTTGCCTTTAAGCGTACAAGCACATAATACCTGCAGCAGGAGCAGGATGTGGGATCCTCAAATGGTAAAGACGGGTTTAATGCGACCATATACCTCATGGTGTATAACAAATAGAGCCAGCTGCTTCCCACGAGACATGAATGCATTATTACATACTTGCCTCTAGGTACCAGCTAGGCAAAGCCCCGGCTTGCAGTACCGCCGCAGCAGCAGGAAGCTTGAGGGGGCGAGGGGTTCTGCAGGTGGGTAAGGTGGATGCACTGACCGAATCCATCCATCTACTTGATGAGAGCTCCGGCATTGGCTGAGCAGGGAAAGCAGAGCTTGCGGAGGTGATACGATAGGTGGAGGTTTCGAGTGGAGGCTTGAGAAATGGCGGGGCATCGAAAGAAGACTCTGTCGGGTAAGCATGGTAGCATAGTACCTAGCATAGTACCTAACATGGCGGGCCAGGCGGGCAGGCGGGCTCGTTTCATTATCGAAGCTCTCCATCTCGCACGCTTCTCTCACATGCATGGCTGCTTGTTCCACACATCTTCCCCTCCAGTTGAAAAGCGAGTATTCTCCTTGGCTGTACCTGTCGGCGGAAATATGAAAAGAACCCGTGGTTAAGCTCGTCAGCTTATGACATCAGATATGGAACATGAGCCTCCCACCGTTTGCCATCGCTTCTCTGATTGTCTGATTGTCTGATTGCGGATGTGGCTTTTTTTTGACACATTTCATTCCAGACGAAGTCGGATTACCTACCCTAGTTAGGTGACAGCCGAACATGGGTACTGTATTATAGCTACCTAATTCTCTTCTTTGTCAATGCGACTAATAGAACTGTGGTAGAAAGCTCTCATCCTAGTCAATCGCATTAGTTGGTCAGTTTTTTTTTTCTTGTACGCGCTGCCTTCACCAAGGCTTTCCACTCGGGAGGCTGGCCCGACAATGCCAACTAATGTCTGGATAAGTCCTTTGTACGAGAATCGAATCGTGGCTACACATTGGTCTAACGTTTTGCTATTGTTAGCATCTTGATTTTAGTTTCGCGAATAGAAACTTTTATTCGGGAACTCCTCTGAAGCTGAAAAATGTTCCTTCCATAGTGGCGCTGTGCTACCTACTAAGCCTTGAGTATGAGGTATGTATATGTACCCATGTATCTTAGGTACATGATGGTATGTACATGATTGCTCGGCTTGATGTGGGGAGTACAAGAGTACGCTACTGCAAGCTTGCAAACCCTTTTTTTGCTTCTTCTACTATTTTACCCTAAGCTCTAGGAAGGTGTTCTCATAATCTCTTATCGTAAAGCATTAGCTCTGAGAGGAAGCTGCATCGGCTATTGTAGCTACCTATCTGAGTTGTGTGACTGCTGATCCGAAAGTGCTGTTAGAGCTTTAGGAATTGACGAATCCTCTCTCACCTTGACTCTCGGCACATTGCATGTATTGTATAAGTGCTGCACACCTCTACACACCTCTACCCCTCACCAGGGTCTCAAAACTAGAAGGATGACGAAGGCATACAGCTAATCGTTCTTATCGATAATGTCGAAAGACCTTAAATTCGCACGTTGGTTTCTGCTCGATTAAGAATTTCATTCCTAGGGCCAGCTACATCTCCGCCTCGTATAGCTTTGCCCATGGACTGACTACCTCTTAAGTAACGTGAGAAACGCATCATGTGTGATAATGGAAAGGCATACGATTTGAAAATATCGTTGAAAACTAGCCGTAGTGTTAGCCTCGGTCGACTTATCTTACGTCTTGACATGTTGAACGGCACCAATAGGCTTTACGTCAGGTTAGAGTCGGGACGTGCCTATAGCCGCCCGCTTCTCCATCCGCGTGCTTAAAGCTCAGTATCCAAAGCATAAAGCTTAATCTTCGAGTGAAGACGTCAGTGCATAGGTAAGCTACATGGATATCCAGCTATTCAAGTTGAAGCTCAACTCCTTGTAATCCTGTTTCTTCGTAGTATACTAATCTCTAGAGGACTCCGCGAGCGGTTATTAGTTACTTGTCTAAACCAAGGAAATGTCAACTCAACATAAATTAGCTTTTGTTACTGTTAACTTAATTAAGCTGTAGATTCGATACTTTTTGTCAGTCGACGTTAAAATATGACAATGATCATTACCGCTAATTCCATACATCAAAGTACTACAAGCCGAGTACCACGCTGACACCATATGCATTTACAGTAGAGCCACTGAAAGTAGAGCGTAGAAAACTTGTATACGAGTGTTAATATTGTATAGCAATTATAATCTAAGGTAGCTAGTTTCCTGAAGCTTTCGGTGAAAAGACGGACGTCATGCTAAGAGTTATTAAGAGTCCAAGCTTCCATGCCGAACGATCTTCTTGAGCAATATGTGCGTAGTTATCCGCATGACCGCTGTCATTCCACGCAATGTGATAATAAAAGAATCTGGAATGCGTTATATAATTATTCTGAACCTAATTGATTGGGCAAGTGTAGATCTCATGACGGAAAGATATAGGTACCTAGGTATGCAAGTAGAAGTCGTCATCTAAGGGGATAAACATTTGGGAAATGAGATATCAACCTTGTCATACAGGAATGATAATATATCGCCATCTCTTCGGGAATCTAAATTATATTAGGGGATATTGTTTCGTACGTCATGCTAAAATGGGTATAGCGATTGGGAAGAAAACATTCCTAATTGTGCAACGACAACACGAGATATGTATATGTATGTGAGGTACCTAATGTTTCATGAAATTATGATTATCTTCACGCAGTACTTGCTAATTCCTGACAATAATAAGCTAGTAAATGACTTAATTTTCACTCATAATTTAATAATAATTAATGTAGAGAAAAACTGTAGTTAAACCAGCTGTGTATAATAAACGCCTATGTGTAATACTCGATAGAAATATCTATTTTAAGATAAGAAAAAGACCCTGAACGTTTAAGCCCGAAGCCACTTCTGTGCTATATTGGAAATTTAACCAATCAGCAAGAGATAATAATTACAAACCCCTAACCCGCGCGGCCTCTAACTTGGGGTAAGTGTCAAAGAAAGTGTAAAAATATGGGGCACGGTCCAGACGGCATCAATACCAACCGGTGTCGTACAGACTTGGCAACAAAACACCGAAACATTTCACTCCATCTGCAGATCTTTAGCTTACAGCTTCGCATCCACTCTACCACTTTCACCCCCCAGCTCGAACCAAGTGAAACATGGTCGACTATCTATTGTCTAAAACATGTCCTCGCCCTCCACAACAAGTGTTGGTACGTAGGTATGTAGTAAGAGCGGGAAAGCGGACAAGGGCATTTTGTATACCCTGACTTTTGATTATAATTTAATATCACAACATGGTGAGTTTATTAGATCATCGGCTGATGTTTAACGAGGACCTCGATTATTACTTGATTGTAGCTATGGGTGTCTCTTAACAAATATTCTTCTCCCACGCGATCCTTCGTACGCCTACTTTATCTCTTCATCCTCCATTCACCCCGTGGTAAGACAGTTAACTCACTTCCCCCCTCTTTAATCGGGGCTGAGACTAGATCCTTCTTAACTTTCCTTTTCGTCATCACTTTCTCTTGCTGCTTTATCTCTCGGCTTGAAGTTCTTGAAGTCAGCTTGTCTCTCATTACCTTAGGCTATCTCGACCACAGATGATAGTCAATTTCCAACCCCCTTAAGAGGGAGTCTAGACGACAACCCCCCCAGATACGTCGACATCTGCAATGGCCTTAACTATAAAGAACCTCAACTCCGATGCCTCGTTTCTCCTATCCTTCGAGCCCATAATCCCCGAATTCGCACAGCGTAGTGTAACGCCGAAGCCGTTCACAGTTCTCCTGGACCCTTGGATAACAGGACCTTCCAAGGTATTTCACTCTAAGATCTCGATTACGACTCACATACACCCAGCATGCATATCCTCGCTCTCGGAACTCCCGTCCCCACCGGATCTCGTTATCATCACTCAACATAAGAGTGACCATTGCAATGAAGCCACGCTTCGGCAGCTACCAGCAAGCGGGACAAACACGATCATCCTTGCCGAACCAGCGGCAGCGCGCTTGATCAAGAGTTGGAAGTACTTCGACCAGGAGAAGATCCGGACGATAGAGCGATGGGAAGACCCGAGGTTGACAGGAAAGCAGTCTGTAGTGCGAATTCCCGTCCCGCCCGTGACGCCCGGAGGTCAAGGAGGTGAAGTCACCATCGCCTTCATACCGCAGAAACGTGACCTAGCTGGTCTACATGGCGCAATTGGTATAACATATCGACCTCCGCCAACTCATCACTTACAACTCGGTATCCCTACCATATCGAAACCCCCCTCGCCACCTGTTACCCCTAATACGCCTACTATGCAGGGTTCGGACATGACACTTTCGAGTAACTCATCTACCCTGAATCCTTTCCTCCTCCCACCATCTCCACCGGTATCACCACACTCTCTGCGCTCTGTCCAGTCTGCGTCAACCTTACTTCCCTCTCCAGCGCGCTCAAGTTCAAACACATCTTTCCTACGGTCCGTTTCCCAGAACCATATTCGCCCCGTCACCTCCACCGGTATGGTCCGTCCCATCTCGGTCCTCTTCTCACCTCATGGTATATCATACGACTATATCTCACCTTACGTCACATCACATCTTGTAGCCGAAGCAGCGCTTCCGCTAACGGCCCTCCTGCACTGTATGGATAGCATCACAAATCCATGGTGGCTCGGTGGTAATATCTGCGCCGGTGTACCTACTGGTGCCGAGATCGCCACACGGCTGGGCGCGCGCATCTGGCTTAGCGCACACGATGGGGAAAAAGACGTCCGAGGTCTCGCTACGGCGATGCTGAAGACGAAACGGTGGCGGCGCGAGGAAGTCGAAGGTGCATTGGACCCGCGCGAAGAAGGGAAACCTGGTAAGGAGAAACTAGGTCATGTACGGAAGGGTAGCAATAGTAGTATCGGGGGCGTCACCACAGAAATCATGCGCCTCGGCAGTGGCGACGAAGTCGTTGTCTCCGGAAACGGTATGTTGTGGTGTTCGCCGGAGAATACTAACGACCAATGGGTTATCAGGGATGCGAAGGCCCGTCAAAATGTCAAGGTGAAAAGCCAATGTAGCCTAAGACCAATCTACGTTCGTAAGGAAAAGATACCTAGTGGCCTAAAGACAAAGAAGTCATTAAGAGGAGGCTTTTCCAGATTTAGGTCCGTGGCTACCCCTGCTTAAAGAAGTTATTAGGTTACAAGCTCGTTCATTCTTTCGGGACAAGACAATCGTCTGTCATTAGGACGATATTTTTTTATGTTTAAGCACATTAGCTTGTCGGGTTCTGGGGTGTTTTGGGAAAGGGAAAGGGATTTCTACATGATACCAAGGGCAGACAAAATTAGTCTTTACGGATTTGTCATTTTTAGTGAACCATTTAGGCATGTCATTTTTTGGAATAGGGTTCCTTATGTCATAGGGCTAGGGAAAAGGCATGGAGATAAAAAGTCAACAGCGTTGTTATTCGAAGCAAAATAACTTGCTACGTATTTTCAGAAACAGGAGGGTTACCTAAGTACTATCGTTATTATACCAACGTGATAATATTAGATCATCACGAAGTCTTAGACTCAGAAAAATATCTTATTTGTTAGATGAATTCATTCATTATGCATCCCTGTGACCATGATAGGTTGATGGTATCTACCGAAAATAACAATGAGGTCCATAGGCCTGTCTCGCCTGCATACCACCATCTGCCCCTGTTTCTACTTCTAGAACCCCCCTGAGATAGTATGATAGCTCACATAACGAAATTCCTCAAATGCATATCCTCTCCCCGCCCATAGAAACATAAGCCTGGATTGCTTACACTTACGCGGAATAATGCCGCGTATTCGGCAACGTATTCGTGAACTTGCTGCCAGCCCCGCAGGGGATATCTATCCTCCAGACTGTTGCGTATATAAATACGCCAACCCTTATTATTGGCTTTGCTTACCCCATGCTAATAATTTCGTGGGAAACCATAAAACTCTGAGTTTCCGGCCTCAACCTTACTTGAGCTGCTTTAAGATCTCGACGAGGAAGTCCTCGAAGCTGAGAGTAATGTAACCGTCGCGGTCCTCGTCATACTTCTTGAAGACGTCGGTCATCCGCTTAAGACTGATACAGGCCTGGACAAAGAGGTCGAAGCTCATGACGCCCTCGTTACGCTTGTCGTAGGTGCGGAAGAGGAGGTCGACGAAACCGGGGCTGAGGCGGTAGCGGAAGGCCACGAGGGCGTTGCTAAATTCGTCTGGACTAATGTTGCCGCTCCGGTCCGCGTCAAATCGGTCGAACAGTGCTCGCCACGATGCTAGGAATGACCACAGTCCGCAAAATTCATCGAATCCGATAGTCCCCGACCGATCACTGTCGAACATACGAATCATCATGCGCACCGTTTGTGGGTCGAAAGCCGTCCAGTCGCCATTTACGAGAGCGGCTGATAGTTCCTTTTCGGAGAGCTGACCGGTATCTATTCGAAAGGGGTTAGTTATCTTGGGGAAACCAACACAGTTAGGCTAAGATGGCGTACTGTTCTTGTCGACGGCTTTGAATAGAGGTAGCAGGGTAGGATCGGCAGCACCGTCCTGAGGGGTAGGAGAAGGAGGCGGCCGACTCGCAGGAGGTGGGCGGTTATGGGCCGTTGGTCGCGGGCCCGTCGCGGTAGGTGGCGGCGACATAGTAGATTGTAGGTTCGGCCTATAGCCGTAATCGTAGCTGTTGCTGTGGCTGCTGACACCACTATTATTGCTATAACCGCTCGAACCGCTCGGGCCGTAACCAGTAGGAGTCAGGCGTCCCGTGTCTGTGCGACGAGTCGGAAGGGAATCGTGTCGGGTGCTAGGAACAGGCGGTTGGGGCTTAGACTCGTAGCGAGAGGAGGGATGAGGCGCGCCGCCTTTCTACGAAGGGAAGAAAGTTAGTTATCTACAGTCGAATACGAGTGGATAGAAGAGGGGCTCGCGCAGGGGTTAACATATGTAGGGCAGGCAGAAAAAGGATTTAACGGAGGTGCGTGCGCGTACTTGGTCGGGTTCTGCGAATCTGCGGTTTCAAAAAAATAAGTTAGCTATCACTGCATATAACGCATGAAAATAAAAACAAATAATTATTATCCATCTGACGAGATGGTAATGTCCTCATCTCAATATCACACTTGTCCTTCACTCTAGAACACTGCGGTTCTGAGCGATGACGATGGCGGGGTATAATAGCACTAGATGCCGACTCACCTTGGCAGTTCGTCCGGATTGTATGGTCTGTTGTAAGCCATTGTGTAGTATATTGCTGTTTACGTCGCTCTAGAGTTTAGACTCGACTAATACCGGTAGTAAAATAATGAAGACGGTAACGGTAAGGACAGCAGTTAGCGGCGAGAGTTGTTTACTATATGGGATAAGGAGAGGAACGCGTAGTTGCAATGCAGCCCCAGCTTCTTTTATTGTGTAGGATGTAGATATGAGAATAGGCAGTTAAATTAGGAAAGGTGTCGGACGAGTAAATAAGCGGCAGTGCAATCCAATCGTCACGTAGGCGGACAAAGAGTAAATTAGATTCAGCCGCAAAAAAATCGGGGTAAAAAAGAGGAAAAGTCAAGGATCATGGGGTTTGAAGAAGACAAAAAGGAAGAAGATAGTGCTGAGTGCTGAGGATTTTGGCTGGGGATGGATGTACGAAGTACGAAAGAGGTAGTATTATTATTAAAAGTCTTGGTTGAGGATTTAACTCTAGGGCTGCATCTGCGAGAACCAAGACTTTAAGACCCAAAGATCCAAGACCCAAGACCTAAAGAAGCTAGTTAACTAATAACAACTTAGGGGCTGCCGAGCAAATAAAAAAAAAAAGGTAATATAGTTTGCTTTATTGTCCCAAATACCATAAGTCGGGGATTTGACGTCTTTCTGTTTGTTAACAAGCTGTTCTCTTTGGTACCTAACCTATCCAGAGTAAAGATTGTATGGATATCCGGCACCGCTAGTGTCCGTCTGACTGATACTAAAGATCCGCAGGCATCAGACTGGCGATCAAAATCACACAGTTCACACCGATGCTGAGCGGCGGGGCAGCCCGGGGCTGTGTCATCGTCTACCACAGCATCCATACGTACTCCATAAGGTCCGTAATAACTCGTCGGTTCAATCCGATGTTTGTTATCTTGACCGAAGGTGGCAGAGATCCTGGGGAATTACATAAAACAGGGCGAACCTTTAGTCTTTCTCGAAGGCTGACTTATATGGAAAAGAAGCTTCTATGTATGTACCATAGCGGCAAAATGTAGGTTCGTGGAATGATTCCAAAATGTCGGAACGGTTGGCAGGGGTGGAACGCTCCACCTATTTAAGGCCTCTAATTGGCTAAATCCAGATATTAGTGGGGCATATCTTACATAATTTTAAAATCGCATATGGAATCGTTCCGCAAATATGCCAAGCGTTCCACAATTTGTAATCATTCCGCATGGTATTTTAAAAAAAAAATTTAAAATTTTTTTTTTTTTTTCTAAGTCAAAATTCTACTTTTTTTGAAGTAAAGGTTATAAGGGTCAAAAAGAGGGGACATTTTGAAATAATTCGATGAGATTGGCCACCTCGTCCCATTAGCTCAAACGTTAAAACTTTAAACCTTATTGTGGGGTTTATGGTTACACAAACGTAAGAGTAGTGGGTTCGAGGACCAGTCTTTCCCTTTTTTTTGACTTTTTTGACTTTTAGCCCCATTTTTACACGTGAAAGTCACGTGAAAGTCACGTGTGTGTCGGAATCGTTACATTTTATGAGACCGTTCCACATTTTGGAATCATTCCGCAATATTAAATGATTAGGTCTGATTTGAACGCTTACTATGCATGGCATCATTATAGGGGGGTTGTAATCGTTCCACGAACCCATATAGCCCCGCTATGGTATGTAAAGGATTAGAATAGATTCAGCTTCCCCAGTGAGGCTCAGGCATGATGATCCCGTCCCGTCCCGCATCCCGGTTAATATTCCTTAGGTATCTTACTGCCTACAAAGTGGGTTGCGCTGAACCCACACAACATCTTCTTTTGTCATTCCCAACACCTTCCATAGATGGAGGCAGGTCTATGCGAGAATACGTAGCAGGTATGGCGCAGCAAAACAAGAGCTCCAAGCTATTACGGTCTGTAATACAAGTCGAGGCGCATGCTTCCCCTACCCTTAGGTCTTCGCGGGGTGCATACATGCTTCACATGTTAGGTACCTAAGCTAGGTATTATATGCATGAGGTTTCGAGATGCTGCAGGAGTAAAATAATAATAGTAAAGGTAATAACATGAGAGGTAACATTCTACAAAGGAGAAGCTTTTCGGTTTGGAATATGATGCGCTTGCCTTAGCTACATCTTGGGTATTCTATGACGCGGCCTATTAGCCTTTTACAACGTTCATCGCAATTATCCAGAGCTTTTAGACCCGTGGTGTTATAATATCTAAATGACGAATTTCTGGAGCTTAGCTGCAGCTGTTCGCAGCATGTACCTACAATACGTAAATTAAGGTCCAGTTACGGAGGGTACCATAGGTGCTAAAAATAAAAGTAACCACCTAGTCGGACTGTCGGAATAATAAGAGCGGGATCACCTATCCCCTTGGCTAGCATAAGATAGCAACCCACAAATTTTAAATATAATATTATAAAATAATCTAAATCTAATCTTATAAATTAATAAAATTAAAATATTTAATTTTATATTTATTTTAAATTATATTATTTATATTAATATTTTTTTAAATTATAAATAATTATATTATAAATTTAATATTAATATTTAATTTTTTTTAATTTTAAATTAAAATTATTTAAATTATTATCACTTAAATTAATTAGTTTTTAATAAAATTGTTTTTATATATTGTTATTTTTATAAGTTTAATATGGTAATGTTATAACTTTTTTATTTTTTTGGTAATATTATTAAAATATTTGTATATTATTTTTTTTAACGTTGTTTTTAAGTTTTTTTTATAAATTTTAATATTAAATCCGTATATTTTTATCCCTATTTTTAATAATATATTTATTTAGTTTTTTAAAGATTTAATTAATTTTTAATTAAATAATCTTTTTTTTTATAAATAAAATATATTAATTAAAATTAATTATAATAAAAAGTTAAAATATAAAACTTTTAAAGTTAAACGATAAAATTAATGATTATATTTATATAATAATTTTATTTAATTGTTAATATTAACCTTATTTATATAATAATTATATTTATTTATAATTAATAAAATATTAAAGATTTTTTTATATTAAAAGTTAAATATTTTTCGTATTATTTTTAATATATATTTTGGTATTATAAATACTTTTAAAATATAATTAAAAATTTAAAATATTATAATTAAAAAATTAATAAAACCGTTATTGTATTATATAATTTAATTTATTTAATTGTTAAAGGTTAATTATTTACAAACCTTATTATATTTTAACGTTTTATATATTTATATTATTATAATAACAATTTTATAATTTTTATAATATATTTTAATAATTATAATATTTTATATATATAATTATTTAAATAATTATAAATTTATAAAAAAATTATTAATAAAAATATATAAAAAAAAGGTATTTAAATATTTTAAATAAATTATTAATAAAAGTTATAATTATATATTAAGTAATATTAAAAACATTATTATTAATTATATTGATTAATTTTATTAAAATTAATTATTATAATATATTAATAAAATTATATCTTTGAATTTAATTTAAAATATGTTAAAAAAATTTTAATATATAATTTGATTTAATAATAGTTTAAACTTTAAATTTAATTAAATTAGATTTTATAAAAATTGTAATAATTTTGTTAATTTTGTTATAAAAATGTACAATTAATTTATTAATTAATATGTAAAATTTCGAAGTTTATATTTTTAAAAATGTTTTTTATATCCAATTAATTTATTTATTAATTTATTTAAATAATTTTATTTTATTAAAAGTTAGATTAATTGTATAAAATTGTTGTTTTAAGGTTTAAAATTGCTGTAAGTTAATATATTATATAAAAAAATAATATGAAAGTTTATATAATTTATTATATTAATATGTTTTAATTTTTTTTTTAGAATAATGTAATATATAAATAATAATAAATAAAAAAAAATAAATTTTATTAATAGTAATATTATATTATTTATATAATTATATATAAAGTTTTTTTTAAATATTGCAGTTAAATTTTTATTTATTAATATATATAATTTATTTTTTAATAAGTTATTTAAAAATAAATAATTTAAATAAATTGTTTAAACTATTAAAAAATTTTAATATTTAAGGTTTATAATTTAAAATATTAAAAAGTTTAAAATATATATTTATATTAAAATTTATATAGGTTTTTAATTATTTAATTATAAAGTTTATTTTATTATTTTATATAATAATTAAGTTAAATTAAAAAGTAATATTAATTATATTAAAATTTTAAAAAGTTATTTGGTTATTAATAAACGTTAAAAATAATAATATTAAGTCAAAAATAAATTAAAAATAACGTTATTAAAATGTTATAATTTAAGGTTATTTTAAAAAAATGATATTTTTTAAAAAAATATAAAATTTAAAAAAATTAACTTAATATTTTTTTGTATTGTTAATTGTAAAAGGTTTTTAATTAATAAAAGGCCTTAAATTTAAATAAAAGTAGGTTTATTACGTATATGTTGTGGGCTAATTTTGTACTGTACCGATTATAGGGGGGGTTGTTGTCTTATACCAGCCAAAGGGATATGTAAGATTAGGTATGGTGTTGATACTGTGTAACACATGCTCCGTTGGCCGGAGCCGCGCCCGCAAAAGACGGCAGTCCCGATGGCTTAGAAAGCCGTAAAAGACGAAAAAGCTTGGCATTATTGTACCATTTCCGACTTCCGTCAAATTGAACGACGATGACTCTTATTTACGGATAGAGCAGCCTTTATGCTAATTGGAGAGCTTTGTTAAAGCCATTACTAACTACCCTTTTTAGATTGATAGACAAGAACTCAAGCAAGCGTGCGTGAATTATAAAAAAGAAAGAGAGGAAGCTTGACCTAAATATCAACGATGTCAGTCAACGGAGCGCCGCCTGAAACGGACGAATTCTGGATCTTCGGTTATGGGTGCGTTATCCTTTCGGATGCTTCCCTAGCTTTGTAGCTTAACCTTACTTATAGAATTGTAGAAGCTTGATATGGAAACCCCCTCCGCACTATGGTAAGATCTTATACTGAAGCAGTTCGCTGTTCACTTCCTCTACGTCAACATACGTGTCCAAGGCCGAAACTCACCGAAGCTTTCTGGTAGATCGACGGATACCCGGCTGGGTCACAGGCTATGTGAGGCGGTTCTGGCAGGTATAGATTCCTTCACTTTGCTTAGCTGAAAAGTATATAGCTGACATACCTTTAGGCAAGGTAAGCTTAGTCTTCTCTAGAGATTAAGTCGAGGCAACCCGGTGTAGATGTACGGTGACGATAAGGGCCAGCGAGTTCAATACATGTGGATTATATCATCACCCTCTAACATCAACGTAATTTCCAGTCAAGATCACCGCGGCACACCTGAAGCTCCCGGCCGCGTCGTCACTCTTATCGAACGGTCATCCTGGGCATCCCTCGTCGATGCGCATGACTCAGCACCCGAGAAGGTATGGGGCACCGCATACCGAATCCAAGCGGACAAGGTAGCCGAGGTAAAGGAGTACCTCGACATCCGGGAGATCAACGGATATACGATCCACTATACGCCCTTCCATCCTGCGGACGGGTCGCCATCCATCCGCACTCTAGTCTACATCGGCACCCCCGATAATGATCAATTCACCGGACCGCAAGACCCGCAGGTCCTTGCCGAGCACATCTACGTCAGTGAAGGTCCCAGCGGTCTGAACAGAGACTACCTGTTGGGTCTGGAGAAGGCCCTCAACGAACTAAGTCCGGAGAGTGGTGATGCTCACGTCACAGATTTGTCGGATCGCGTGCGCGAGATTGACCGCAAGCGCCGCGAGGGCCAGTTGCAGGTGGAAGGCTTCGAACACCCCGTCTCACACGAGTTTAGAAAAGTGAGCAGCGTAGATGAGCAGGAAGAGACGGAGAAGGCGTGAATGGTACTTATCTTACAGGGGAGAAGAGGTGTTGTAAACATTAGGTCCCAAGGTAGAGAATTACGTTAGGCACTTAGGTCAAGAAGTTTAAGAGAGAAAGGCATTGGAAATCATGTCGATTGATCTGAGCACTATTGCTACAGTTTGTTCCCGGCTTTGCCTTCCTCTATCCCCCTCCGAGATCGACTTCATGACGATTTCTTCTTGAGAAGGTCGAACTCTTAATCCTTAAGTAGTTCTCCCATTTCTTTTTCTTTTTTTTCTTTAGTCCTTCGTAGACTCGTAAAATGATAGATGACGTGGATATTCACGTTAATCATAAGGGCCACAGAGCCTGGAATAGAAGATGGCGAACGAATGTATGTACATTAGTGAGTATGTCTCACTGTAATCCTCCAGTCTCAGATATAGAGACTCGATAGTTGAGGATGACTTAATGAAATGGTGACAAATGGGGAGTACCACTTTGGTCGTGTTGTGCATAAGGAGTGTCAAGGGTGTTGTGGGAACATCAGACCTCCATGCGCCAATTTCACCGATAACGAGCGTGCCTTTTGGGCCAATTTTCTAGTAGATGCCAACTCTGCATAATGTTGGTGTTGGGATTTGGATCGAAACCCCCCTGTGTCGCTCATAGGAGTTCTACTGGTACGGCGGCTGCCCCTGAGGCGGTTGCTGTTGATGTTGATGTTGAGGCTGTTGACCTGCTTGCTGTTGGTCCGGATAGCCGTAGGGCGCATAACCTATAAGATTTGGTCAGTTTAAACATGTGCTAATTTAAATTAAAACATTCTAAGGGGGCTTGTGTGTTTACCTTGAGGCGGGGGTGTTCCGTAACTAGGCTGCGGGTAGCCTGCTCCGCGTCCGTAGGCCGGTTGGTACATTACCTGGTTCGGCATCCCGTACGCAACCGGCTGACCAGCGGCATAGGGCATCTGAGGTTGCTGCATGTACCCACCCCTAGGCGGGTATCCGCCACCCCGTCCGCTACCTCCCCGAGGACCAGTATCAGATGCTCTATCGACACGGATAGATCGTCCATCAAATCTAATTTGTTCGGTTAGATAAATCCCCGAAATAATGGGAGGCAGCACCTTACTCGACGTTGTTCATGCCCGCAATAGCTTTCTGTGCATCTTCCTCGTTCACATATCGGACAAATCCAAAGCCTCTGCTTCGGCCAGTGTCGCGATCTTTGACGACGACCTATTATTAGCTCAGTTAGTCCTGAATCAAAGTATCGGTACAGTTTCCAGACTCCCATATCGAATATAGTATGAGTGCCAAATGGAGATGATAATAGGACCACATACCGCTTCCTCAACGGGACCGAATTCTTCAAACTTCTGTCTGAGCGTGGCATCCTCAGTGTGCCATGCAAGCCCACTAAATATAGGGAAACATTTCGATTAGCCAAGTAAACAATAAATGGGAACTCTGTTTTACTATACCCGATGAATAGCTTCGACATTATTGCTGACTGAAGATATCGATTCAAAAAGGTAGATCTGTATTAAATAAGGTTAATAATCGACCCGTAATAATGATGTGCGGATCGGATCGGTTGAAGTAAAAGTTAAAAGTACACGAGTATGTGTAGAGGTAGTGATTGCTGGCACACATATACATGTACCTAAGATACGTGAGGCTACCATTATTTATTGTCCAAACAAAATGAGAGGAACAATCTGCGAGATAACAGCAAGGGAGGAAAGAACTACTGGGTCCACTAATTGTACGGGAAGCAGGGGCGGGATGTGGGAGAGATGCACGAACGTTCTTTTAGAATCCTAAGCAGCAATCGTACAAATCGTTGTTGCTTTTATTTTTTGACTTGCAAACTTGACCAGTAACCAGTGCCGGAAGGTCTGCAGATGCTGGGGCCTAAGTGACGTAGGTATCTGATAGACGCAAGGGTAAATAAGTGAAAAAGTATTTTGGTATTTTAGTATTTCGGTACAGTAAAGACGGCAGGGTTAATAATGTATGTACGAAATGTAAGATCCAGGTGACCGGATAGGCAAGGATTATAAAAGTTGGTAAAGTTGGTAAAGTAACTCGAAGGCGTTCTAGTGACAAATCGACCAGTATCTGTTGGCTTGAACGAGGAATGAAGGATATCTATGTACTCGAGGCCGCCTGATTTTATACAATATATTATATTTACCCCCTAGGCAAAGACTGTCAGACCGCAATACTCAACAAGCCTATACCCACCACCAGCAAAGAGAAGAAAAGAGGGAGCCAGCAGGGATAGCTTCAAAACAAGCATCAAACAGAGGAGGTGCAAGTGACCTCGAATTGCCCTAAGGAGAGGGCATGAGACTCCACGCGGTACAAATTACATGTGCCAGACAAGCTGCTAAGTCGGCTTTATCCTAAAATGGAATGCCAGTAATCAGCGGTATGCTTGCTTCGTGTGGCCTAAGTTGCTCGACATAATGCAGTTGAAGGAGGCGTGTCGGCTTCGAGAACGATCTGCGAAGCATCTACTCCGACTACCTAGGTAGGATACCTATACTCCACATCTACCTGTTCTCGTTTAAGTACGGCCGATCGTAGTTGTCAAGGTCCCACGTCCGTTAGTTTAGGTAGTGAATAGTGAATACTAGAGTTTCGTGATCCTTGTCTGGGGGCTAAAAAAAGAAAGCTATAGTCCGTTCGCCATCTCTCTCTAGCCTATGATTTTCGGGCCCTATGGGAATAGTTTTTTCGTTAAAACTTGCTGGGCCTGAAATAGCTGTAACGAGCTCGAAGAATATGAGGAAAAGCGCGATATCCAATCACACAGGGGTGCCATTTTTGGACCCCTGACGTCTGTGATCGACCAATCGCCGTAGGACGTCAGTTCAAAACAGGAAGTCTTATTTGCTTGGCTAAGTAATGCGAGAGAACATAGCGCCTCTCCATAGTCTCCCGAGGGGCCTACTTATCCACAAGGCTAGACCCTGCGTTAGTGCTGAAGATTATCGTACGAAAAATACAAACTACGCTGCTTTCTAAGATGGTGGGTATATTAGTTAAGCCCATTGAAGTACCTCGAGACATTGCAACACGGCAGAGCTCCGAAAAGAGCCAGCCCAGAGACACCGATTATCCTGGTACGATTCGAGACGGACTAGGATGAAAATGTGCTGCATTTAGTTGTGGTCGAAAGTGAAACGTCGAAATACCATATCCTGGGATATACGCTCTGTTTTTGTGCATTTTATCTGACTAGAACCCACATAATTGTCCTCAATCGTTATACTCGGCCCTTGGGTGATGTTGTCGTATACTCTCAGTCTTTATGACTTGATATTATTTTTTTGGTGAGAGAGCTTGATGCCATATATAAAGTTATCCTGTGGTGAGATAGCTAAAGAATAATGCCTTTAGTATGTGCTATATACACTATATGGACACGTCTCGGTTGCTCGTAAAGGGTAAACTGTAAGCCCATGATAGATGATAGGGTAGTATGGAATGTGGGATATGACATGCGGTTAAGGCAGGTAGACGGAAAACGATAGTAACCAACGACTATAACAAATAGGAACCCGATAGCAGAGGCATTTCGGGTCAGATTCGATACAAGATGCGTTCCGCGTGCCCAAAGGCTTGTTCGTATGGGATGCGACGTTGTATGCAGCCGTGGAGGTCGCAGTCGATCATTGAGCAATTTTGATCCAAATGCCGAATCCACTTGGGAAGAAGACTTACAGGTAATAGATAGGTAGTCTACAAGATGCGTAAGGCTGTATGTAATTGTACATATCGTTTAGCGCGGCCTGTTAATGGGGCCGGCTGGCGCTCCGAATATCCATCCCTTGACTCGGGGGACCTTGGGTAGAATACAAACACAGGGTAATGAAACGCGTTGGACCTAAGCTGGAAGAAGAAGTTTATCAGCAATCACTAAACCCTAGTGTTCAGGGAGAAAGTAGACGCTTGACATGTGGTATCAATTGAAGTAAGTATGTTTAAGAGGTATGTTGGAGGTAGGTAATATCAGAGTTGCCAAGATGTGAAAGTTTGGAGTTTCCAATTCTTTAGTATACCTAACCTGTATTGAGGTCTTGGACACCTGCAGTGATGTGGTAGTGGTATTAGTGGTAGTAGTGGTACCTAAAATAAGTACATATAAGGCGTACCTGAACGTTGCGGGGTTGCACAGACCAATCAGACTAGTCGGGTTGAGATGTCCAACTCCCAATCCAGGGGCAATCAGGGGCCTTCTTGGCAAGGTTTCTCAGACGTCTTGGGATTGAAGCTTGGTCTTTAACAACAATATTACTACCCACAATGCACGACACGACGCTGACATCGCATGCGGCTCTTACACCACGCACGCATCAACCATTAATTTTCACGTAACATTTTTAGCACTTATGAAAACCTATGACGACGATGAAAATCCAGGCTAGATCAATGATGAAAACTTGCCAAGTAAGAGCAAGCGCTGATCCCGCCCGGGTTCTAATTATAGATTATAGATATCTCTCACGTAGATTGAATATATTATGTACCTACCTACTTACATAGATTTCAAAAGATTTGAAATTCGGTACCAACCAAAAAAAAAAAAAAAATATTAGCAAGCATCTGGACCGCTGGGTCTCGGTTCCGACGGAGTATCAAGCTACCCACATGTATGCATCTCCATCCACACTCGCATAGCTAATACATGTCTCTACCAATCTTTTACATACTTCAATATATCCCTCAATGTATGTACATCGTTGGATTTAATTAGGTACGCACGTGTACCTACATGGGGTTAGTTGATACATGCATGAAAAGTACATACTGGTAATGCCTACACGACTTACACTAGGAGTGAAAATCCAGGAGGTAATAACCTCAAACCCCACGTGAAGAAGTAGCTCCTTCTTACTGATATGTATAATGTATAATATGCACATGCCTCGCCTTACTTATGTAAGTACCTAGACAAGGTATGCGCTTAGTAATTTATAGATAATATTACTTGCATAAACTTGAACTTGAGCTAAGTCTTAGGTTCCGTAGCCCTGGGATATTCCAACCGTCGTGCCGACAATACAACCTAATCCCCACGCATCTCGTCTCGTCTAAAGTTGCTTTAACCATGGCTTAGAATATGATCTACCACACTACGGATATATCCTAGGCTTACAATATGTAGACCTACCATTTTGACGTAATGTCTTTGCTTCGTCTCAGGAGCCTTTTGCTGTTTCAACTCACACTTTGAGATAAGCTATTCGGAGTCATTCTTCACATCATCGCTGTCGCTATAATCGGCCGCGTTGACGGAAACAACTCGTACGAAATGCCCAATAATAGATCACGTCTGAAACGGCCACGCCAACCCCACAAGGACAACTCGATTCTAGTAGGGTCGAATAGCGCGTCGCAGCCGCAGCCACGCTATGACATTGTTGAAGACTGGCTAGAACAGACGGCGAGGCCAGATCCTCACCCCTGGCCCAGTACGTCACAAGGATATCGAAAAGAAATCCTAGACAATAGCTCCCCGTATAGACCACTTGATGCGACGTCCCCATACAATAAACGCCCTAGGCGTGTAGATCCGAGATGGAGTCCTCGTCACGACTTTCCTAGTCATTATATGCACCAATTAGACTCTCCGTTGGAGACTTCGGGTCCAAAGGATGCGAGAAAGTCTACGCGAAGGCGGGCGGTCCCTAGTGATAGTTCGTTTATCAGTGGCTTTGAGAATACTACGAAGCCTCCTAGCTATACCCCTGGCTCCGCTCAAGGGGGTCATGTGGACACTCTAACTGCCAGAGCCCCAAGAGACGCGGATTTGGTGCATCTCGATGCTTCGTCGACCACTTCTCGTGCGGATGAACGGCCGAACTTCGAGAAAAGGCCCAGGAGAAAGACCAGGGAAGACAAGTATGAAACGAAGAAAAGAAACCGAAATCCCGAAGAGGGAAGCGCCGTAGACCATAGCAATCGCCGGAGTAAAAAGCGCAAGAAGGTCGAAAAGAGAAAGTCCATGGCATCTAGCAAAAACGTAATGAATAACTTCACTTCCAATGCTGTCCTCAATGACCGCATCACGGTAAGAACTCCGTCGCATGTAAGTGATATTGGTCTAAATTACGCTTAGGTCCAACCACATTTAAAGCCTGGTCTATTTGACAATGGAAGGGCATCGAAAAAACAACCAAGTAAGGATACGCTCCAAAAAATAATAATTTATTTGATAGAACCTAATAGCAAACAGTATCTGATTTAACCTTCTCTGACATGCAGTTCCTAAAGCGCCAGAATAGACACGTTCAACCAAAAGTATCATCTAAGTCCCGCCTGAGGGAGAAACGTCGAGAAGACCGAGAAATGGAAGAAGTATCGACCTTTTTCCTATCACACAAAGCCGATAGAGGTACTCCTGGATTAAGACCTCATAAGCCGGATACCAGTAGAAAATACCGGGAAGCGAGGCATCGCTTTGAACAACTCACGCCTATCCGTGGTAGAAAACCTCCTGGGTCGTCGCCTCCGAGCCATCATGGATATGCTAAGCATAACCGCACATTCCGAGCTCAGGATGAGACCGTCAATCCCGTCAGACCGGATTCCCCTGGATCAATCCTAGATGAAAACGACGCAGGCAGAGACACGACATATTTAACATGGTCCAGTAGTCGCCACTCGCCGCGTATTAATGAAAGGGACAATCATTCCAGCCCAAATGTGTCAGGTTCGATTCGAACAACTATATCAGAACCAATGAGAGTAAATCCAATAACGACAGGAGTATACGGTAATACTAGAATGTCTTCATACGACGATCATTCAACTGGGCCGAGTACAGTAAGAAAGACGATCGAGACGGAACCATATGACGTTCGCCACATTGAATCGGAGGACGCTCATCACAATACTCATCAAGGTTCTAATAGATCTCGCAAGGTTAAATATCGAGATCAAGCTATAATGACTGAAGATCCTTATAAATTCTTAGAGTCAGCAGAAGCCATCCAAATAACAGAAGACCGTCATGCGTCTAAGTCTCAAGGAGAGGCAAATTTGCACATCCCGCATATATCCAATGATGTTAACCGTGAGCAAATTGTTAGAGAAGTTCGTCTAGCTCCTATCGAGGGGGGTAGTTCAAGGCAACCTGTTGAGATTCCGCGTAGCTTAGATAGCAAGCCTGACATTATCCACCAAATCCCCGAGACGGCGGCTATCCGTATAGACCAAAACCTAGAGAGACGGAAACAGCAGGCAAGCGATGAAGCATCTGTAGCTTCCAGGGATGCAATGCCTCCCCCGTCTATGCCGTATAGTAGAAACGCCTCCATTACTGTACCCCGCGCCGACGTAGAATTTAGTACACCAAGTCAGAATGCGACTCCAGCTAATTTAGAATTTTCACACATCACTCATGTAATAGATCACGACAAAGATATACAAGACTCCCAGGAATCCCTCGAGAGTTGTAGCCAGGCTTTGCTGTATGAGTCGGTCGCCAATAATGGACATACCCTGTTAACTTCTAATAGCGTTCCCTGGATACCTCAAAGGGGGCCGTCAGCCCCCATATTAGGAGAGGTCACCTTGTTACAATCAAACGCAACTCCGCCTACTTATGCCAATGAAGATGAAGGGAGGTTAAGTAGAGGCTCGTACCAGGGAGACTTTGCGGTATCACAAGAACTTGAGACTATGGCCGAATTTATCGCCAGAATAGAGAACGAGTCACAGTGGCAACTCCCTCCCCACAGTAATGATATTCTAGGATTAGAGGAGAAAGCGTTAGACCCATCTTCGCTCGATACGGGACTATCCCACGAGCAGCCCATGGTTTACAATACGGAAAAGGAGACACCTCTCAACTTACCTTCTAATTTCGATCCTGATTATTTTGATCTAAGAAGGCCGAGGACAACTGAGCTATGCGAAGAGGGTTTAGATATTGCGGCGCCGTATACCCAGCACAGGATTGGTACTCCTAGGATGTTGCCTGGTATCACACAACCGTTGGAAGAATTTGAGGATGAGAGTTTTGAAATGTCAAGCTTCTGGCGTCCAAATCAGTTCTCTCGATTCTGATAAATACTATACGCCAATATATTAGTACCATATCGCAATGTGTACTCACATCTTTTTTCAAGGTTTAATATTCATAGGTGGTCTATTCAGGCTCTTGATCTTTCCATTTTTCTCGTAGTCCATCAACATCCATGCCACATTTTCGCGCCTTTTCAACTATTTCTACCGCCCTACCGAAAACAGGGGCATCAATCATTTTACCATCCAGGGTCCAAGCCCCTCTTTTCTCAGCCGCGGCTTTCTTGTTCGCTACGGTGATCCTGACAGCCCACTCAACCTCCTTCTTGGAGGGAGAGAAGAGTCGCTGCACCGTCTCGACCTGCGAAGGATGAATGCACTGCTTGCCATTGAATCCCATGGCCTTTCCGCCCCGGCATTCTTCCTCTAGCCGCGTTAGCCCCTCCTTCCCTTGATATGATGTGCATACCAAATCTATTACACTAGGGATGTTCTCAACGCGGGCGGCTGTCACCATGGCAGACCGCGCATATAAGAACTCGGTCAAATCCGGCGTCCGCGTGAGCGACAAGTCGAGGGCAAAGTCCTCAGCCGCAAACATTAGGCCGTTGAGGCGCGGGCCTCTAATAATCGACGAGATGTTCATTATAGCGCGTGCCGACTCGATCATGGCTATAACCCTTATGGGCTTATTGCGTATCTCTTTGTAGCTTTTGTTCTCGAAGTTCTTCAACACGTGGGAGACAGCCCTCAAGTCCCCGATGGTGTTGACTTTGGGCACGACGACGGTGTCAACGAGAGGGATCGACGCGGCAAGCTTGAGGTCTTTCTCTAGAAAGGAAGATCCGGCGCGGTTGACGCGGATGGCGATCTCGGAGACGGAGGGCGGTAGCGCAGATAATCGAGATAAGTGCTGGTTGAGGGCATCGCGAGCTTCGGTCTTTGCGTCGGGCGTCACCGAGTCCTCGAGGTCGTAGATGATGGTGTCGCAGGTGAGACCGAGGGATTTGGTTAGCATTCGTGTTGAGGACGCTGGGACTGTGCTATCGGTTAGAGACGGGAGAAGACTTGGATATCAGGTAGGCGGGTATATATTTCTTACCGTAGAGCAAAGCCCGGCGAAGAGCGGAGGTCGAACTGGAGACCATGGTTCGTAGACTTGGAAGCTCCCTTGGCCTACCTAGGAAATTGTTGTAGTAACTAGGTGCGACGTCATGGTCTTATTAGCAGAACTATTTCAGTTCCTACAAACTTTTTTTTTTTGGCGGGGACCCAGGGTAGTGCACGGGCCATATAGGTGTAAATAATAGGGGCACGTCTTATATCAAACAACTTGAGGTTTCTATTGTGCGACAATAAAATATATAGTTGATTAAGAAACTATCATTTCTAATAGATGAACTCAGGCGAATTGGTATTGATCTATTTTATGGAATACCTAGTATTGATTTAGTGTGTCATTTGTGTTCATTCTTTGACAGGTCTCCTATATTGGATTGACTAGGAGAATTAAACGACAGCAACAAATATAGGGATAAAAATGACTACCTATATCCTGTCAAAGAGCTCTATTTTAAAGTCAATATTTCACGTGCCTAGAGACCTTTATCATGGCTTTCTGGGCCTCGTATGCCCCTGAACTCCTACTGTCACCTTCCTCTTCTGTCCCATCAAGCTCATTGTGGACGGTATTGAGCGGCCGCTTCAAGCTATTCGAAACTTTACTACTGTGAGGAACCCCCCAAAAGTGGCTTCTAGACCCCTATGGCATGCTAACGGCTTCGATGCTCCATTGGCCCTTAAAATTAACGGTGTAGTGAAGTGAGTAAAGATACTCCTAGCAGGCACAAGGCATATTCTGATGCAGAACCTAGGAACCTAGCAATGGAATCTCATGATATCCTGACAAAGACAAAAATATATCACTACGTGCGGTGTAAGGCATCTCTCGACTTTAAACGCGATGCTCCCTCGTCGAGAGCATGGATTTGGCCATCTGCCGCTTCAACGGAGACTCGAGTAGGGCCGCTACATGTATAGAGTTAGGCACTATTCCAAAACCAGAACATATGTGTCTAGAAACAGACGCGTCACTTCCGCCTATATTCGGACCAACGGCAGCAGATTTCTTGAAGGCGTTCTAATGGGTTCTCCCTTAGACGATTTCGATCAGAAACTAAATGCCAAGACCCCTTACTTGACAGGATGCGTCACAACACCTTCATCGAAAGTGCCATTTTCGAGACCAAATCTAAAGGGAAACAAGGTAACACCACGATTCTACCATAAATACTAGAGCTGATATCTACCGGTGGCGATAATATATCCCCGCTTACGAGTAACGTCGATACTCATCCGCGCTTGGTTACCTATGACAAGTCGGATGCAAGACACGGTGCTACTCAAGCCACTATCTCATTACCCATGGACCGAGTGTATGAACAAAAATACAAATGGAAGAGTTTATGGGAGGCTCGATACGCAATTCGAACAAGATTCGCTCGGCTCATGATAAAATTTGTAGAAAACCTAATCAAAGTAATGGCAAGGTAGTGGTCCTGAAAAGTCTTGCGGAACCGGCCGATTCAGTCCCTGCCCCGGGGTGGCTGCCTGTGATAAAGTTTCAGGTACTAGGGCTTTCTCGTTCGGTGCTCTATAGGGGTCCTGCCGGGACATACAAGATGGATACAAGATATTCTTCCTTGAGACTAGGCCGAAAAATACACTATACACCTAGTGAAAGGCTCACTATGGCCTTTCTCTCGGAGTGATCGCCAAGGTCACAATATATAACCGTCACAGCTTGCTTATCATCGTAATAGTAGTAGTAATAGAGAGCCGGCAGATAAATGTCCCATGGCGAGGCTCTATTCGCTCCTCTATGGTCTGCGTGCACCGGCATACCCCTTTATCCGAGCAGAGGCATTCCTTGCTAGCTTAGCTTTTCAAAAAGTAGTAGGTATCAAAGTTAACCTACACAGGTAGATAGAGAGAATACGATGAAAATGATATTAATTACAAGGTAACGATCCAACCTTACTCAAGGATCTAACGATGAAATCCGCCGGTAATGACGAGCTTAACTCATGAATGTTCGTTTATGCTTGGTTTCTAGTACCAATCCAAACTTAAAGCATGAAACTGTTCGTACTGCTTTTACTAGTTACTCAAGGACCTCCCGAAGAATAGGAGATACTACAAGAGCTAGAATAAGCAAGACTACCATGAGATACCCTAGACTAGAAAAGAAATATATGGCTACTAAAGATGTTCAAACTTGAATATTATAGTCTAGGCTTATTACAACGAGATATATAGATATGCGTTAACTATTTTAAAAGAAATCCAGCTACACCTCACAATTTAATCATCCGCTATTTTCATCACGACCTAAGAAATAATAAAAGCATTAGGTTTAGTTCTGGGCCCGTCTGAAAATGAAAACAACTGGTAGACCCTACGACAATAGACCCTTGTCGTCCATATTTAGAACAGACTTGAATCTAGCTCTTCTACTCCCCTTTCCCACGGCCATGGGAAAGAAAGAACAGTTCGAGTTGGATAACTACCTTAATCTATGGAGATGCTGACGCTATCAATAGCTCGTGGTAGTGTGCTATACTGCAGCTCGCAAGCACGGGTTGACAGG